GATGTCAGCTCTTGAGAATATGAGTCCGTCACTATCAAGGGATCAGGTAGATCAATACAGATGTGTGATGGCAGATGGCAACTGATCAGGTGAGAATATGAGTCCGTCACTATCAAGGGATCAGGTAGATCAATACAGATGTGTGATGGCAGGTGGCAACTGATAAGGTGAGAATATGAGTCCGTCACTATCAAGGGATCAGGTAGATCAATACAGATGTGTGATGGCAGGTGGCAACTGATCAGGTGAGAATATGAGTCCGTCACTATCAAGGGATCAGGTAGATCAATACAGATGTGTGATGGCAGGTGGCAACTGATAAGGTGAGAATATGAGTCCGTCACTATCAAGGGATCAGGTAGATCAATACAGATGTGTGATGGCAGAAGGCAACTGATCAGGTGAGAATATGAGTCCGTCACTATCAAGGGATCAGGTAGATCAATACAGATGTGTGATGGCAGGTGGCAACTGATAAGGTGAGAATATGAGTCCGTCACTATCAAGGGATCAGGTAGATCAATACAGATGTGTGATGGCAGATGGCAACTGATCAGGTGAGAATATGAGTCCGTCACTATCAAGGGATCAGGTAGATCAATACAGATGTGTGATGGCAGGTGGCAACTGATCAGGTGAGAAAGAACTTTCGACAATCATTATCATTTAGTTACTTTTTAGACATCAACGCATACCTACTAACATGGAGTTTTCATAAGCCATCATATGTCAACTGCAGCTTGATACTAGCCATCCTAAATTTTTACGCTTCTTTACTTTTTACAACTAATTTTGGCTATACGAAAAACGGGACCGGGCCATGGTCAGAACGGCGAAAAGTTCGGATATTAGAAGAGTAAAAGAAAAACTCTAAAAGAATTTATGTCTGAAAGTTTATTTGTTTTATAAAAAAAAACATTTTATGTAACAATAACACATTCTGGCCTAGATCGGGTCAGGTGTAACAATTATTTCTAATAGGCCTACTAACTGAAAGCACTTGCCTAGATGCTCAATTGAAAATAGATGATTTTGGCAATAATTACAAGAGAAAATGATGTTGCCGTTTTCTGGCCAATGTGACCTTAATATTTCCTTGATTTTACGATGACCTCGAAGGTACGATTTCGCCGCTGACCGCGGAAGAAGTTCCTGATTTCATCGTGACAAAGGAAGATATTCATAATTTTAAGTAAGATATGATGTACATATGATCAAAGCTTTAGATAGATCACAAAACAAACCTGATCCACCCAACATCCATGCAATGTCATCTATAACATTTGCCAAGGCACAACTGATACTGTGATTTTTCTTCCGAAAAAACATTATTGCGCTCAGCTCAAAGAATGTAAAAGTTGTGAACTTTCAACTTTCTCAAAAATGTTTAGAAAGGGGGTAATTTAGACACAGGACAAAAGTTGTGTCTATAGATTTCCTGACAATTTTTCAAACAGTTAGTGTTAGTGGTGAATATTGCCTGATTTTGTATTATTCTTTCAGTTGTATTGGGCACATTTCCTGTCAACTTGTCTCCCCAGTTGAACATCGTAACATTAGTGATGGAAATCCAACCATACAGAAACATATCCAAGAGACACTGAAAGGAGGATGTACAAGTTTTATAATACTATTTAAAATGTTACCTAACCCCATTATAAAGCAGAAAATATTATTCAATAAAGGCAATGTTATGAGATCTAGTGTAAACAAAATTATTCCCCATATTGTTATGATGTTGTATTTCGTTAAGTAAAAAATATAGTGATATTCTGATTATTTTTGGTTTATTACCTAAATACCTAAATGTCATGTGCAACATTTTACCCTTCAAGTCTCTAAGACTATTACTGTTTGAGATCATAACCAAACCCTCTCTCACAACTATCCATGCCAGTAACCTCAATAACTAAAAGTTTTACTTTATTTTCCTCAACCTTAGGGGTAGACTTAGAACTATTATGCTTATTAGATTTACCATCCACTGCCAATAGTCAAACAAAAGTTTTGGTTGTGTTTTGATATTTATTTTAATCAGTTAGTAGGCTACACATTTTACTCTCTCCCCATTTATTTCTTACATAATATATGGAGAAAGTACTGTTTCCCCCTTTTGAAAGAATTGTTTTTGTATGAAGGCCGAAAATGAGAGCAGCAAAATCTTTTTGGCTTGTGATATGAGCAATATTTTTCATTATATTGAATTTTAGCCTCCTGATCGAATTTAAATACTAAAGAACTTGTGTAAATACCTGCATTTATGCCATCAATGTGTTGCTAAATTGTAACCCGTTTCGACTCACATAGGAGTCATCGTCGGGCCAGTACAGATGTCTTCAGAATTTGAATATAGTACCACATAGGCTTACCAAAACTAAAACTTCTTTTAAACTAAATTGCATTTACTTTTTTAATAAGCTGCCTGAGAATACAAGAGAGGTTGGTTTAAACAGGTTTAAATCTGCGTATTGTACACCTGGCTGGTAGAAAATCCCTTTTATAAACTTGAGGAGTTTTTTAATTCACACGATTGTATTTCTTTTTAATACATTAATGTCTTGTTTTATTTTTATTTGCTACATGTTACATTTGTATAACATTGTATAACAAATTGACGTCCTATTTCTGCACAAACAGATCAACGGAAATAAAATATTCTTATTCTTATTCTTCTCGCATCTCGCATCGAAGGTCGTCAATTCATAATAAATAAATACATTGAACACGTTCAAAGGTTTATTGCGGACATTTTCCATCACGAATGTAAAAAACAATACACAACGTTTCAGGATCTGGAATCTAATCTCGTCCTCAGGTGAAAAACTTAACTAACAATACACAAACGCCCAACCTGTATTGTTAGTTGTAATGTGTTAGTTATGTTTTTTCACCTGAGGACGGGATCAGATTCGAGATCCCGAAACGTTGTATATTGTTTTTTTACATTCTTGATGGAAAATGTCCGCAATAAACCTTTGAACAACATTAACTCACCATCACCAACAATGAACTTCAAACAAAGGACATTGAACACGTAGGCTACATGAACATTTGATTTAGGGTTGAAAACTAAGGACTACAACGGCACGGGACACGATGTGATCGGGAGAATTTGAGCTAATAATGGTTCTTTAGATCGACTTACATTCTTATAAGTTATTTACATTTTTTATCACAAAAAATGCATTGTCGTATATAACTTATGTAGTGTTTGTCTGAAATCTGGTTCTAACCGTATTAATCGTTACTCGGGTGGTTTTGATGAACATGGAGATTCACTGTCAAAATAAACACAAGAAGATGAATTTTTGGACTGTAGTTTTCTCAAAGCCTTGATGTTAGTGAAGTTGGCTCTACAATTCGCTTGATATATCACGTAGTTTAGTAATACAGTAGGATCGTTATTTTTCTTATTAATGCCGCATTGTTCAGCACTGTCCAAGATAGTTTGTCTTTTGGTGGGGTGCACTTTATCACTGAACGTTACTGTCTTACCTCGCATAATGCATTTATCTGTTCCACTTTGCATATTTGCAAAATTTTCCTTATTTTAAGCCGCACACGTTTTTGTTTTGTTTTCACTGCTCCAATATTTTCAGAATTGGTGTTAACATCACTGAGGTCAGCTATTCTAGGCTCATGTAAGTTCAGTGACAACAATGTAAGTTATTTAAATGGGTGATTTTTGACTGGCAAGCAACATACCAATAAAGTTTGGTAAACAAAAGTAAATAAAACCAATAGACTAAACTTACTCACCCTGCTATATCAAGGTTTATTTAGTGTTGCCTTGGCTATGCTGATTGTTTCTCATTACTCTAGCACTTATAATGATGCAATAATACACAGTGCCGGATTTAGGGTACTTGCGGCCCTCCCCCTGTGGTGGAAATTCCTTGCGATCGCGGAAGTAATCGTGAATATCTCCTATGCATCAAAGAGACATCATCATCGACACCCGTGATCGTTGATGAAATAGTGGACATCTCACCTAAACCAAGTCAAAGCCATCATAGGTATCCGTGACCGTGACCGCGGCAAGATCATGAACATATCCCCCGCGGGCTGCAACAAAGGGACATCATCCTCGACACTCGCGACCGCAGCGAAATCGTTATCATATCCCGTGAGCTGTGGCCGTGGCCTTGAGGACATCATCACCGTCACCCGTAACCTCGGTAAAATCGCGAACACCTCCCGCGGGCCGCATTCACGGGGGCATCATAATCGACACTCGCGACCGTGGCAAAATCGTAAACATCTCCCGCGAAGCAGCAATCAGGGGGACATCGTCATCGACACTTGCGATCGCGGAAAAGTTGTGTTAAAAACATCTCCCGTGGACTGCGATCATGAGGACATCATCATTGTCACCCGCGGCCGTGCCGAAATCGTAAACATCCCCATTGGGAAGCCATCGTGGGGACATCCTCATTGACACCCCCCATCCGCGGCGAAATCGTTAATATCTCCTGTGAGCCGCTATCACGGGGAAATCATAATCAACACTCGCGGCCGCTGTGAAATCATGAACATCTTCCACGGGTCGTAACCACTGGGACATCATTATCGACACTCGCGAAAGCGGCTAATTCTTGAACGTCTCCCGCGGGCTTCGATCATGAGGACACATCACTATCACCCGTGGCCACGGCTAGATCGTAAACGTCTCCCGCGGCCACGGCTAGATCGTAAACGTCTCCCGCGGCCACGGCTAAACCGTGAACGTCTCCCGCGGGCCGCGATCACGGGGACATTGACAACTCGTGACGGCAGCGAATTCTTTAATGTCTCCCGTGGGCTGCGATCATGAGGACACATCAATTTCACCCGCAGCCGCGGCTAAATCGTAAAAATCTCCCTTGGTCCGTGGAGACATCATTATGGTCACCTGTGATCTGGACAAACTGGTGGTTAAAAAAATTATTTTTTTTATCTAAAAAATGTTTTTCTCAATACTCTGCGGCTCCCTTTTTGCTTGCGGCTCTAGGCCGTGGCCTAGTGGTAAATCCGGCACTGAGTTTCTGGAAGGGAAAATGGAAAATGATACAGAGAGGCTAACGTGCTCGCTCACGCTCTACCATTATCCATCCATCCTGCCGGCTTCCGCATCCCCCGGCTCACAGCTCACAGCACCACACTCCAATCCAATCCCAACCACCCACACTCACACTCCACTCCAATCCCAATCACTCCATGCTCCGGCTCCATCGCTCCATGCACACTTCTAGCACATTGACACTCACGAGTCACGTTCCAGGAATATTATTTCATTAAAGTTTAAATACGATACTGGACAAGCTGAAGAAGAGACAGGGGTTTAACAACTTCTACTTGCCACTTCAGAAGTGTAGTGGTAGGACGTAAGTTAGAAGTCAGAAGCAAGGTAAGAGACCAGAAAAACGGTATAGGCCTAGGCCTAGTTGTATCACTGTATCTAGGCCTTAGCAGGAATATGAAATGGAAATGTAGGCTAATTCGTGAGATTGCTGTATTTTGCAATTCAATTTCTCATGACAAGATCGATTGCATGTAATTACCTAAAGACCAATAAAAATGTCATGTCTTATGATGTAGCCTAGCCTCCTACCACCCTCCTACTTACCCACAAAACATGTCAGGCATAGGGAAAGGAAATTTGTGTCTAGGTAAGTTAGTCAGCAGGTTTGCTGCAGTGAGGGTATTTTGTTGTTCACAAATCAAAGTACCGGTAGTAGAAATTGGCTCTTGCTGTTGATATGAAATAAATAATTCTAGGTTTACAATAAGTTATAAATAAATTAACAAAACAACCTTAGACTACCGGTACCTAACTTACCTTATATCTAGGCTAGGCCTAACCTGAATCATCACATTCGCAGAGGATACGCGTCCAGTAAGTTAACCAGATGTGGATTAGGCGTCTGGCAGTTACTGTCATAACCTAACCTAACCAACCAAACTTGCTGATAATGAAAAAATTGAATAAAGGTTAAATTCTGTTCATAAAATAAAATTGGTTATAAATGACAAAAACTCTAACAAAAGATAAGTATAAGTTACCGGTACCTATGTACAGTTAACCCTCCGAGTGTCATGCGTCGCTGCAGCGACGCGTAACGCACTTTGTATAGTGTCGTGCGTCGCTACAGCGACTCGCGAACACTGTTTACGGCGAAGGCTCTATGACTAACTGAATCGGACTGTACTGGATTGAGTTAGGTATCGTTCTTTCCGTAATATTCTAAGCTTTCTCCAGAGGTCTGTCTCTAAGCACTATTCATTTTAGTTCCGAAAATATTGTAGCAGACAGCTGACTGAGCTGACGTGCGTGTATTTGTAAACAGCTAGGTTACCCTCTGACCGATGACTGATGTGTTTTATTACATTTATCATTGTTTTAGTGTTAAAAATCAAAAGTAGTGATATACGTGGTGCATTATAAGAAGATTTAAGTGGTTTTGAAGTGCTGGTTGATGATCCTGAAGAAGTAGGTAGTGATATTGATGTAAATTATCAGCCAGATTCCTAGCTATGGTTGGGCTATGCATTCTTAGCTAAACGCTATGTACTGAAATCTGTTTTTTGCCCATAACTTATTTATTTGCAAATCTACTTCCTTATATTATTATATATTTGTAATCCTCATAAAATTTAGAACAAAGTGGCTATTTTCAAATATTTATAGGCCTATAATTTATACAATTTCATTGAGCGCAAACTTATTTTTTTTTTAAATTTTCGAAATTATACATTTTTTTACCTAAAAAATTTTTTTTTTAAAAATCTTCCTTATGTTTTATATATAATATTGAAGCCCAAGATTTTCCAAACAAAATGGTATATAGAACAGTATAATTAACATTGTTTTTAAGCTTCTCAGATCAGTTTTAATAAAACCTTGCAAATGAGCAAAAAATAGGCTGACATTAAGGCCAAAACACGTGACACTCGGAGGGTTAAAAAGAAATGTCATTCAAAGCAAAATCTTTGACACCGACGGGATTCGAGCCAGGGACCTCTTGCATATCAGCCGAGCACTATCCACTACACCACGAACACCGATTGCTGTAAATTGTATCGTTGTGGTAGGGCCTAATGGCGTTCCGGGATCCCACAACCCGGTAACGTCACTGCTGGACGCCTAATCCACGTCCGGTTACTGGAAGCGTATCCTCTGTGTATCACATTTCTCTTTTTAGTTCTTGTTAAATAAACTTAAACAAATGTAGTCCCATCGACTTCTTAAAACGTGTTCCATTAGGTTTATATTTTGCTTTGTGCCTAACCTAAGTTAATACCTTGGTAATTATTTAATTTACTAATACTTAACTTAAGTTAGGCACATCTAAAAGAATTTTAATTTTGATAGCCTATCTTACTTAATAGTTTTTTACCTCCTGAATCCAAATATACCTACCATTATTTTTCACAGCGAAGGGCTATTAACTAAGGATATCGCTGTTTAACCTTCCATCGGGCGCGTCACGGAAGTTACCTCCGGCCCCAGGTCACTAAGTATATTTTTGGTTATAAAAACCATAAGTTAGTTTGCGTTTGGCAGGGCTGTTGCCTGACTAACAAATGATTCATTTTCAATTACACCATAGGGGTTTTATTTCACACTAGTGTACCTGTTGCTCGAATTTGAGCAATTGCTAAGTATTACAGGCGTTATTTTAAGACAAATAACAGTCATAATTTATTAATTTAGGCCTATGATGACTTTAAAAGATTTGACACAAAGATTATGGAAATACTCAAGTGTACATAACAGATTGATATATTCAACATTTCTTGTAAATAGTGTTTTCTACAAATAGCCTTATTCATAGCCGTATTAGGTTTCCAGACACATTGTGTCTAAAAGCCTAACAGCACGACTCCCTTCCCCATACCAGCCTGAGCGATAGAGATCATTGAGATTCGCTCTAACCTTTCCTCTCACCTTAATGGGCAAGTTTTCATTCCTGTTTTTCTTAGTTTATTGTTTGTTTCTTTTTAAAATTTAAACGACTGTATGTATCCCTGGTTTTTCCTATTTCCCTAACTACTTTTCTAAACATCTCAATTGTTTCCTTGTCACTCATCATGTTTTATTTTCTCATCTCTAGACCTATCTTATCCAAGACTTATTCCTGTTCTCTCCTATTTGTCTCCTGAAGTGAACAATTTATAAATACGTGACTCGTGGTTTTCTCCACATCTACATACTTCCTCTTCCACCAGGTGAAATCTACACAAATTCGCCTTGAAATTTTCCATGTCCTGTGACAAACTGCGTTTCATAATGGCCCATCTCCCAATCTTGTTCCAGTCTCTTTCTGATGTTAGGTTTAAATCCGAACGTTTACCTTTAAAACGTTAACATAAAACACTCTGCTCCCAACGCATTTGCCACTCATCTAGTATCTCCTCTCTTCTGTTTCCGATGTAGTCCTACCCACCTCCTTGTCTTCCAAATCAACAGCTTATGCAGTGATTATCTTTTTATATTTTTTTATGATTATATTTTTTTGGTTATGTTTAGATTTTTTTGTAAATAAAAACCGGTTTAAAACAGTGAAACGTTCACAACTAAACTAATAAATCCTTATAGCACATGTCTCCAATTTTAGTACAGTATAACCAGCTGTTTCAAATATTAGTGTCAATTTCAAAGTATTCATCTGTTCAAATGTAAACACAAACATTTTCTCCCTAAGAATAACATGGGAACTTTGAAGGCCCCTGGGGCAGAGCCCTGATGGAATTCCAAAGTTTTTTTGTTTGGTGGCACAACTACATGCTAAGACCTTTCTAACGACACCTTGGACATGGTGATCGGTAGCACCACCGCTCCAAAACAATTATGACAAAAATATGCCTAGCGTATTAAATATATAGATACTAAGTTTATTGCATTTTTTCTAATAGCTTTGGCAAAATAAATTGTCCTTGTATGGAATGATTTTTTACATAAGACCATAGGTTTTTTTATGTCCTACATTATTGAAATTTTCTTTGTTTATACAATAGTGCCGTAGGCTACTGTAAGTTATATGTAGGCTACAAAAAGTAAGTTTTTTTTTATCCACAGAACTTATGTTTTTTTATTGTTAACTAGCTGTGTACCCGTTCTACGCACGGGGATCTTATAATATTCAGTTGAAACCTTCTTATATAACGAACAGCAGTTGGTTTGCATATTTTAAGATATGCTGGCCAAACTATTATACATAGCTTCATTTTATGTTGTTTTTTGTTGTTCCGGATCGGTATGACAATAAAAGGTTAAATTACCTCTGTGTCTGCCAGTCGATCCTATAACGGTAGGCTTACTTTTATTTTTACTATCTGATCTCGTTTGCATGGCTCAATCACGTCCTGGTTGAAGTTCGTTCGCTACGCTCACTCACCTGTATGTTGGAGCTCGTTCGCTGCGCTCACTTTCCTTCAGGTTAGCTCGTTCGCTACGCTCACTTGCCTTCAGGTTAGCTCGTTCGCTACGCTCACTCGCCTCCAGGTTGCAAATTAGCTGTTGTCATAAATGTAAAAGAAATAATAGTGCTAGTGCTGCACCCTGTTGGTAATCCTTGTAACTTTAATGCTATTGAACATCACAGAACAGAACCAACTTGTTTAATTGAAACAGCTGTTAAGATTCAATAATTTCATTTCTCATAAGGTTAACATGGGCTTCCAGAAATTCCACGTCAAAAATCGACAAAAACTTGATTTTCAAGGGTTTACTGTTAAATATCTAACTGTCTCATATTCGATGAAATACGTCTAAAACCATCTCATATATGTATAGTATTTGGAAAATAAGTTTCAGGCGGGACAGTGCTATAGTTATTGAGGAGTAGTTGTAATAAAGTGCGTATTTTAGCGTTACCAAGAGAATGACAGATAGACAGACAGACAGACAGACAGACAGACAGACAGAAATTGAGATAAGGTTTGATTCGGTTTCTCTGACCTATGAAATGTAAAAATAACCAAAAAGTTCATTATTCTAAGCAATGTACAGACAAAACTCTAATTTTATTTATATAGATTATAACATTTTCTATTATATATACCGTACAACTTAAGTACCGTAGGTAATTGTTTTGTAATGGGAGGAGGAAGTGTTTGGCAATGTTGTGTGAGTAGGCTGGTAATGTTGTTGAACAATAACTTGTGCTGACCTACAGAAGGCTGTTGCTTTAAGTAGGCCAGTGCACTTACTTGGTGTCAGTTTTGGTGGGTAGTGTTTGTGTGGTGCACCGGAAGACAGGGTCCTGCTGGGGCAGCTGGAGCCCAAGACCTTTAGCCTTGGGTGCAGGTAAGACAATGTTAAGGGTTTTCATATACTATTGAATAAGCCTAAGTTAGTACAAAAATGCTGTGATTGTTTGCAGGATGTCACTAGGCCCTGGTTCCGCGGCTAAGGCCAGTGGAATGGAAGTGGTTGTGGCAGAAGATGATCCAGATTTTATCACCTTTCTGTTTGATCCTGAAGAGCAGTACAACTGCTACTTCGTAGTGGGAAACCCTGAAGTTGGAGACACGGTAAACTAATAATACAGTGAAAAAACATCTGTTTATAGGTTGCAGCCTACTTAGCTCTTGCTGAAAATATTTTAAAATTAGTAAATGGAATAAAATGAAAAATACTTTATTCCATCAAAAACACAAATATTTGTTACACGGAATTGAAGAAACAGATGGATGTGGGGAATGAGCTTCAACAGAACTCAAACATCTTATTTTATAGAAAACTAGCTGTGTGCCCGTTCTACGCACGGGGATCTTATAGTAGTCAGTTGAAACCTTCTTATATTAAGATTAAGAGCAGCAATTAGTTTGCATATTTGCAGATATGCTGGCAAAACTATTATATATAAACCTTCGCAAATACAGTATCTGACAGTTCAAGCCAAAATAAATGCTTCGCAATTAAATGTCGCCCGGATCGTGTTGGTCCATATGTCCAATGATTAAACTTAAAAATGTTTTATAGATCCATGAAGCGTAGCCCTAAAGTAGGCCTATAATTGAAAGTTACTTTCCACATCGGTTAACTTAAACGTATTTAAAGTACTACCTCAACCTCACCATTTAACACTTTATTCCGGTTGACATTTTCAGTATCAAAGGTGCTCTTGTCCATTCCGTGAAACACTGAGAAATAAGGACATTAATGCGTTACCAACATAGCCTACAACAAAACAACACAATACAACAATCCAACAAAGGCCACGAACTATTGATACATAAACAATATAAAGGCGTAAACAATTCATGATGGTTTGCCCAACAAATGTTTTACTCAAATAGGTTATCATTTTCTTAGCATACCGGGTAAGCTAAGATTTGGAATCCAGGCAGAAAAAGCAAAACTTATACAGAGTTAAGACATCACTTAAATTGAATACGGACGGCTCTAATAAATAAGGTGCAACACCAACGATATCTAATTTGTAAACTACCGGTTCTAAGGAAAAGAACCAGTACCTACGTAAGAACCTACCTAACAATTACAGTAAATCGGACCAATTAAATACATTAATATCTAGCTTCGAGGTTATTGATCTCTTGCTTTTGGATTTTCTCGTAAAAAGTTATAGCGTAAACTTATCGGTGTCAGTTTGAAAAAAAGCAACCTTATCCAAACAACTTTTTGTTATTTAATAGATTACGCATTCTCTAAACAATGATTAGTATATCTATTAACATTAGAAGGAAATGTGACGAAAATCACACAATGTTGGGGTTTTGGTCATTTGTAATTTTATTTTTTAAGTAGGTAGGCCATGTATTCTATGGAAAAGTACCGGTATCAAGGATCGTCGTCAAAAAGGTTGTTATGAATAAATATGTAGGCTTACGTACCCAAGATATGAGCTATGGGCCTATTGGCTGTATAGTCCAGCGATTGCATCACACGGTGAGTAGAAACAGAAAGTGACACATTGGAAAAGCGAGTTTAGCACTTCCTCTGTTAAACCTCTGTTACAATCACCCACTGCAGTTGTGATTTTTTACTTTACACTTTACACAATCGCCATTGAAGCGCCGTCAATGAGTGGAAACCTTTTTTGTAAGCTATTGGCGACGATCATTTCAGTGTCACAGCCCTATACAACACTGATTCAAGGTCTTCTTCTTTCTGGTTGTCAAAACTCAAGAAACATTTTATACTCAAAGAATTTCTGGTTCCGATTTGGACGATGTCTAGTTATTTAATTTCATTTACGGTTACACTATTAGACTATATTATTGCACTTGCGATTAATTAAATCCGTTATGTAAGAAAAACGTTTTTAATCTCACTTGGTTGGGATTTGCTTTCAAAACGTGATTCGAAATAGTTGCGGTATTTGTAAACATTATTTGTAAACATGTCATTGACAGCTAGAAAAAATAATCTTGATCCGAACAGCTGTTCGTTATTTCATAGACGATTCTGTGATAAAAATTGAACAAAAATTTGACAAAAATCGCACAAAACTGCATTTTTGAACGTCCATAATTTTATTTACAAAGTAGTGAGGCTATATTTAAATCACTAAAGACACTCTCGCCAATCCAGTGAATACATTAAAATGGCTTGGATCTTGATATGTACTCTGGTTTTCACGGAGAAGATTGCGTAAAATGCCATCTTGAGTGTTACAGACGAAGGGACAGACAGACAGACAGAAATTGAGATAAGACTCGTTTCTGCTTCTTTAATGTATAAAACGTAAAAATAACCTAAAAGTATATAATTCTGAGCAATGTACAGACAAAACTCTAATTTTATTTATATAGATTTACTTAATAGGCCTAAGTAAAATTATAAAATTCACACACACACACAACACACTTCAGCTCAGTTGCACCAGGACATCAGGCGGCTGCTGGCTCTACAGTTCCATTAGTTAGCCGTCTTTGCTCTGTCCCTGCATGTCCTAGGAACCTTTCGCTCACTCACAGGCACGCACACGCACACAAACAACACAGCCTGACAGCCATACATCGTTGTATTTGACTGCGACGGCGTTAGAAGGAATACATGGATACAAAATAGCTGTCGATATGCCTGCGTCTGACTTCCACTAACCATTTGTTTAATTTTTTTTTATATTTTAGCAGACTGCACTATTATTCTAGCAGGCTCCGGATTTTTAAGCTGAGTGGGTAATTTAAAAAAATAACAGTTGCAATGTAGGCCTACTGAGGAGACCTTTTATTAATACATTTGGTGATCTTAGGTAACTCTTTCCCCGTGTTCAAAGCAAATTTTGTAAGATAGTTGTGAGAAGTTTGTTTAAAGAGGGAATTTTTGTTTTTGAAAATGTATACAGGGTGTCCTTAAAAACCGTTTCACAGGACTTTGGAAAATGAAAAGGAAGAAAAAAGTTAATGTGAAAGGTACGTCCAAAAATGCATATTTACCCAGTTATCCGCCATTTTTTTTAGTAAAAAGATTTTTATTTGTGAAGTTTTTCATTCAATGATTATGAAATTTGGTAAACATGTTAACATACACAAGACCTGTTATAGAAAAAATAATAAAGTTGTTCCGATTGTAAATTTCAAAATGGCGGCCGTTTGAATTTTTATAACTTAAATAACTCAAAAACGGCTAATTCTATGAAAAAATGTCAAGAATATGTTTTTTAGCATTTGTCACGATTTTTTAGCACCTATCAAACGATACCAAGATCAAAAATATCGAATGACTAACAACTGAAATGGAACCTTTTTAGCTGTAGGACCAGATAAAATTAAGGGTTCCCTTCCCAACTAACTTTGCCTTATTCTTACACAAAAAACGTTATATTTCAGTTGTCTTTTCTCCCATCTTTTTGATCTTGGTATCTTATGATAGGGAATTGGAAATGATTATTCTTGACGTTTTTTCATAGAATTAGCCAGATTGAGTTATTTAAGTTATAAACATTCAAACGGCCTTTTGAAATTTACAATCGGAACAACTTTATCATTTTTTTCTATAATAGGTCTTGTGTATTTTAACATGGTTATCAAATTTCGTGATCATCGAATGAAAAACTTCACAGATAAGAATATTTTTTAATAAAGAACAAAATGGTGGATATCTGGGTAAATATGCATTTTCGGACATGCCTTCACATTAACATTTTTCTTCCTTTTAGTATGAGGATTCATTTCCCAAAGTCCTGAAATGTTTTTTATGGACACCCTGTAAAATCAATGATCTTATATTAAAGCTGTGAAAGATTAAAAACTTTGAACTCGTCAAAGACATGTTCTGAGGGGTAGCGGTGACGTGTCCGTAGAGCAATTTTTATTATGGCTTTTTGAATAATTTCGATAGGGGCCAGAATAGCCACCACCCCACGCTAGGTTCCCAAATTGTAGAATAGACTGTATGTTTGCATGGTAAATGTTTTTTATAAGAGTTAGGAAAAACAAAAATGAATTTACGTAGTTTACATCTAATTTGATTTATGTAATGAAACATAATGACACCAATATAAATCAATGACACCAAGCTCATTGATCAAATTTAGTAAAACTTAATTAATGTGGACTACAGTTCCATGTAGTCTATAATTGAGGAAGAAATGCAGTGCTATTTCAGAACTATTACGACAGTTTACTTAATCTCATTACCAAGTGATAGCTGGTCTTAGTCAGTAACAAAGCTACAAAAGGCATCACACTTCATTCTACACTCATCCTTCACTCAAATTTAGGGCTAAAATACACACATAGGGGGTATCCCCATCTTAAAAGCAGTATCTGTGAGTTGCCAACTGAAAACTGACATGAATGCTTCAAATTCATCCATCCAAAACTTTGTTAGCACGGTTATTCAGAATCAATACTGTACATCCTAAAACAGTTAACACCCACATGAACCAAGAATTTCAGTTATTTTTACTATCATCTCTGTTCTCTCCATTTCTGGAAAACTTTCTCTTCAGGCTATACTATTTTTCTAGATATTAGTAATTTTTGCCAAGATATTAATATTATTTAATATATATATATATATATATTTTTTTGTCTTTTCCACAACAATCAAGTTAGACTACAGGCTTGATTTATTTTGCTATCCTTTCAGAGGAAACTTTTTTGTAATTTTTATAGTCTAGATAAGACTCCAGCGCTCACAGACGGATGTTTCTTTTCTTATCTTGGGTGTGAACCACTTGATAAGTAAAAATACCCCCGCCGCAGCAAACCTGCCGACTAAGCGAATTTCCATTGGTCGGAAGTGATATTCTATTAAATCTATTTAAATAACCTTAGGTTTAACGAGTACCGAGGTTTGCTGCTACAAGGAAACTAATAAAGTGTGTTTTTTTTTTGTAAAATATTACTAGCTTAGTATAAAATAAATAAAATTGCCAAGTTTAATCAAAATATATTCATCAACAAGAAAACTACAGCACTTTACAATATTCTCCTTAAGAATAACATGGGAAATTAAAATTTACAATTTTTTAAATTTTCTCCGTTACCAATTACCGTACAAAAACGGTTGTTTTTTATGCTCTTTAAAAATGTCTATAGAGAAATTGGGAAATTTTGTGTTTTGAGGGTCAAAAATGAGAAAAACTCATTTTTACCCCATAAAACCCCCTGTAAAACACCATTCCCATGGTCCGATCATGCTGGTTCGCGAACTCATTCAAGTTTATCCCACCTTACATCTTTAAACCGAATGTCATCAAAATCGGACAAAAATTACTCAAGTTATCGTGTTCATGGACACATATATATATACATGTATAAACATTTGAACGAATGGTGTATTTGGCCTCTGGGGACATCAAAATGAAAAAGTAAATCGGTCCCGGGCCTAGGTCTTTCCATGCCACCTACGGTAATAGCTACATCTTTATAGGGAAATTTGCTAAAAAACTGATCACTCATTTGTAAAAAAAAGTTCTAATGATAAAAGCTACCATAAAAAATGTACTTTGAGAACTTTTAATCTTAATAGAGTTCAGATAAGAAAACTCCATAATACAGGAGTTTACAACAAGTGTAAAGCATGAAAATTAGAATGATTTTTTTGTAAGAGTAACTTATTGCATTTGCCACTTAATATTTCAGCATATTTAGGGTTGCAATGCAATTTATAATTCTGATGGTTAGGATTAATTTAATCTATTCATTTCCTTCTAACTCGGCAGATCTGTATTTTGGTAACTCGGTCACTACATGTTTCCTACCAATTTCCCCGATTGAGAGGCATGTAAGAGACATGTAGGCCTAGTCAGCAGAAATATAGACCAGGAATTGTACGAGAATTTTGTTGAACAAGAAATGGCAGTGAATTGTACTTTAATTTGGTATGGGCCGAGAGTTCATTCAATATCCTATCGCCGACCCTCCATTCATTGACTGCATTCAATTGGTTCTCTTTCAACTTAACGAAATTGTATTTACCGGTGAGGGGGTGACGAGTATTACCGCAACTGCAAGAGACGATCACGCGGTATCCCTGAGGCTGCAAGATATAGCAACGAGTGGTACCATTGAAACAATCACAGTATAGCTGAGACATGGTATCGGGGGGAAAATCTGCTTGCAGGCTGTAGGTTGGTGACTCTTGTTGTAGATAGACCCAGAAACACCACATCTTACAAAATCCTTCATAAATATACTGTTATCATATGTTGTAACTTTCTTTTTATAACAGTACACGCCATATCCCACTGACTAGCTGCCATGTTAGTCAAAAAGACTGCCTAAGACGTTAAAAAAATTGTGAACTGTATGCTATGTCAAACCTTTCTTTGTCGATTCAAAACTTAAAGCTAAGCAACACAAAATGTTTTTATTTAAAAGAAGTTTTTAGATTATTGAACAATTAAATATTTAAGTCAGTTACCCATGTTGCAGCTAACCTGCAGCCTGAGAGAATTTATATTGACCTGATTTAACTACACTTGAATATTTGCTTAAACATGCCAGATTTATTGTAAGCTTACAAATAACACCACATGTAACAAATAGGCCAACTTATGTTTGCTCTTTGCTGCTTAAAAAAACAAGCAGGAAATAAATAGCCAATATTTATCCAGTGATTATTTATTTTCCCATCAAAACTATTTATTCTTCTTTATCAGTTATTGTTTGTTTGCAGGAGAGGATTGGAGTGGTGAAAAAGATGCTTCTGGCTCACTCTGTGGTTTTCAGAGCAGAATTGCAAAACTCAAAGATAGCAGAAAAAAATGATGTTAAACTGCCTGATGTCTTCCCCCAAACTTTTAAAAACTTATTAAGGTAAGTTAAATCTCCCGGCCAATCAGAAAAGTGCTTGAATAGTTTTGAGATTTTGTGGAAATTTAAAATTATTTAAATAATTTGTTTTCAGATTTGTCTATGGCTACGATAACACTCAAAACTTGAGCTTTGATGAAGCAGACAACTTGTTATACGTTGCAGACAAATATTTGATGTCCAAGTTAAAAAATAGACTTGGAATCCGCCTGATGTCTTTGTTGAACCTTACCAACATCTGCAGCCTTATGAATAACCCCGCTTGTTACACCGTTCTCGAGCTAAACTCAATGATTAATGAGGTAAGTTTGTACAAATTTGTATAGCTCCGAGATTGTGTTTTATGACATGGCTATATACAGTATACTTCATCATACAGGATTCCTACCTGTCATGAATTGTCTGATGAGCAGTGGCGGGTCCAAGGGGGGGTGGACGAAGGGGGGGGGGGGTTCCTCCACCTCAGTCATATAGACATTTTTTTAATGCATGTATTTTCAACATTTTGTCGTGATCATGGAAGACGATGATGATGTTTCTATGACCATGGGAGACAAAGATGATGTCTACATGGCCGCGGGAGATGATCAGAATTCAGCCATGAACGCGGGAGACGACGATAATGTCTGCACGACCGCAGGAGATGTTTGTAATTTTGCCGCAATCGTGGAAGATGATGTTGATGATAGTTACTACGGCGGTTATTTAAGGTTTTGCCATGATCGCCGGAGACAATGACGGTGTAAATACGACCGCGAGTAATGAACACAATTTTACCGTGATCAGCAAAGACATTGATGACGATTCCGTACCTTAGAGCGGGAGATGATTAGAATTTAGCCACGAACGTTGAAGGGAACGATAATGTCTATTCGACCGCTAGATGTTTATGATTTTGCCACGATCGAGAAAGACAATGATGGTGTTCCGTTACCGAAAGGGTTATTCAGGGATTTGCTGTGACTGTGAATTATAATATGACGATATGGGGGGGGCTTTACCTCTAATCTCACCCTCCCCCCTCTATCTATAGCTGGATCCGCCACTGCTGACAATGTGCGTCTTAGTCATAAAATTTAACTTTATACTGGGTTTAAAGTTTTTCAAGGCGATTGAAGAGAGTTGAGCATGTTTGAATTTTTTTACCAAATGTCCCTATAGGGAAGTAGAGGTCGTGCGGAACGAGGTGAATCCTGAGATTTTCGGCGGGAACGGTCTAAAGCGGGGAAATCCATGGTGGGGGTAGGAGACGAGCCGATCGTTGACCTCGCATAGCGACACTTCCCCCACCACACCACTATTCCCCTCCAAGCTTCACCTCGTTCCGTACGACCTCTAGCTATTACCGTAGGGAGCACGGAAAGACCTAGGCCAGCAGCAAACCTAAGTACTCATTAAATCCACTGTTATTTAAATGGGGAAGAAATATGTCTTGTTTATAGAAATATTGTAGTATATATCAAATCAGATAAATTGAAATGCACTTAGCAGGTTTGCTGCTGCAGGGGTATTATTCCTTTATAACACTGCCCTATTTTTTAAAAGTTTGCATTCAATTTCCATTTGATTTTTTTATATTCACTATGTATTGTTATAACATCCTAATCTTAAAATCTATTCAACCTCTGTGCTATCCGGGATTCTATACCGAGGTGGCCTCGGTCCTAAATACCTCGGTTAGTCGGGAGTGAACTGTGTTTTTCGTCAAGTAATTAAAGGTTAATAGGCTACTGAATTGCTATTTACCTCTAGCAAGGTTGAATTGAAATGATTGTTCTTGTATTCAGATACTCCAGACGGAAACAGACAAGGTTTTGGCTAGTCCTCAGTTTCCTGACTTGTCTCCCCTCGGCTTTTTGACAATACTGCAACAGGAGATGTGCAATGTACCTGAAATTGACCTCTGGACCTCTGCCATTGAATGGGCTAAGCATAGAGGTAATCAGTGTTCTCACACACACTTTGATGTGTTTCTAAAAATGTTTGTAGTATTTAAATAACAATTCCTAATTCATTTTTTAAAATTTATAATTGTCGAGGTTTTCATTCATTTTATGTCCACTCTGCCACAAACAGGGTAAACTTTCATGAGTTGCAAATGACCTGACTGAGGCAGCTGAAAAACAATACTACTTAAGTAAACCAAATACCCTACAGTTGTAACAAGTCCGTCTCACAGATTGTAAACCATATCAGACAATGTGCTAAGACAATTTGGTTGAGTAACACTCCTGAGCTGTAAATGTTTGTTGTGTTAGCTGAATTCATTCAATTTTAAAATACACATATGCGGTCCAGGACAATTTAAAAATGTTAAATATCATACCATTGTTGAAAAAACCTGCAGGCTATTAGATTATACTAAAATATTTCTTTAAACATAACTGATTTATTCCCCATTAATTATTTTATCCTGTACAATTAACTATTTATAAAAACACTTGTTCTCTCCTCCGTTGCAGCAAACTTAAGTACATGTTCAATCTAATGTTATTGAAAGGGGAAAAGACTTGGTTATGGAAACAGTTGAGTAAAAATCCATTCATATAAATTTTTTGTTTAAGGTTTGCTGAAACAGGGGTATTTTATTTTAGTTATTGTTGGCATAATTTTAATAGAATAGCTTTTACTCTTTTCATCAAATGATATATTTCAGTTTCAGGAGAGTCGAACAATGGAGAAGTCTTAAGGGATGAGTTAAATGACCATCTGAAACACATTCGAATCTGTACATTGTCTGCCCAAGATTTATTGACTCAAGTGGTACCTACAAGAGTCCTGACGTATGATGAACTTCAGTTGATCGGTGAAACTCAGAGAACTGAGAAAGTACAGCCTGACTTGACCACAATCTGCAACAAGATTGAAAAGCGGGAAGAACCATTGTCAGATCTGATGGAACAACGATTAAACCTAAACAATGCACGTCGTAAAACTGCTAGTAATTCAAAAATAACTATCAATACTAAAGGAGTCGTAATTAAGTTGTGTTCAATAAAGCTTAAGAGCTCCAGTAGTCAACAACACCAGTGCAATTGCACAGTAACAATACAAAAGGGGACAGAACCCCCTACTGAGATGAGGTACCAAGGACCAATCTTAGGAGGAGCTTCAAACAATACCATTTCAATTGATGCCATGAAGAACGTGCGTTTGTCTCCAAATTCAAGCTATTCAGTGAGCCTCTCATTTTATTGCGGGTACAGTCATGATCATTACTGTGTGTCAAGTTCAGTAACCAGTGGGATACATTTTGACACTTCAATTAAAAGTTATTCTGGATTCCGTGTTGCCTCCATAGATACAATATGTTATAAAACAGGAAAGAACACTCCGAAGAGGACACAACTAGACAATACTTTTGAGGCGCCTCCAATAGTGTTTACTGCAGAATATGCATCTGAATATGAATCTGATGAATACATTTACTGAAGAAATGTGGTCAGAAATAATCTGAAGGAACTATTTGAGTTCCTTGTGACCCTCTTACTTTTATGGAGTGACATTTTTATTTAGTTTTTCACCAATGTGACAAAACTATACTTCCTGCAACAGAACATAACTCTTTTTATTTGTTTATCTTGGTTAATAGTAGCCTGTTTTGGTTGTTTCTTGATCAAAAGATATGAGTAAATTTTAAGACTTAATTTAGCAATTATCTCAAACTAATTATCTCTTTCTGTCTGTTTTACACAAAAACATTGTTGAAATATTTATGTACCTCTATTACTATAAATTCTTTTTTATGGCACTATAAAATATATTTTGTTTACTGCAAATTGTACTCTGTAGTGGATAAGTAAATGAGGAACTAGTAAGTCACAGCTCCCAACTGATGTAAATGTTAAATACATTTTGTTAATTCAGCTAGTAAAACTAACTTGTAAATTGCTGCAAGCACCTGTCAATAAACATTACTATAAATTAACGTCTTGCCTGATTATAATAATATCCCATTTATTTATTTTTATTATGTTCCTATAGCATTTGATGTTATTCTAGTATCAAAGAAACTAATTATTCATTTATTAACTAAGTATTCATTTTGAAGCAACTTAAGGCACATTTTATGGTACGCAAAACCAGGCTAAAACCATACTATGTATTAAATAGTTACTGTCCTAGTCACCTGACAATGTGGGCTTCCATGCAGGGATTATGGTCGCCATTTCATAAGAAAGTATAAAGTAAGTATAAAAGTATTATAGTACAGAAAGTTGCTAATTGCTGCATTAACTTACTTTTGCCACTCTGTTTTTTTTGTTGTTTTTTTTTGCACTCCAGTATTCCAACCAAACAACACAAAGCATTGTGCTTTTATTAGGCACGTAATATGTGTATGCTTGAAATTAAGTTGACAACAGATACTACGACTACGATCACCTGTTACAGTGTTTTGCATTTCGTTCAACGATTGGATTTAACCCCAACCTAAAACGTGTTTAGTGTTTGAAAGACTAATTATTTCTATACTTTACAATAACTGATATACTTTACAACAACTGAAGGAAAAATATAATGTGTAGCACAAGTACAAATTGCCTTTGCTGCACTCGAGAAAAAAATTATATCGTCCTGTAATCCAGCTACTTGGAGGTCACGAATTATGGACATTTTTTATATGCATGATCTGTGGATGCAATACTATTAAAAATTTTAAGGATAAGAAGTCTGTAAAACAACACTATAAAGAACAATTTTTACAGTGCATGGTTTGTATATTTTAAATACTCTTCACTATGTAAAGATAAAAACACTGAAGTGTTCCATAAATACAATACAAGGTGGAAAAATCTTATTGTAAAAAGTCATCATCGGCTAGAACTTTAAAATATGAGCCTTTGTATAACGGCAATTTATTCATAAGGTTTTTGTCTGCCGTACTAAAAAAAATCAAAAAGAAACCAATTTTTTTAAGAAACTTAAATCATCTATTATTATTATACTAGAGGTCGTCCAGTAGTCGAAAACTCGACCAAAAATATGTTATGTACAGACTTCTCAATTTTCACCCCATACTGTAAATAAAACACGTGATTGGATTTTCCATTTGTTTTGATTTTCTGTTCATATTTTGTTGTTATTTAGTCACCAGCATGGGAATCCATAATGCCCATGGTTATTTTTTATAATTTTTACTTTCTCCCCCTATACCATAGTATATGGAGAAAGTATTGTTTTCGTCAAAATTTTCGAGTTGAGTTTTGAGTGGATATATTCGTTTTGGGTCCCCCTGGACCCAAAAAAGTGGTTTTCGAAGTGATGTCTGTGTCTCTGGATGTGTACAGAGCTAGGGACTACACCTGTGGTCCGATTTCGATGAAATTTGGTATGTAGGTTCTAATCCATGGTATCTCCAGGGGTTTTTTCACTTTTTGAAATTTTAATTTTTAATGGGGATTTTCTCATAAACAACCGGAAAAATCTGATTTTCTCAAAAATGGCCCGAACGATTTTGATAAAAATTTAGTATGTTGTAGCCCTTTAAATTCTGAACAAAATGGTACAAATTCCATCTCTGTAAAAATTGTGGTTCAAAAGTTATTATAAATTTTGTTATTTTCCCATAAAACCCCCATAAAATAATGAAAAGTAGGACTTTAGAAAAAATCCGGTTTTGATTTAACATAGTATGTTATGGCCCTTATAATTTTGATAGTTTTTTCCTTTTTTTAAATTTTGATTTTTCATGGGATTTTCCCATAAAACCCCATAAAATTACAGAAAAATAGGATTTTGACAAAAATGGCCCGAACGATTTCGATAAAAATTTAGTATGTCATACCGGTAGTCCTTTAAATTCTGAACAAAATTGTACAAATCCCATTTTTTCTCACCGCTTACACATGATAAAGGTTGTTGACAAACTTATGGGAGAAAGTATGTGTCAGAATGCTGATACCGTTTCTTTAAATTCATTTTACGTGCTTATTTTTGAGCCTATTTTAATTTATAAAGAGATTCCGCACATCTACATGAAAATATCTTTCTAACGCACAGTATGTGTGGATTTTCCCCGCGATGCACATGAGCTGAGAAAAAGGTTTTATAGAAACATGCTTGTCCATTAATATATAGATAGATATTTAATAGGCCAACATTTATTTTGTGATCATTGTTTTTTGTTTTGAAGCTGCTACGCATCCAATCACCAAGTTTAAGGTGTCGTTGGATAGGTTGTTGCACCTAGATATTCCATCAAACAGAACATTTTTGAAATTCGATCAGGGCTCTGCCCCAGTGGACTTCAAAGTTGCTATGTTATCCTTATGGAGAAAATATAAATGAACACATGAATACTTTGAAATTTACACCAACATTTTAAACAGCTGGTTGTATTAAAATTGAAACATGTGCTATAAGGATTAAGTACCAAATATTTGTGTTTTACCATAGATGGTTTTACCTTCTTCATATCGTTTAGTTTTGTGTAACAATTTCCTTCCTTTATTTTGTTTCATTCAATTAACTCTTACTTTTTTAAACCCCCCCCCCCCATTTTTAGTAATTTGTTTAGTAGCCTTTTACTTTGAATTCAAATTGTGTATGTGTGAAACTTTGAACTCCTAAAACTGTTATTTGAAGAAGCTATTTTTTCATCAGAAGAAACGTATGGCCATAATCACATACCCAGAACTCCATGTGTGGTAACCTGATAGTATCTAAATTTAGAACCAAAAGTCCATAAATATAATTTTGTTTTATCAAAATTAAGTTCATTATCCCTTCATACAGTCCACTTTCTTAAAAAAGCCTTCTTAGGAATACACCAAACTAATTGTGGTGTATTCCAGATCTTTCTTTTACTGAAACTAAACAACAGGACATTTTTATGAGAGGAGAATACAAATCTCAAAGGAACAGTTATTGTTTATCGAGTTCCATACATTGTAAGGGATAGCAACTACATTCTCCTCTATGATTATTTAAGATAAGTGCTCTAAGAATCATACATTCTTGATATTAGTTTTGAGTTTTGAACATGTTTTCCATAATCGAAAAGAAAATTATTTTTATTATATCGAATAGGGAAGGATGGTCGGGTTTGGGCATTTGCCGTGATCACAGAAGACTAAGATGACGTTTCCGTGACCGCGGGAGACAATGATCATAATGAAAATGATCACGATATTATAAGGATTTATTTTGCAACACTGGCTCACTGAATTTTGGAAATTTAATGTAAAATGAAAATCATTTATTTACACATGCAAAGTTAGGGCCACATGGTCCTTTCTAAAGTACGGCATTATGTTGAAAGGAAATATGTCATTGTCAAGTTCGAGTGGCTAAACTACAAGAATCATCAACCAAAGTTGAAAGGGGATTAACCTCGTGATGGAAAACAAGTTATTCAGATACCTGTAAGGTGGAAAGGGTAAAGGAAATCCACACTTTTGTCGTGGTCCTTAGTTTATGGCAAATATCAGAGATACTCAGTCCAGACAATGCAACTTTTAACTTTTTGTGGTAAATCCGGTACTGCGTACAAGACTCATCAACCAAAGTTGAAAGGGGATTATACTGTTTATACGCCTTGCAAGAGTTGGACAACGAACCCCTTTTTGTAACGTGACACGTCCGCCACGAAAAGTATATGTAGATATTTTTATAGTGTTTAGTAAATATGTAAATAGAAATTACATGACGCAATCTATCCGACATGTCGGTCAACGATGTAGAAGCCAAGTATTCAAGTAAAGTATTCAAGTATTAAACTGTTCTATGAAATGGTGACCACTGACCATACAAAGTAGGTATTTTAAGCCAAGTATGAATGGAGATGAGTGGCGCGATCTTGTAGTCTTGTTAGTGACTTTAGGATGACATTCCTTAGACACAGCTGTTAATTAATAGCCCATACTAATAAATGGCAACTAAGGGACCTACAGTTTATAGTGGAATCCGAACCACATTTTTGCCTTGGTAATTACGAATTGGTCTAATTATCAGGATTAACCTCGTGCTGTAGAATTTCGCAGTGTATGGTACCCACTCTTAAGGATAATTGTCAAACATTGAAGATAGAAAAATCAATGCTACCGTTATCGCGTAACATAATAAATGATTCAAAATACTACTCTCTGGAGGTTTTTTTTGTTTGAAATCGCTACCTCGCTACCGTATCGTCTGCAGTTGATGATCTGCCACCTGTCGTTGTCGATCTGATCTGTCTCGCGCTGTCTGTGTTGGTGTTGGTGGTGTTCCGTGGTTTTCTTTCTATCGATGTCGATGTGACAGATCTGTCTGTGTTCCGCAGTTTTGATAAGTTAAGAAACACATTTGAAGTATTAAAGCATCGAAGGAAATGTCTGTAGCGAATAACACAAGTGGTCGTACAAACAGCAGAAAATTTAAGTGGGCTTTGGATCTAAATTCAAGGTAACTTAGGTAGGCTAAGGGCCGCTTTCCCCAAATCAAGTTTAACTTAATCTCGGTTAACTTTAATCTGTGGGTTAAACTTAGGATGGCTTTCCCCACTATTTTGTCATGAAAGTTTAGTTTAACCTAGCTTTTCTTTGCAAGCAACAATGTTGGCAACACTGTTATGCAATTTTGTCTGCAATATTAGCTGTTTAACTTCCCACTATGACATATCTGTCATTAATTTTCTCGTGTTTTGGTTATTTGTATTAGGTTTCTTGCCATTATCTCCAATTGTTGACATTAAAAAGAAACATTTTTATTTGCAGGCTAATAAATTGTACTGATGCTAATTTATAAGCATTTCATTTATTGTGTTTATTTAAGCTCAAACTTAATTAAACAGTAGGCCTACTGTACGCATCAAATAAAAGCATTTACACTCATGGGAAAATAAAATGTTGGGAAAGACGCGAAATTAATGTTTGTGGATTAAAAGCTAGCTAGAGCCTATTCTTTGTAATGGCAGGCCTAGGCTACTCAGCATTAGACACGTTCGATGTTTCTAAACTAAATTTAATTTCAAACCAAAAGGCTTCTTATGACTAAACTTTCCACCCAATTTTTCGTTGCTGTGGACAAGGTAACCTATCGATTGTACACAACTACGATACTACCTACCGAAAATATAATAATTTAGGCCTACTCTACGCATTTAAAAACCTTAAAACCATTACTGTATATCTTTAGCCTTATTTATATCTTTAAATTTAAAATAGTCATGAATTAATTGTCTACATAGGTTCTGGTTTGTTATTTCTTAATTTATTTCCAGTTCAATTTATTTTAGGTTATGTTAACAAATGTCAAACAAGGATATTTGCCATTGCCGTCTGCCGAACGTAACAAGTCAGGCAAGAGCCAATCAAAATCAAGCTATTATTCTTCTCTCCTGGGTTAACCCACGGATCGCCAGTTAAACCAGCCTCACCCCTAGGGTTAACTTAAACCTAGTTTAAACGGAGAAATTATTTTGGGGAAAGTGAATCTGAGGTTAAACTAGAGTTTAAACCGCGATCAGAGTTAAACTTGATTTGGGGAAAGCGGCCCTAAGTTTCCTAAAGTATTTAACTTAATCTAGGCATAAGCTGATTAGGCATACTCCGAATGTTTAAAGCCTAATCCATTTCCTGCATCCATTTTACAAAATGAGTGAATCAGTTTCTTAACTGGGCTATGCTTATATAGATTGAAACTATCGAATTGGAAATATTGATTAATAATCAATATGTCTATTATAAAATTAAACTATCATAACCTAACCAACCAAACTTGCTGATGGTTAAAAAAATCGCATGAAGGTTTACTAATCGAATCGATAGTTTCAATCGATATTAGCATAGCCCAGTTAAGAAACTGTACCCGAGTGGATTCATAGACTGGCAGAATTTTGAAATGTAAATCAAGATCTTAGGTTTCATTTTATTAGGCTAGGCCTACTTAGGCTTAGGCTATATTTATTCTGATTCCATTGTTGATCTTGAAGATTGTACAATAAAGGTTCTCTCTCCCTCTCCCTATTAGGACTAGACGAGAATAAGAAAGCTAGTGATTGGTAATATCATTGATTAATAAATTCCTCTCTAAAAGCCGATGGTAGGCGTAGGCCTAGGCTAATATGAATTAAAATTCTTTGTATGGACTAGGCCTAGGCCAAGTAGGCCTACACACGAATGCAACCACTTTTAATTAGGTTTCAAGATTGTGTGAACCAGTAGCCCATTAAGTTAGCCTAAGCCAAATGGGTTGCTTTTGGTTTTGTTTGCTGTAATTTTTTGCATTTTATTTTTAATTTCTATAAAAATTGTATATTGTTCTATATTTTGACGATGCCTATTGCATTTCATACCTAATGGAAAATAAAGCATTTAGTTTCATTTCAAATTAATTACAACTTGTTTAACCTGGCGTAAACTTGCCTTACTTACTTTGGCGACTTAATACTGATAGTGAATGGTTTAACTTAAAGCCCACTGAAAAATCTCCCATTGGCCTAATTAAAAAAGTTTACAAAACAAAGTTAGGCCTAAATCTGCATTTACTTATTAGATCAGGGCTAGCTTATTTTTAAAACAAAACTAAGTTATTTTATAATATGTATTATATTATGAGCTCGGCTCCTTGTAGTTCCTTCCCTTCAGTTCTTAGTCACTGTAATAATCCTCATTTAAACCGCCATCAGAACCAATAATTGGCATGCTTTAACTTTACTAGAGGTACAGTAAGTACTTTGATTTTGGACCCTGAATCTGTCACTGTTCTGACATTAGGTAAGTTAATGTACCTATGGTATTTTATAATTAAGTTAAGCGTTCAAAGTCAGGGTTTATGGAGATTGAAGTAAGTAGTAGGAGTATGGCACGAGTGACTGGTCAAGTGGGTACAGAATTGCAGGTAATTGAATGGAATTCATGATAACTTAAGCTCCCCTCACTATCACGCTCCCTTGTAACTTTTATTGCTTTATAGATCTTTAGTGTCTAAATATTTAAATACCTATAACTTATACGGCTGCACTTTACTTTAGGTCCTACACTCATTCGAATGAAAATATCAATCGATAGGCCTATATCGATTGTTTCATTCGATATATCGTTTGGTAAGTTAGGTGAGGTTAACCTTACCTAACTAACCAAACGATATATCGAATGAAACAGTCGATATTTTCATTCGAATGAGTGTAGGACCTAAAGTAAAGTGCAGCCACTTATACCATATACACTAATGATTGCCTGCAATTCTGTACCCACTTGGCCACAGTCACTGTTTCTAGTGTCCTGGAGTCAAAAATGACTACAGTATTCGACTTAGTATGATGCGGCCCTTCTCTCCTTAACCGCTAAATTTTGTAGGCCTACTCTAAATTATGACTTTGTACCCTAAATTATAAAATTCCATCCACAAAGTGAGAATTAGTTACCTGGACAACTTAAACCATTACCAATTATTTAACCTGACTACATGACTATTAGGCGGTAACTGATCAATAGGGGTAATAGGCCTTCGGGGAAGGGAGAGAGCAAAATTATGTTCAACCGATTCCTAGAAAGAGGGGCGTTATGTATGGTTAACTCTTGAAACTGCCTAGAGGAAAACTCTGTTTTGACACCTATGAAGGGTTAAAGAGTACTAACTAACTACTTTGACATTGACAGATGTAAACAAGAAAAGGCGGCAGACCTGGCTTCACCCCCAGGGTACAACTTTTCTGTGGGCCAGGTTTATACTGAAACTTCCAAAGAGAATGATGCAAACCATTTAATCATCAAGAAATCTTGGGACTTAGCTCTCGGACCTTTAAAGCAAGTAAGTATGTTGGCAGGCAAGTAAGTAAAAGTAGTCTTGTACACAGCTCACAACTTATTTATACTATTTTTTTAAATATCCATACACTTAATTCATAAAGGGGTTTTTCTGTAACAACCATTTTCACTCATTCTACTCAACAGATTTTTACGATTTAGTATAATTTTAAAGCTTATGATGTAGCGCAAGAACTAATGTTAAGTAGCCTAAATAAAAATATAAAAAGGTCCTTTAAGGCATAGCCCTTCTCTAGCCTTTGTTTTATTCCTATAAGGCACTTTTAAAGATCCAGTGCTTGTAAACAAATTTGTTTCACGGTTTAAATTATGAATTTTAAAATTTAATAGCTGATTACTTTAATTTTTTTCATAGTTGGATTGTAGCAAGCAAAACAAACAGTTTATCAAAATAGATATAAATAGACCGTTAATCCATTAAATCTACTTTCTGTGTTCTTGATGATTTTCCTTATTCCTCTCGGGAAAGTAAAGTCTATTGTGTTTGGTTGCATGAGAAACTAGAGTGATGTTGTTGCAGGTGCCAATGAACCTGTTCATCATGTACATGGCAGGAAACTCGATATCCATTTTCCCTATAATGATGGTCGGGATGTTGATCATTAGACCAATTAAAGCCCTCTTCACTATGCAAACAAGTAAGTTTTAATCAAGCAAAACTAAAAACTGAGACTTAAAACCAAATATAACGTTCTAATCATAGACAATATCCTAACTGTTTAATTTGATCTTTGTTACATAACCAAAAATTAAAGCACAAATCTTAAAATAGCTTGTAAAAAATAACCTGACTCGTACTTTCCATTTCCTCTTTAACGATAACCCTCTTAGGTACTTTGGTATTATTCGAAGGCCACCCTTATATAGTGTGCTGGGGCAGTTATGTTAGGTTGGGTTAACATAAAAACATTTATAGGACTTTCCTTGATTCGTTATGAATGGAATAATACCAGATGAGTCATACTTTCACCCGCCAAATAGGCCAAGGTCAGGTCGTTGACCAGAGCGTGAATGATGATTGATCTGGAATCGTTTAATTCATAACAAAGCGAGGAAAGACCCATAAAAATATTAATGATCACCCAACCTAACATAACCGCCGCAGCACGCTGTATACCTACTTGGCGGAGTACATGTGGCAGCTAGCGGCTGCAACACATTCAACTCAATCCTCGACGACATCGCTGCCTTCTGGGAGGCCGCTGATCGTAATCATGTCAAATTTGGACATTAAGTCAATTAAAGTATGTTCTTTCCAATTATGTAGTTATTTTTGGACTCCGGTAAAAAATCCCTCAATGATAAGTGGCCTCTAGATAATACCAAAGTGCCCTGTTGATTTGAAACCTTCGGCTATCACTTACTGATGTTATCTAACAAATAGTTGAATTGAGATAGTAGTAAGATAGGGCAACACTATATAAACTGTAGTAAAATAGTTATATTTTGGAAATTTGTGAAATAAATTGTATAGGCCTAACTCAATTTAATTTTTTAAGCTTTCAAGATGATTGAAGGGAGTCATGCTGCCGGACAGAAGATTGTTTATTTCCTCGGCAATATTGTCAACATCGCACTGGCCTTGTACAAGTGTCAGTTCATGGGTCTGTTACCAACTCACACTTCTGATTGGCTGGCTTTTGTTGAACCTCAGATAAGAATGGAGTACAGTGGTGGAGGCGCAGTCTTCACATAACCTTCAGCCAAAGACATTCTTGTGAATTACTTTCACATTTATATACAATTTAGTGTGTAACTGTATTCAAAATAGCCACATGGATGTGTTACTGAGATAAATATTCAATGGTAATATTATCATTCAAGTGTAATAAAGTATTGTTGTATTTATAATGAGGTGGTTAACTTAATTTTCCAATGTGGTTCAAATGTGGTATTCTGCCCAACTTAAGAATTAATTGAAGGAACATCTGGCTATTCGGCAAAAAGGCAATACTGTATTGTGAATGACTAGCTTAGTACGGTTGTTAAAAAAATAATTGGATGTTACATTAGGGTCTCAATTAGGCGACTAACCAGCTGTGACGGGATCTCATAAGCTGAACGGTCGGATAATTTGGAAAATAATGTAAACCATTGCAAACATGTTGAAAATCATAGAATTAACATCATGCCAATTTCCAAACTTATGTCATCTTTATTTTACACTAAAATGACCTCTTGTGGTACTTTGGATCCAAGGTCATTTGTTCTGATCCTGGTGCTTGCCACTTTATCAATACATTTAAACTCTTGTACTGTACAGGATCACTCCTTACATTGCTGGATACATTCCATGAACAGTCTAAGGCCCATGTGGATGGGCAAATGTAAGATTAAAAGAGCCACCAACTTATTAAAAAAAATAATAATAAAATGCAGCAAAGTGCATGTCCCTAAAGCCTTGGGACGTATCTAAGCATCAGGGGGTAACAAAAATAATGAATTGTCTTGCCCACCTGCTACAATATACAGTCATAGCACATTATAATAGAATACAAGTACACTGTACTCTTTTTTGAGAGTTAACAGTTCACTGTCTAAATTTATGTTTTGACAAAAACACTGATTAGTGAATCAGCCTTTTTTTAGTTGAAGATGTTTGTGGGACACAAATAAGGTAAATACCCATTAACTCATTACACATGCACTAAAACAATGAGTTAAAACAGCAAATCCCTTTATGTTCATAGTTTAAAATTGTCAATTGTTTAGAAAATAATAAGCTATTTCTTTGTCGTTTTTAATTTCTGTAAGTCAAATAAAGGCTCATAAAATATACCCGCTTGAACTCGTAAATTTGTAAAATTTGTAAGATAACTTTTAAAAATAAAACAATCACATCCCCCAGGTAATGAAGGGGTTCTCTGGAATATGAGTCATAGGCTATTCATGATGATTATGTACAAGATTGATTATGCCATATTAAATGACCCCTTAAATTTTTTCTGCATCATAGGCATGTGTCGTAATGCTAAATGATAAACTTTTAAAGATACAGTGAAGTGAGGGAAATAATTAACAAAATTATTCAAATCAACAAGATTTTATTGGGATTAGTTACATTAACAGTAGAGTGCCATTGTCATATTCAAAATTGTGAATTGAGTATTGATTAGTCTATAAATCAATTTCATCTTTGGGAGTAAGCCTAAATAACAAATAATAAGTGACTAGTTTATGTTTTATTGGCAGATCTATGAAGCAAAACAAATCACTGAACTCATAAGTTTTGTTAGTTTTAACAAATAGCCAAAGTCAAAGTTAAATGCATTTATAATAGTCAAACTTAGGTGCTACAATTGACAAGTGCACTATGAGATATCTTCATGCTCTTGAGCTCAAATTTGGGTTAAGGATTGATGAACAACCAAGATTGATGAAAATATGTTAAGAAAAGCATCATTGTTATCACATTTGGTACCTACTGCTGTACCATTGTGAATAATTAAAACTCATTGTATTTCTGGCTGTTCACTCGAGTCAAACTAATACATTTCAATGTATAATAATCTTCTTACATGGAGTATAGAATTTATAGCTCAATTATTATTCCAAATACAGCAAATTACAACTATTGTGGTATAACTTCTCTCCCAAAATCTACAACTTCAAACACAATTAGGAAACAAACGATTTACAATGTGATGCCGATTATCAGTCTTTTTTCCCCTTTTCTTCTAAATATTTTAGAAGTTTGTTCCAAAGTGTTGTTGGATCATCTACTCGTTGAATCTGAAACCCAAGTTTTTAACTGTTATTAGTTTCCCATGTTATCAGTTTTAACAGGGTTCCCAAACACACTTAAAACAGAATATGTCAGAGTTTTTCACAAAGTTTTAGAGTAAATTTATATTTTTGATTGATAGTAAGGTTAAAAATGAAAAATTTCACTGCCGTAAAAACTAGTAGAAAAAGTCACAAAGTATTGTGAATTTAACATTTTTTGATATCATTCAGATTCAAATTCACTATATTGTTTTGAATATGAATAGCATCAAGACTAAAACTAAATAAATATGAATATACACTACCCATGAGTGCAATATTAAAAGTTTTGAGGGACCTGTAAAGTGAGGTAAGTACTGGAAAGTAAAATAAGTTTACCTACGACCGTTTTTTAAAGTAGCCGTTTCAGTACAGTTCTTAGAATTGAACAATTTCTCATAACAGCATTGTTTACTTTCATAACAGCATTGTTTACTTTCATAACAGCATAGTTTTACTCATAACAACACGGGTAACGGACCAATGAGGTTCAGGATTGTGTAAGAAGAAGTAAAATTGTAATGATTCAAACTTCAACTAATCAGCTGTTCAGGCCAATTTAATTGTTGAGTGGTGCAATTAGTATAGCGCCTCGTTTTCCTCGTCACAAACGGATGAGAACCTCTTTAGAGAATGAGTGGGGGGCGTGACGTCACTCTTCTCTCGAGGGAACACCATTACCGTAACGAGACAATTTGATTCCAGCGGCGTTCGTGGTGTAGTTGATAGCGTCTCGGACTGATGTTCTGGAGGTCTCCAGTTCGAATACCGCCGGGGACACTAACTGATTTTGCTCAGAATGTGAGTACTTCTAAACTGTACATCTTTTGTTAGAATTTGAGACATTTATAATTTTATTTATGAACAGAACTATTTCTTTTACATAGTAAAACTTCATTTAATTTTTATATTATATCTGTTTTATATTATCAGCAAGTTTGTTTGGTTAGGTTAGGTTATAATAGTTAAATTTTGTAAAAAAAATTGTAAAATTAATTTTATAATTAAAAAGTTATAATTAAAAAAAAAAATTATAAAATAAATTTAAAGTTTTACCTAAATCAACATGAGGGGCTCTCCCACAATCCTCCACTCCTTCGCAGAAAAGGTTCTCATCAGTTCCGGACGAGGAAAATGAGACGCTAGTGTGCAATTAGTGTTTGGTACAATGTTCCGTTGCATGACTGTCAGTGGCAATGAGAGGTTATAAACGAAAACATAACCTTTCTTAGAAGTTATGAGTAGCGATTTTTACTAATTAAAACACTGTTGTAGGTAAAGTAGTGTACACAACTCGCGTAAATAGTGTTAACGACACTCAAAGAAGTTTTTAAGGCACTCGCCAAGGCTCGTACATTAAGTTTTCTACTTGTGTCGTTAACATTATCTTGACACAATCGCGTAAACTACTATCGGCCTAATTACATTTTATGTACATAATAATGTAGCCTACAGAGACTCTATCCCTTATTAAACGGTTATCAGGGTTTAGTGGGTACCCTTACAGGAATTTACTAAACAACTGATTGTAATATAAAGTTTGGAGTTTTCAATGGCTCAATGGTTTTCAATGGTATTGGTTACACAATCTAAAGAAAATGATTGAGTCAAACTGCTACATTTTATAAAAGCTTTATGATTTTTAGTTTTAATAAAATACACTCATAGTCATAGAACAGGTAATTAGAATTACAGTAGACTCCATCTTAACCGGACTACACTCGGCAGAAATTACATCCATTTAACCGGACAATTCTTATCAGCACATTGGTTTAACCGGACCAGATCGACAATGTAGGCATTACTGAAACGACTGGGGATCGTTGTTAAGATTTTAGAACAGTGAACATGTGTCTAAATACAATGCTCTCCTAAATTTAGGTCAAATCCTGTATAAAGTACGCATTTAAAAGGTCAGTTTTAACGAGTTTGTAGGAATGTTGGTTTAACTGGAAAAACCGTTATCCGGACTGGCCTCAGTCCCGAGAAGTCCGGATAAGAGTGATTCTACTGTATGATTTTTCTAAATTCTTCATTTTATTGATACAGTATCTAGTTTTTCTTTTTTTCCAGTTTAAACAAATACCGGTAAACTTTGTTTGACTCATCCTCTCCTGAGTTTGTCAAGTGTAAGAAGTACAAAAAAATCTCTTTTAAGGCTCCCTCAAAACCATCAGTTCTAAAATGCAGATGAGTAATAAACTATTTTACCTCATAATTCTGTGCCGCGTAAACGCCTGAGTAGAAGCCAATGCCAAATGTAACCTGCAAAAGTATTAGAATTACATTAAACATTTTCAGAATGAAATATAACATGGAATTTTAAAGATTTATCTAAACTTTATTACTGAGCAGGAAAGCTGGTTGTGATAACAGTTGATTGTGCAAATAGCTCATAGTTGTACGTAGGCCTATTAATTGGGTATGGACACGATCTTATTATTTGTTTTTTTTTTACTTAACCCCCCCCCCCTCCCCCTTACATAGTTTAAGGAGGGAGTATTATTTTTGTCAAAGGTTTTGGGTTGGGCGTTGGGCCTTCTGAACATAAAATATCTTACCTTACAAGTGTAGTAAGAGCGTTTTTACATCACGCAGGTTAATGTTGTGCAACGAGCAGAAGCGAGTTGCATAACTCACCTAAGTGATGTAAACACGTTCTTGCGCAGCGTATAACAAAAAATATTTTACCTCACCCAACAATATACAGGGGGTTAGGTACAATATTTGTCATTATCCATTTTCCTCATCTTTTAACAGTAAGTACAGTAATAATGATAATAGGTTAAATACCTTATTTACGTCTTCAATCCAAATCGTCTTTTTATGATTACTAGCCTATATAGTTTCGGGGCTAACAGCTCCATTCTCAAATCTTCTTGTCTTGTTAAACTATTGTTAATAGCATTGGACATTGTTGAAGTTCACATGTAGGCCTAGACATACACTCACACACGAAACATTTATACAAGCAACATTGAAATTTAATATTTTGGCCGACCTAAACGAAAGTGACTAAGCGTTGTGGTTGTACAGACACTGACTGACCTCAACGGAGCTGTTAGCCCCGAAACTGTAGTAATCATAAAAAGATGATTTGGATTGAAGACGTAAATAAGGTATTTAACCTATTATCATTATTACTCTTTATCAATCCAGGAGGCATAACAAATTCTAACAGTACAGTAGACTCCCTCTCATCCGGACACCTTTTAACCGGACATCAGTTTAACCGGACTACAGTCGACGGAAATGACATCTCTTTAACCGGACAATTATTATCAGCACATTGGTTTAACCGGACTAGATCGGCAGGAAGTGGGTGGTACTGTAACGACTGTTCTCGTGGGAAAGATTTGAGACCCGTGATCACATGTCTTAATACAATGCTCTCCTAAATTTAAGTCGAATATCACCGTAAACGGTCCATTTTAATGAGTTTTTGGGGATGTCGGCTTAACCGGAAAAACCGTTATCCGGACTGGCCTCGGTCCCAAGGAGTCCGGATAAGAGGGAGTCTACTGAAACATTCTTTTACAAACAAAAGCTAGGTTAGGAAAATTCTTTAAAGCATAACAATGAAATTCAAGCGCACATCTTATTTTTAGCATTGAACATCGTTGACTCCATAGAGTAATTTTTTATGTTGAGGAATCAATGTTATTTAAATGGGTTTCATTACTTCACCTAGTGAGTTTTTGAAAATGTAATTCACTCGTGAAGTAAGAAGTTGTATACATCACACTTGGGATTGGGAAGTTTAACATGGCGGGTTAGGTAAAAGAGGTTTTCACAGTATGAATGCCTGTGTGCGTTTGTGGATGTGTACAGAGCTACAGATTACACCTGTGGTCCGAAATGGATGTAATTTGGCATTCGGGTACTACTGACCCATAGCACCTCCAGGCGTTCTTTCCATAAAAAAATGTAATTTGTAACTAGAGGACCAATGCTGCTTCGCAGCGTTAAAATAAATATAGGCTAATGTCAGAGAAATAATCAAATTTATGATTTTTGATTATGTATTACAGTATCGTGAGCTTAACTGATTCAAAAATAGCTCAAATTAAAGCCTATAACTTACTGATTATTTTGAGTCTAAAAATATAAAAAAAACATGTACAATACTGGAGCTATTGATTTGTAATCGTAGAAAACCCTTATGAAAAATAATTTGTATGTTGTTGTTAAACCAAATCCCACATGGGAACACTGTTAGAGAGTTAACTAGAATCTTGTCTGGAACAAAAAACTGTAGCCTAATAATAAACTTAAGTTAGTGAAAAAAATAATCTAGACTTTTTTGTTCATCTGTTGTGGAAAAATAAAAATGGGTAGCTTGCTTTGAATCACTAAACTAAATAATCCTCTGTTTAAATGAATGAGGTTGATGTCCTGGTAAGATTTTTTTGGTTGCGAGCACTACTTATTGCTGACTTAACCCCCCAGGTACATGGTATTGATACTGTCGTGTCCGTTGAAGTGTCCTCTATCTGGTAACACTCTCGGTAATAACCTACGCGGCCGTATTTTTCTGTAAAATAGGCAGCAATAGATTTTTTCGGGCGAGCACTACTTATTGCTGACTTAACCCCCCTTAACTTACCCCTTAAGTACGTGATATTGATACTGTCGTGTCCATTAATGTGTCCTCCAGCTGACCCTCTCGGTAATAACCTACGCGGCCGTATTTTCCCGAAAAATTACCAGCAATGGATTTTATCGGGCGCGCGCACTACTTATTTCTGGAGTTATTGCTAGGTTAACACCTTCAAGTCCATCAGCAAGTTTGGTTGGTTAGGTTAGGTTATGATACCTAGTTTAATTTTATAATAGATAGCCTATATTTAAAAAAATTGATTATTAATCAATATTTTCAATTCGATAGTTTCAATCGATATTAGCATAGCCCAGTTAAGAAACTGTACCCCAAAAAAATATGTGGGCCAAAACTCACCAATGTTTTTATCATTTTGTAGGTGAACTTCGATATTTCTAGGTAGGCTTATCCTATCCTAACTCTTCAATAATGCAAAAAATGACTCATAGTAATTACGGTACTGTGAATTAATAGAAAATACACTAGGGCCGAGGGCCTACTACAATAATAACCAATTTTTCACAAATCAAGAAACTAGGCTTAGAGAAAAAATGAATTATTTCACTTCAAATCAGTCAATCCTAAACCTAAACCTAACCTGTAAAAAAATGAAATGAATGGAGTCGAATGGACCAAAACCTCTACCACTACCACACTCAGTCCAGTCTTGGAGTCCTCCTCAGTCCAGTCCACTACTTCTACTTCGTACTTCCACAGTTCCACAACGACCACAACCACTATTGGAATTACGTCTTTGCTCAGCTACGTTCTCAGCTACGTCTGCTGAAAACGTTCTAATCAACAACAACAAACAACATGGCCATCACAATCATAATAATAAATAACCCAGATTCAAGGTTAAAGAGCGAGAAGAAAAGAAGAGAAGTTTTGTTAATGTTTTGGCCCTAGGGCCCCGATCTTGCCGTGTAACAAAGAAAAAATCGTGTAACTAACTAAGTGATTATTGTTTCGGGGGATAAGTTAATCTTTAAGAACCACATTGTTTGTTGTTTTCTTATTTTTGTTGCACTAGACGCATTAAGTGTATAGGCCTAGGCCTATACAACATGTGGATGTAATTTTCGTAGGCTATGCTCGTACTGTGAGTGAGTAACTTATAGTTACCTACTTAAAGATAAATACATAGGTAGGGTCTTGCTCTCGTTTGAACAATTATAGCCTAATTGGACCTTTAGCAGTTCAACTTTTAATGGCTACAGAAATTTTATGTAGAAGAGCAAAACAATGGTAAGTAAGTTAACAGATAAAACTTATTTTAAATCTTTTAGCACTGACAAATAGAATTAAATATAGACTGACAGCAGTGCTGCGGCACAGAAAACATACTACAACCCAGAATACCAACCGTATGGTAATAAGCGTTAAGTACTTTGAGAGAGCTTTGCCTGTCAATTTGTAGGCAGCGCCACCTGAGTGCATAGCCAACGCTGGTGGCGCTGCCTACGAATTGACAGGCAAAGCTCTCTCAAAGTAGGTACTTTGAGGCATTCTGGGTACAGTAGACCCCCTCTTAACCCAAGGCTATTAAAAAGAAAAAGAGGTTGCCTCAGTCGCGCGTATGACGTCACCCGCCGACCCGGACGGTGCTGCTTTTAATTCACACAGCTGTCACCTGTCAAGTACTTTGTTATTGTTGTTTGTTTTTCATTTATTTATTTGTAAACAGATCCGGGTCGGCGGGTGACGTCATACGCGCGACTGAGGCAACCTCTTTTTCTTTTTAATAGCCTTGCTCTTAACCGACCTCGTATTAACCGATAATCGGATTATCCGCCTTTGATCGTAAAATAATACAGTTTGTTTTAACCGACCTTGCTTTGAGAGCAGCTCGGTTTAACCGCCGCTTTCTAGGAATCTCGGCATTTCCGCTCCCACGCTGGGCGATGAGAACTGAACCATACGCTTATCTCCACAGGATATGACTAACAATAAGTTATCTTGTGAAGATCACAAAAAATATAGCACAGCCTATTGTCAGTTTGTCATCATCGTACGTAGCTCGAGCACATCTGATCTGATTTGTTATCTGTGCGGCAAATTTATAACATCATAAAGTGTGTTACGATTTTGAGAACTGATTATCTTATCGCTGGAGTAAACAAACAACGCAACTTGTAGGGAGGGCAGGGAAGGGGTGTTAACAACTCCAAGGTCAAGATAGTTTTTTTGCCTCGAGCCTCCAGTGAGAGGCTATAAATAAACGTCCTGTCTTGTAACAAAATGGTCGCTTGTATCTTTAATGACGACAAAAGGTTCTGTACTGTATTACGATGTATTTGGAAAGCATTAATTATTACATTACAGTAGTAAAGTTATTGAAATAGGAATTTTATTGACTCTTGCCTAGTATTATAATATATTCTACTGAAAGTAGGCCTATTTGACTTAACCGTGTTTTGTGTTTATTTGTGACATTTCTATCAATATGAAAAAGGAGATAAGAGTAGTTTATTTTATAAATAATGCAAGTATGACTTCAAAATAATGATTATATAATTCCAAATGAATAGCACTTTATCATGTTATGATTTTAGGGATTGCCCGTTTTATCCGACCTTTTGAATCATCCGACCTAGGTCCGGTCCCATTTGGGTCGGTTAAGAGGGGGTCTACTGTACCTAGTTTGTTTTCTGTGCCTGCGGTTAGTATATGTTCTGGCGTCCACCACCAGGAATGCCATCTAGTTATGTATTGTGTGTGCTGCAACTACACTGCACTCCTCCTGGTGGTGGACGGCAAAACTTGTGTTAACCTAACCACAGCACTGCTGTCTAATTAAGTTAACTTAATGTTGATACAGTCTAGGAAGAAAAACACGTTCCCAGGAACAGATGTATGAAACCAAAATCATGTTCTCAAAACTTGTATCATCATTACTTAATTAAGTTAAGTTATTTCATCATAAGTTAGCCTAGATGCTAACTTGTCCTATGAAGACCTTTACTATGAAATGGCGACCGTACGAAAGTAAAACTTAGGTATTTAATCCAAGTAGGCTAGGCTATGAATGGAGATGAGTGTAGTATGAGTGGCGCAATCTTGTAGTCTTGTTAGTGACTAAGGCCGACATATTCCTTAGACACAGCTGTTAATTAGTAGCCGATACAACCAATGGCATCAAAGGGACCTACAGTTTGTAGTGGAATTCAAACCACATTTTTTTTGCCTCGTAATTAACAAATTGGTCTATGTAATTATCAGGATAATACCGTACCACTAAGTTTACGGATAGTCGTAGTACTCTATAGTGTGGGTGTTAATCCATACCAGAGAGTATCGCATCCACAGTGCATGCTTATAATTATCTACATTTTGTGAATTCCTAGTAGCTGGAATTCTACTTAGTGCTCTTTAACCAAAAAGAATATGTTTCTTACTCTTGGTTTAACTTAACTCAATAAAACTTTGTACCGTAGAGTAACTTAGGCCTAGTTTTGTTTAGAATTTAATGTGAGACTTAACACTACCCTACTTAGGCCGGCCGCACACTGGTCAGACAAAACGTTTTGTCGGTATACGTCTTGTCGGAAAACAAAAATGTTGCATTGGTGTGCGGTGGTCTTAGGCAAAAGACAAAAACAGGAGGGAAAACTAAATTCAGTCAGCAGTAGACCAGTGTTGTGTAAAGCCAGTTATTGTGTGGTGTTAATAAAATGGATGAGGAAGTGGACGTAGCAATTATGTTGTGGAACTTTATACAACTTGCAAAACTAAACAAAGAAAGGGAGCATAAATTTTCTGTATTTTCTGCATGGATCTAAAATGAACCACTACTAACTGTAAGGAAAATTATTAAAAAATAAGGAATTAGGCTAGCTGAAATATTTGAAATTTAAAAAACATTTTTATTATTTTCTGCATGAATTGAAAATGAACATCTACTAACTGTAAGAAAAATTATCACAATATATAGATAATTTCGAGTATTTGAAATTAAAATATCGTTTTATTATTTTCTGCATGAATTGAAAAGGAACTAAGTTACTAAGCTAACTGTAAGAAAAATTATTACACTATATAGATAAGTTGTACTGTATCCGCCCTCCGCGCATGCGCAGAACTGTTTGTCTGATCGCGTTTTGGCTTCAGACGAAATATTGGAGGCGCGGGCTAAATGAGTGGATTTTGTGTTTCTTCACTTTGAAGATGTGCTCATTGTAGCACGAAACAGCTGTCGTGTTTGACAACTATACAGGATCATTTTAGGCAAGGTAACATAAACCATATTCTGCTAACTTTAATGATCCAGAGGCTATCCATCATGATATTGGAGGCGATCACAAAAACACCCAAAAACGTCTTCAGACAAAACAACGCGTCTGAAGCCTCTGTCGCATCAGTGTGCGTTGCCTCCATTTAACTGCATGGCAGGCCACTCCCTTCCGACGTCTTTCGACAAAACATTTTGTCGCATCAGTGTGCGGCCGGCCTTAAGATTACTTACTTAGTTCCTTTGTATAACTAAGTTAGATCTATGGATCTGCTTTAATTTTGATTGTTTAACTTATTTAACTTATTTTTTGCTTAAAATCTTAAACATCTTAGTCTAACTTTAGTCTAATAGGCCAACAACAATAAACAGTCATTTCACTAAATTTTAAGTTGGCTAGGATTAACTTGGGCTATTACTTAGGGTACTAAGCTAAAACGAAATAAGTTAACCAACAAAAAGTAGGTTTAACTTATTTAGCCTACCTTACCCAATTAAATTAAAGAATAGTTTTTTATATTACTTGACTAACTTTAAGGATTTTCAATTTTTTAGGCTGAGCCCAGACATTTGGGGTTATGGATACATGAGATCTGTTTGTCGTCATATGACATCTGGGGAGGTTTCTACTGCACTTCGCCCATTTTACTTCACAGTTCATCCTGATTTATTTGGTCAATTTCCTCAAGAAAGGGTAATTATGAATTTGTTGATTAGTTTTTTGTTTTTTAAGAGGTTAGCGGCCTGTTTTTACCTTGCATTAGCCCGTCCACACAGACTATAGATCTGTGCGTGGAACATAAGTTATTCAGTGAAGCAAGGGGTGAGCCAGGACAATATACAGTAGACTCCCTCTTATCCGGACTCCTCGGGACCGATTCCAGTCCGGATAATGGTTTTTCCGGCTAAACCGACGTCCCCAAAAACTCTTTAAAACGGACCGTTTAAATGTACACTGTATACAGTATTTGACTTAAATTTAGGAGAGCATTGTATTTAAACTTGTGATCACTGGTCTCAAAACTTTCCCACGAAAACAGTAATTTCAGTACCGCCCACTTTCTGCCGATCTAGTCCGGTTAAACCGATGTGGTGATTAGTGGTAACTTATTGATCACGTGTCTAAAATCCAATGCTCTCCTAAATTTAAGTAAAAAATTTTGGGTTACGGTACATAACAAGTTTGGGGGGTTTAACCGGAAACCCGTTATCCGGACTGGCCTCGGTCCCGAGGAGTCCGGATAAGAGGGACTCTACTGTATAGGAATAGTATTAGTCCGTATGTAGTATAGTATTAGACTTTGTGACAAATCGCCTGTCAAGAGAATTTATGTAGGTAATGTGATGATGTTTAATAAATAAAATAAATAAATAAATAGGAAGAAGCTTGGATGCTAATGATGGTAGAATTGCGCTAATAATACACAGAGAAGGGTGACTGACTATTGGTACGTAAGAGTACGAGCCAGCTGATGTCGCAATTCTGCATCCTAAATCAAACTGAGTGCAAGGATTAAAATTTAGCGTAGCCTACTACGGTATTAAAATGTTTCATTATGGTATTGTTACAAAAATTTGTTTTAATTTCTAATATTGTTGGATGGTTACTGTAGAGAGCAAAATCAAAAAGTAGTAGAAAAGAGCAAAAAAATTATTCCCCTCCAAGAGATGCCACCAATCACCATAGATTTTTATGAAAATGTTTTTTTCATTCACTCATTGATAGTTGTAGGACTTATAAAGTAAAGTACATAAAATCAATCAAGTACCAATAAATCAAGTATCAATAAAGTACATAAAATACTACTCTTTTAACAAAACACTTGATTAAATAGTTGGTTTGGCTATGAAAAAATTATTTGTATACTGTAGGCTAAATATGTATTGGGATTAAGAATTTTAATGAATTCAATTTGATTAATTTAAATAATTATTATGTTTTAGCGAATTTCCCATGTAGGGAATAAGCTATTACCGTAGTACTCATGGTAAGACCTGGACGCGGGACTGATTTACTTTTTTGTTTTGAGGTCCCTAGAGGCCAAAAACACCATCAGTTCAAATTCATATATATATATATATATATATATATTGAGCGGAGCGAGCAAAGCGAGCGAAGCTCTTATACGTCGACTCTTGTGCATTTCGTAATACGCAAACTCCTCCTAGACGGCTGAATCAAATTTTGCATGGTGATAAAGACCATATCGGTGAGTGCCAACATCTATATGGCGTTAAAAAAGTCTCTCAGGAATCCGCCCCACTGGGTCTCAAAGTTTCAATGTAATCCTTATGGAAGCAGTATTTGACACATAAACAAAGGCATATGATCAGCTGTTGACTTTTGAATGCAGTAGTTAAAGAAATAGCTGATAGCATTATTCCACAGATATTAGAACAGAAACGGTATGGAACATAAATATAATCAAATGACGACACTAACTTGAGGTACGTGACGTAGGAAGTGGTGGAGGAAGTAGTAAAGGTGAGCAGTCTGGAATGTGGAAATTGTTTATGACGATTAGATAAACGTATATGCATTCCTAAAATTCTATGGAAAGGGGGTAAAACAGGTCCGCGAAGTAGGAAGTGCTGAAGGAAGTAGTCAAGGCGGGCTGTCCGGAGTATGGGAACCGTTTATGACAATTAGATTAAGGTATCTACAATCCTAAAATGCTATTGGAAGGGAAGGAAACAGGTCCGAGACGTAGGAAGTGGTGAAGGAAGTAGTAAAGGCAAGGAGTCCGGACTGGGGGAACTGTTTGTGACGATTAGATTAAGGTATCTGCAATCCTAAAATGCCATGGAAAGGGAGGGAAACAGGTCCATGACGTAGGAAGTGGTGAAGGAAGTAGTAAAGGCGAGCAGTCCGGAGTTTGGGAACTTTTTATGGCGATTAGATTAAGGTATCTGAAATCGTAAAATGCTATGGAAAGGGAGGCAAACAGGTCCGTGACGTAGGAAGTGGTGAAGGAAGTAGTAAAGGCAAGCAGTCCGGGGTTTGGGAAATTTTTTTATGATTAGATTAACGTATCTGCAATCCTAAAATGCTATGGAAAGGGAGGCAAACAGGTCCGTGACGTAGGAAGTGGTGAAGGAAGTAGTAAAGGCAAGCAGTCCGGGTTGTGGGAAATGTTTATGACAATTAGATTAAGGGATCTGCATACCTAAAATGCTACGGGAAGGGAGGAAAACAGGTCCGTGACGTAGGAAGTGGTGAAGGAAGTAGTAAATTCGAGCGGTCAGGAGTGTGGGAAACGTTTATGACAATTAGATTAAGGGATCTGCATACCTAAAATGCTACGGGAAGGGAGGAAAACAGGTCCGTGACGTAGGAAGTGGTGAAGGAAGTAGTAAATTCGAGCGGTCAGGAGTGTGGGAAACGTTTATGGCGATTAGATTAAGGGATCTGCAATCAAAAAATGCTATGGGAAGGGAGGAAAACAGGTCTCTGACGTAGGAAATGGTAAAGGAATTAGTAAGGCTAGCAGTGCAGAGTGTGGGAACTAACTTTGACAATTACATTAATATGTATCTGCAATCCTAAAATGCAATGGGAAGAGAAGGAAACAGGTCCACGACGTAGGGTGTGGTGAAGGAAGTAGTAAAGGTGAGCAGTGTTGAGTGTGAGAATGGATTAATGTATCTGCAATGCTAAAATGCTATGGGAAGACTGTAGGACTGTAGGTAAAAATGATTACGAAGCACGAATCGATACATATTTTTGATACATGCAATTGTTTACAATCAACATTTACAACTGAGTTGACAACAGCTGATTTTTACTCCATAGAGGCTAAAAACGATTTTTACTCCCTAAAGAGTAAAAATGCTACTTTAGACCCGCAACGCATTTATTCAAAACGACTGTTTTTACTGCACTATGACAAAAACAATATAATATGAACCCTTGATGACTCCGCTCAATTTTGTGGATGCCTCTGTGAACGCCACCTAGTATATATATATATATTGATTTGATTTTTTTTTAGCGAATTTCCCATATAGGGAATAAGCTATTACCGTAGTACTCATGGTAAGACCTGGACGCGGGACCGATTTTCTTTTTCATTTTGAGGTCCCTAGAGGCCAAAAACACCATCCACCACCATATTTATATATATATATATATATATATGTGTCCGTTAGCACGATAACTCGAGCAAAAATGATCCAATTTTGATGAAATTTGGTATAAACGTGTAAACCTATATTCATTCGAACGAGTTCGCGAACCAGCATGATCGGACCATGGGATCAGGTGTTTATGGGGGGTTTTATGGGGTAAAAATAGGTTTTTCCCATTTTTGACCCTATAAACACAACATTTCACAATTTCTTTCCAAACCATTTTGTAGAGCTTGAAAAAACAAATAATTTAGTATATTGAAGCATTATTGTGCGCCTAATGGTTACGGAGAAAATTCCAAAAAATTGTAAATTTAAAATTCCCATGTTATTCTTATGGAGAATAAGTCAACTGTTGTAATTTGCTTGTTTATGAACATATTTTGATCGAATTTGTAAAATACTTTCATTTCTTACTAAACTATTAACATTTTACAACAAAAATCACCTTTTTACCTTCCCTGTTGCAGCAAACCTAAGTACTCGTTTAACTAATTGTATTTAAATAGGGAATAAATGTGATATTTTTAAGGATGCATTTTAGTGTAAATCCAATCAGGCAAAAGGAAATTCGCTTAGTCTGCAGGTTTGCTGCGGCGGGGGTATTTAATTATTTTAATTTAAAGAATTTAAAGAACTTTAAAATTTAAATTAAGAAATTTAAATTATTAATTAGGGTATAATTTAACTAGAATTTCAACAAAAAAAAATCCTTTTCGTATTTAAAGTACATAATTTATATTTATGTTTGTCATCTAAGTTACTGTGTTGTCGCAGGCAGTCAACGAAAATTCATTGAAAACTCTGAGCTCAGTGCTGGAATCTCTTCAACAGAAAAAGCCTCAGAGACCTGTGACGTTACGGTTTTATCTGAAGCCTCAAGGTGTCGCCACATCACGAGGTATAAAACATCTCTTGCTGACAATGAAATAGAATAATTTTGAGGTTTTACAATTTTTAGGTCTCTTAACCATCTCAGGAAAGCACTGTTAACCACAGTAGAACCCCTCTCATACCGCATCCACAAGACTGGCCAGATAACGATATGGCCGGATAAACCAACCTATTAACTAATAAAAACAAAAAACTATATTTTATTTTATGCCTAATAATAAAGTAATCAATGTAGTCAAACGTAGGTAAGCCGTTAGTAAAACATGTTGATATTTGCTTCCTAGAAGTGGCCGAATAGACGAAGGACTAATAAAACCGAGGCCGGGTATAGGGTTCTATTGTTTACAGCTTTACATTGCCCCAACCAGGACTGGAGGAAAACTGATTTTGTAATAAGCTGACAATACCTGTAGCAAGTTAACAACAAGCTCTCATTTTGAGGATTGTAAGACGGCCTTTTTTTAACCATTATTTATCACACAATCCAAGGCTATGCAGATTAAATTTGATTAAGTTTGTGTTTTGCTCCTATCATTATCTGAGCATTTCAATGTTCTGACATTATAATCCTGCATCTGATGGGCATAAGGGCTACTACAACAATACATTAGATCAAAGATCAGAACCGGAGTTCATCAAATTTTTTGTTCAGTTTCTTCCAAGATTTAACTTAAGGTAAAACAATTAATAACTATTGTCTGTTTTTCAGAAAGCTTGAAATCTGTTAATATTAGTCTGAAAGAACAAGATCTATCAAAAACTCTCACTGTGATATTGTCAACATGCAATCTCCCTACGACTTATGTTGATAAAATTGCATCAAAGTCCCCCGAGACAACTCGACCATCGTTTAGAGATCAGGTTTACCACTATACTCAGAGGACAAACAAAAAATACAATGAGTATGACTACACGGATAACAGCAGGATCAAAAGGCCTGAACGAAAACCGAAACCTCCAAAGGAATTTCAGACATTGACGTAAGTTTTAGTTCCTCAAAAGTAGTTATTCTGATAATAGATGATCAAAAAATGTTATTGTATAAAAAGGTAAAAATTAACTTCTTTCTCAGTACATTGGTCAGCTGTGAGACTTATAAATTGTACTTTAACTCATTAAAAGCGGTGCCCTGTAGGCTAAATTTAGTTAAATATTTTTTTTAAATTTCTTTGTCTTGTGACAGCGAAACATTAAACTAAACTTAAAAACCAATTAAACTTACTTGTACTAAATGTATAGTCATTAAAGTCTCACATTTTCTTTTATTTATTGTAGGCCTATCTGTATGTGTAGTCATTTAATTTAAAACACAATATAATTTAAATACATAACATTTACTCTCTGAAGAAATTACATGACTTAGTTGACAACAGAGCTCAAGGTTAAGGTGTTGATTGACAAGGCGCTCGTCTAGCGTTTTGGTAGTCAGTTATGCAACTCGTCCCGGTTGTAATATCTGTAAGTACAGTATGGTTAGGTCCAGAGACAATGAGTTTATATTAAAGCTACCTACTGGGTTCTATAGTTTGTCACCAGGGTCGTAAATAACATCGGCATAGGGTTCCTAGTTCCTAGCCACTTACTTAAAAATATCTTTATCAAACCAAGATACCCGAATTGCTGGGTTGGGTGCCAAGTTTGTAGGACTTACCCGTGGTTCTTTATCTACAAGTAAATTTGAGTAGTAGTTACGTATTTTAATTTTGAAGTTCAAAGCTTAGAGTTTTACTTGAGTTATTGTTTTATGAAACCATTTTTCACAGTGGTTGGCTGGATGAGAATGAAGCGGAGGCCAGGGAAAAACTTGCCTCAGTAGGGCCGGTCCGTGAGGAAGTGTCTAAACTTCAGGATCAGGTGAGTTAGACAACTTAATGTTGCTATAAAATTACCTTGGTCTTCAATGCTGATAATCACTCATCTAAAAACAACACTTTATCCTGTCACTATTTAGACTAGCTAATTCAACAAGTACAGCTGATAACTGTACTTGGTATGTGCTGAAACAAGGCAACCTTAGAGTTACAATATAGGGAGATATGTTTTTAACCAATTTTTCCCATTTTTGACCCCCAAAACATGACATTTTTTGATTTCTTGCTAAACTATTTTGTAGAGCTTTAAAGAAACAAATAATTTTATGTTTAAGCGTTGTTGTACGTCTAATAATTACAGTATGTTTTTTTATTGAGGATAGTTGTAGTTTGCGTTTAGAGTTTTAGTTTGATCAAATTTGGCAAATTTGTTGATTTAATACTAATCTAAGCTATTAACAGTTCAATAAAATGCCTAATTTTCTACCTTCTCAGTTGTAGCAAAAAAAGTACTCATTAAATTTAATGTGATTTAAAAAATAAAATTTAAATCTAACAACTTTGAGGAGACATTTTTTTGTGAAAAACCTGAAAAAAATGAAAATTACCCTTTGTCTGCAGATTTACTGTGGCGGGCATATTTTACAAGTTGGTAATCGCTCGTTAAGAAAATATAATACGGGACAGTAATAATTTGAGTATTGAACAATTATTTTACCCTTCAAATAAAAGGAAATGAAAAAAATGAATGGAATAGGAGTTTTTTTTTATAGATAGTCTCAGACAAATTGTTGTCTTGGAGCTACTCTCTGAAGGAGTCCTATATTAGGGTGAAATTGAATTATCAGTTGTATGTTATGAGTCCTTAACGTTCAATGAATTAGGAACAATCATTTCTCAAACATTGTACCTTTGGCACATTGCTTTTTTTTGTGTTTCTACGTCTTTGGTATTTTAACAATTTTTTGGAGGGTGGAACAGTCCAAACCCTGGACTTGTAACTTAGCATGGCCTTGTTAGTTAGCCTTATTATTTGATAGCATTATTAATTAATTACTTGTTTACAGGCGTGCAGCTCTCTCGGACTGGCCGATGTTACGAGTGACTGTGGTTGGAATATTGCTCATTTCCGAGGCTGTCTTATGAGCTTCCTATCCTTGGCACAGCAGCACCCTGAACACATGGCCGTGCTCAAAGGTCAGGATTTTTTTTTAACCGACAACTGACTTTAACAACCGACCCATCCCTATTAACAAGTAATGGGATAGGAACGTGTAAAGATAGTAACAATAAGTGAGGACAACTTGTACACAATAATTACGGCTTTATCTTATGTCAGTTCTTTGTTCAACAGTAGGATTATACAATTACGTTTTCGAATGCGTGCTCGTTGATATTCTAAAACTTCAGTTAACAAAAGTATGTAATGAAGGTTTACTGTTTAGTCCATATTTAGATACTTTTTTTTACTTAATGTAGCTAAATGTAAATTTCCTAGTAACTGATTGTAAAGTGTGTTGCAGGCCGGTCGCTGGTGTTCAGCCGAGACACGGGAGTCAGTATGAAGGGACAAGTGTTGCTCAACAGCGGAGAAGTGCGGCAACATTGGCTGGACGTAAGACAATATATGCTACTTAAACTTACTGAGCTAGGTAGCGCTTATGGTTAGGTCTTTTTGAGATTAGCTTTGGTTTTTGTCCAATTTGTCCCAACAATTATTATAGAGTTTTTCAAATTACACTTTTTTGGCTATGACAACTTTTATTGGAGCCAAACTAATGGTGAATAATAGATCAACATCTATCAACACTTCCTGCTAGTATTATCACGATCAATTAAAATTCGCAAATTGAATATGTTTTTTTTATGGTTTTGTATTTATGTTTTTGTATTCATTTTTTTACATTTGTAGAGGGGAACGATACAAATCCTTTTACTCTATAACATAGACCTTTTGTTAGTCAGTCATCTCCACTACTTTCTGTGAGTGTGCCTGTCCATCATAAGCATTCCTCGTGCTAGAGGGTATATGTTCTTTGTTTTCAGTTAAGTAGGTGCACAGGCTTATAACTCTTGACAGTGTTTGTTTTTTGTTTTAGTTTATTAAGAATCTCCCAAAAGAAGACAAAGTTTTGCTTCGTCTGCCAGCTTTTGAGAAAGCAGCTTCAAGAGTTTTACGGGATATCAGAGTAGTTCGAAGGTAAAATTAAATGTCTTTAAAGCTCTATTGTTCGCTGTTCAAGTTGAAGGCCTTAAACACTCTTTATCTCTTAAAATAGTGTGTTCTACTCAGATGAACATAGCTATGTGTTGAAGAAACAGCAAATCATTTTTGGAGTTTTGATAAGTCATAATTAGCCTACGACCGGATTTTTCAATTGAAGGGTTCAAAACTTTTGAATCACCAATAGTAAAATGCTATTGCTCTGACTAACTGGCTGCATGAGTGAACTCACGTAAATTCAAAAATTTTACGAGGTTAATCTTATGTACCAAAGTTGTTTGGCGAAAAGGAACATCGTTAAGGGCGCGGGAAGAGAGACCTCTGCATCTAACCTAACGGGGAAATTCTTTTGAAAACTTTGGTATCTGTGATTCATATCTGTATCAACACTTAAGCCATGTCAAGTCTCAGAATACTAAGAAACCAATTATTGTTCCACGAATACCCTGTACCTGTTGCGGCCCTTAGGCCTCCTTATGGTTTTGACATTTTAGTTGCACCACCCGTTAATAATCTATGGGTCTCTCTGTTTCCCTGATACAAAGGTTTAAGCCTCACATTAATCTAGGTCCACCTATGATAAAATTAGTTAAATTGTGCTTGATTTTTCTACTTTGACTTAATTTCTCTTAAGATTTAACCTTTCCACTAGAGAAAACTTGGCAACAGTTTTGTTACTTCAGATTGGGTCAATAGTATACACTCTTATTTTGCATCATGTTGGACTTTCTTGTTGGCCAAAAAGATATTCTTGATTACAAACATTATTTTGCCTATTGTTTCAAGGAAATACCAGCCGAAAACAATGGCAGCAGAATATGAGAAAAACTTGAACAGGTTGACAACGTCTCTGGGTGATCACCAAGGTAGAAGAGGCTTCCCGAAAACTTGGCCGGACTCTTTGGAGAACTTCGAACTTGTTGTTGAAACGTAAGCTATTTTAGCTAAGCTAATTGTTATCTTTAACCTAAAAAACTGTAAAGATACCTCTCATACTTTAAAAATCTGGAGGCTTCTGTGTTGTTTTTTGTCCAGTTATGCTTGGATACGTTGATCTGGGCAAAAACGATTCCATCCTATTTTTATTTTATTCTATTTTTCATCTGTCTGGCCAGGAGAGAGCATCATAGATTGAGGGCTCCAAACTAGTTAACTGTTAAACCGTTTAGATTTTTATTATGTTTATATTTTATAAGATGGAGGGAATTATAGATGGAACCTTTCTTCTAACCCTTCGTCTATCTTTGACTGGTCTGGGCCTTAAACCATTGGCCACTCTCCAGGTAGCCGATACACGAGACAGGTTCCATCATACAGACCATAATAATATTTAGCATAATTTAACCACTGAATATTGTCAAATGCTAATAGCGAGGCGGGGCCGTTGATGGTATCACCGACTGGTCAGTTCATCGTGCCAGCCTCCTGTCCTTCGTTCCTATTGGTAAACTTTATCTCCGAAAACTTGGACAACGCTTCTCGCCTATTGCATCATTATAGATCGTAAGTAAATGATTACTACTGTACAGATGTTGTAAAAATATGTACCATCTTCTGAAAATTTGATCTTTACCAATGTTAAAAAAATTATTATGTTTTGATTACTGAGCCTTAAGTTAATCAGTTTAGGCATTATTCAACAGAAAACCTAGAATGTGTTTAAGGAAATTGACCTTTGTTTAGGTATTCTTTTACAAGAAACTGGTAAATAATTTGTTTAAGTTTATGATGACATTCAAACCTACATTTCCTATTTTTAGATATTGTAAAAATTTGTAGATTGACAAGACATATCTATTTCCAGCCATAAACACATTGAAAAAGAACTTCATAAACAATGCTTAGCGGAACTCAAACTGGAGGCCTTAAACAAAGACGACTGTGTTACACCTGATTTAATGACAAGCTGTCTGCAACGTCTGCTGGAACATCGAGATGAGCTGTCTTCACTTAGGCAAAACAGGCTTTATATAACCAACTACTATTCTGTGATGAGCGACGGCCAAATCTGTATACCGTGGGATTTCAAGTTGTAAACTTATTGTGGTAGACAACTTTGTAACTTTAGTTACTATTCTAGTCTAGCACAAGTTGTGATGGGAAACCTTCCCCAAATTATATGTTATTGTAGAGAGCTTTGAATCAAGTATTAAAGTAGATTTTAGGTAAATTCGTAATGAACAAATTACACAACTATTGCCAGAGTATATTTTAATCGTATGTAAAAGATTGTGATTGATAGCTTTTGTTTTAACATGTAAGTATTTTACTCGCAGATAAATAATGCTAAAGTAATATAAACAAAAAAAACAATAAGTAATATAAACAGTAAAATTATTATGCAAGGTATGAAACACACAAAAATATCTGTCATGGCAACTAGCACATTGAGACCTGTAACTGTTATAGAAGTTTACCTTTCATCAAGTGTTGGGGGGGCATAATGTATTTCATAGCTACGGCCTAAAGTGATTCCTTTTTACATGATAAGTGAAACAAATGAGGTTTGATTTTGATCTAGAGTTGAAAATACCTTTTTCATCACTCTGTACTCAAAAATAGCCCATTTCCATACAGCTGAGATCTTCAAAAATGTCCATACACCAAAAACAAATAGTAAGTTTGATGAAGTAGTATTTTTATTGTGATAAAAAGTATTGTTCAATACTCGTCACGAAAGTCCCATTTTGAAATTGGTCACTTTCGTGACTAGGAGTGAAAATACTATTTCATTACCAAATTTATTGTCATACCCAATCTTTAAGCTAAATAACTCACAAAACATAAATTTAGTTAAAAGCCCATTAGAGACACTGTAATAAAACTTGTTACACATTTAAAGTTTTTGTTATTTTAATTTTCTTTTAACTATTTTTAAGAAATTTTACTTGTTAAATTTAAAAATGGCTGCCTTTTAAAATAGTCAAAGTCAAATTCCATGAAAACGAGTAATTGAATCAAAATTACACTGGATACCATACCAAAAATGATTTAAAATCCAAACCCAACATGACACTTGGTTAAAATTGTTAATAAAAAAAAGTCTTATCCACAAGTTGACTTTTTCTACTTGGGAATTTTAGATGTTCAGTTTTTTGGAATTTTCTCTGTAACTTTTAATTTTACAACAACGCTTTAATATTCAAAATTATGTGTTCTTTAAGCTCTACACAATGGTTTCAATGAAATTTGGCAAATTTTTTTAGTAACAATAAAGAATAAAATATTTGAACGATTTTTAAACCCTATAACAAAAACAACCAGTTTGCTGATCTTCCATCTCATTCAGGTGTATCCCCAGTCTCACACGTCGTTTTTAAATTTCAAAATCGCTCGAGTTTTGATATTTACAGACACAATCACATAATATACATGTACCTACGGTAATAGCCGCTTTCATTTAACATTTTTCTTACAAAAATTGTTTCCGATTAACAAAAATGATCAATGAGAACAAGTTTTAGTTGATGATTTTGTTGGTTAAAACTAAGCCACATTTACACGAGTCCAGTAGGCAGGTAGGTTACATTCCTCTAGTGCATTTCAAGTTACTTGAGGCAAGGGCAGGTTACCTGCCTCATGTAACTTGAAATACACTAGAGAAAAGTAGGCCTAGCCTGCCTGGCTTCTTGTAAACACAACTTTAAGGGGGAAAATTGTTGTGAATATTGCCATGGACAAAATAATCACATTACAACAAGCACTTAATTTGTGCATGCAAAATTTATCAAGTTTTTGTTGAAGTATTGTATATTCAAGTTGATTTTATTGGTTTTGTGTAGGAATATATTTGTTCAGCAGATCTGTCTCTTAAAAATAATACAACTGTTCATGAGCTTTGTGTGAATGGACTTTTTATGTGATATTAAAGATATGTATTTACCTGTTACTTTTAATTTGAAACCTTTATGTGTTGAGTGTCTTCATTTTCATGATGAACTAGTAGTATTTCAAACTTAAATGAACCCTGTCTAATGATAGGCTTTTGACCCTGCCTGTTCACAAAATTTAGGTGGTTTAAGGGGAAGTTCCCCCACCACTTACACCCTTAAAAATATTCCATTACAATTCAGCGAAAAAAGGTAAGGATGAAAACGTAACAGTGCAAGTAAATTAAATATTTTATTAATAAATTGTTGAACATAAATTAACTATCACAAGGCCAACAAAAAGTTGAAGAAACACCAAAATACTAATTATTCTAATAAAATTGGCTTCAACACAATCTGAATAAATTGTACAGGGATCAGTTCAAAACCAAACATTAAACCAGTGGTTCTTGTCATTAGGAAAGTTGGTAAAAAAACACATTTACAATATATAGACTTTAACCTATTTCTAATTAAAAATACACAACTTATAAATGTATGTGAGCTACTATGAAAATCACACGAGTTACCAAAGAGGTAGACACTATTTTTGATGCCATTGAATGAAAATAAGTGAAACATTACCATTACTTGGTAGAGCTAATGTCTGATAGAGATTGGCTCAGAGCAAGTTATTTACAGAGCTTTCAGTAGCAAGAGCTTCTAAATGAACCTTGATCAAAAGGCCAGAAATTATTCGATGCATTTCTATGTTGGCACCTTTGAAGAATTGATTTTTACTAATGTGCCTGTTGGGCACACCTGTGTACCTCAAAATGTATGAATACAATTTACTGCTACTCACTTCATGAAAGCTTTTAAAAATCTAATGAAGAAAACTGTTTGTCAATCTCCAAAGGGATAATTTAAGATACACCAGTAAATTCAATTCAATTTAAAAAAATTACAAAATAATGATCATAAGTATATAATTTTAAAATGATTAAGAAATAAGAAAAATGAGCTTCATAATCAATTCCTAACTGGGAACAAAGTGAAATATGTCACAGCCTCAATATAACGACACAGCCTAGAGGAAGTGACAAACATAGTACAATTAATTATTAACCTCATCGTTATAAGAACGGTTAATGATTGAGTAGAGACTGAAATATATAATATGTATTAAGGGTTTATGTATACATTGTTTCTTACACAAAATACTCAATTCGGTAGCAAATGTTAGTTCCGAATATAAAGTAAAGTGATACTAACAGAGTGAAAAAAACACAAAAAGGACAAATATCAGTGCCCAGTAAGGAATGTTGCTCGGTTATTTGATGTGATGAACAGTTAAAGAAACACATTTATTTTATGAATGTAAGTGTTTTTCAGAATCAACATCGGTTGACTTAGTCTACTACAACTACCAAGTTCAATTTGTACAACCACTTGTGACTTGTTCTAAATCCATGAAATTGTTTTAGTGTGGAAAAGTAAACATCAAATGAGTTATCGTGGGGTCGTGTAACTGTACATTCAGGGTGGGTCAGGCGCTCACTGGAAGTGGTACGTAAAACCACTGGGGAACTGGTTTGCGTCGAAGCTGAAACTTCCGCCGGGGTTTCCAAAGAATGCTCGGAACACATCATTTGGATCCATTTCATCTGGAACAATAGTAAAAATGAGTAAGGTACAACATACTCAGCCAATACAGTGTTAAGGATTATTTGTACCCACTGTGTGTATGGAAAAGCATTTGTATAAAAACTGATTGCTTAGTTTGATCACTGATTTTGATTAAATTGGAAATAAGTTGTTCTCTGGAGAATATAAAAGTAATATATATTGAAAAATCTATTTCAATACATTTCATACTCACCGTAAGTGAAAAGGGTTACCAAAACATTTGTACAAAATCTGAGTACTAATTAAAACATCAAAATTTTTTTTTATTGTAGTTAAAATAAACTTCGGCTAAAATCCCATCCTACCTTCATCATGTCAAGAACAGCTGAGTGTAAACTAGTCACTGCAACTGTTTTTTTTTATTTATTTTTTGCTAAAATAAGGAGTGTGATGGTTGTTGAGTCCAGGGGCTGTAAAATGGATCTTCTTACTCTAACACTTACGTGAGTGACCGTCATCCTCCATATCTTGGCCACTGTCGTATCTGGCGCGCTTCTTGGGGTCAGAGAGGATGCCGTAAGCCTCACCTACCTCCTTGAACTTTTTCTCCTGCTCCTTTTTCTCACCGTCCGAGGCATTGGCATGACGATCTAAAACACACAATCATTGATTTTTTACTTTTAGCGAATTTCCCATATAGGGAATAAGCTATTACCGTAGTACTCATGGTAAGACCTGGACCCGGGACCGATTTTTTTTTTCGTTTTGAGGTCCCTAGAGGCCAAAAACACCATCCGTTCAAATTCATATATATATATATATATATATATATATATATTTATATATATATATGTGTGTCCGTTAGCGCTATAACTCGAGCAAAAATGATCCGATTTTAATGAAATTTGGTACAAACCTGTAAACCTACGTTTATTTGAACGAGTTCGAAAACCAGCATGATTGGACCATGGGAACGGGGGTTTATGGGGGCTTTTATGGGGTAAAAATGGGTTTATCCCATTTTTGACCCAAAAAACATAAAATTTTGCAATTTCTTTCCAAACAATTTTGTAGAGCTTAAAAAAACAAATAATTTAGTATATTGAAGCGTTATAATGCGCCTAATGGTTACGGAGAAAATTCCAAAAAATTGTAAATTTAAAATTCTCATGTTATTCTTATGGAGAATAAGTAAACTGTTGTAGTTTGCTTGTTTATTAACATGTTTTGCCCAAATTTGGAAAATGTTTTTATTTCTTACTAACTATTAACATTTTACATAAAAAAAACACTTTCACCCTCCCTGTTGCAGCAAACCTAACTATGTGTTAAACTGATTCTATTTAAATAGGGAATAAATGTGATATTTTTAAGGAGATATTTTAGTGTAAATCCAATCAGGCAAATGGAAATTCGCTTAGTCTGCAGGTTTGCTGCGGCGGGGGTATTAAATTATTTCACAGACACATTGCATGTAAAACAAGATGTCTACAGCTGCCCGATATCTTGTTAAAGCCCCCAATATTTCAGTTGGCCCTGATAAGCGATAACTCACATAATACAAGCTACACAATGTATTGATTGTCAAAAGTAAAGAATAAATAAACATTTATCCCCAATTAGGAACGCGGCAGCGTTCCACCCCGCCAAGTCCCCCAGCGGTACATTTATAGCTTGTTGTAACTATGTGCAACTATGCCTCATATTTAATCGATTGTCTGAACTGAAATAGAATTTCAATCTGTTTAAAGTGGTTTTTAATAGTTTGTGCATGAAAACTTAGATTGAATAAACTGCAAAGTACATCTTTCATCCACATTGGATCTATGAAGTTCGATCAAGTGTCCTAAAGTTGAAGCCATAGTACAGTAGACTCCCTCTTATCCGGACATCTTTTAACCGGACTACACTCGGCGGAAATTACATCTCTTTAACCGAACAATTTTTATCAGCACATCGGTTTAACCTTAATAAATACAATGCTCTCAAAAAATTTAAGTAAAATATTTAGGTTACATTACGAGTTTTTGGGGACTTTGGTTTAACCGGAAACCCTGCTATCTGGACTGGCCTCTGTCCCGAGGAGTCCGGATAAGAGGGAGTCTATACTGTAGTAGCTCATGATCGTTCGGCTGTAGCCCTTCTTATCCCCTTTAATCCTTAATAATTCAATTCAATGTATTCAACACAACAATTAACAATACAGAGAAACAGTTTACACATAAACATAAGCATTATATATGGAGGCTTAAGTATTGTATGTGTTTGTGACATTATACAGATATGACAAAAGCCTTATACCAGTCCTCATCAGTCTCTGATTGTGGCTGATGGCGACTGGTTTAACTGACCAAATTTGATTGTCATTGTAACATTTGTCATGTATTGAGTGTCCCCCAAGTCATCACTATTTTGTATCCAATATACCTACCACATTCATCAAACATGCTACAAACTTGAAACTCTACAGTTATAATAAATACACATTAAAAATACCCTCGAGTCTAATTTTGATTCTGACTAATCTGAACAAAATAACCACTAAGCAAGGAAAAAATGTGTTACCCACTATATTCACCACACATTTATTTAGTAATGTAATCCTCACCAGGATGATGGACCAAAGCTCGCTTCCTGTACGCCTTCTTGATGTCATCAGTGGAGGCATTGCGATCAACACCGAGGATTTTGTAGTAGTCTTTTCTCTTGGATTTCTTCAAGGCAAGCTTTGCCTCTGCCAGAAGTCTCTTGTTCTCTGCAAGATAAACAGTTGCAGTGGTGTGGATATTAATGAAATGAATAGTTTCTTGATCAGCATTGTACGTGTTATTAAATTTACGGATAGTAAATAAAACTATGTCTAACAACACTTAAAACATAAATTTACACTTATACTGTTAACTCACAAGACGGTAAATATATATAAAAGATGAAGTGGTTAAATATAAACCAGAGCAAACAGAAGACTTTAAATAATGCACTTGTCACCAAATACCACCAAAGAAAAAAATGTTTTATTGTTAAAACTTTAAACTAAATTTTAATGCAGTAAATTATAATACACTCAAAAGTCAAGAGTATATATTACAGTAGAACCTCTTTAATCCGAACTAATTGGGACCAGGGGTAGTTCAGATTACAGAACATATTGTTGTTTTTACATAACTAACAATATAGCTAAAATGGATCAAAATTGTTACTGGAAAAGTGAAAAAAATGCTTTATAAAGTAAAACACAGTGTTTATTTAATACAGTAGTAAACATGGTGAATAAACCGTAGTGGACATTACAATAGAAACAATTACAGTGTGTATATCAATAAATACAGTATACAATAAAGAACTACTGTACTGTGTATAGAGTACAGCAATGAGGCGTTTGGATTAAAGAGATTCTACTGTACTCAGCAATATGATAAATAGGACCCACTGCTCAAAAAAAGAACCGTAGTCTTTTACTGCTAAATAAAGCCTAAAAGCCTACACTAATATAAAACTAATAGTATCAAAGAAAAGCCATGGACATTTTGTAATTTTTGAGGATACGCTGTCGAGTTGTTCCATGACCACATTGTTGTGATGTTCCGCGATCCTAGTCACCAACACGTCGCAACAATGCTGGCCAACAGTTGTTATATATCATGAGTTTGTTGTTGAGCTTTATTGTAGACATTGTCAATAAAGATTACACATTCTTATCAAAATGTTTGTTAGGTAAATAAATAAGAATGAAATACTGTTGGAACGGGTCATCCGCCCAAGAGAAATTGGCCTTACAACTTAATAAAACTTAGCAACACTGAAAATCAAGATGATTTTTGAAATACTGTTGGAACGGGTCATCCGCCCAAGAGAAATTGGCCTTACAACTTTAAAAACTTAGCAACACTGAAAATGAAGATGATTTACAGGTAAAACCTATAAATCATACAGGTTTTATCTGTAAACCACCTTATTTTTCAGTTTTTTTTTCTTTCAATCCCAACATCTTATTAGAAAACAAATTACACCATGTCACAATATTTTGCAAGTTTGCCGCAAATCAGTTTGAGTATATTTATCCCTAACATCTATGACATTTTTACTCTCTCAATTCCTACTTGTTATTTCTCTGCTCGGCCTTGGGTCTCCCACACAAAATGGGCACTTTAAAACGCCTACACTGACACATTCGTCTGTCAAAACACTTAAATATAAAGCCTTAAAGGGCTAAAAAGAGTCCAAAATAATGTCATACCTCTTGATTTGTCCATAGAATGTGCTTTCTCGTAGTCCCTGACAGCTTCGTCAAACTGCTCCAACTCCATGTAACACTTGGCCCTTCTCAGTACGGCCTTCAAGTAGTTCTGGTCCAGCTTGAGGGCCGCCGTACAGTCGGTGACAGCTTCATTTAGTCTCCCCAGCTGTAAAAGTTAACTTTTGAATTCAGTCCTTTAGTATGGAGATTAAGTTGTTAACAACTTGCTAAAATGTATATCGATTATGAATCTTTGTACAACAAATACTCCTCGTCAATCAACCATGACCATTAACCCAACATTTAGAGACAAGATAACCTCGAATTCTTAACCCAACTGTTCTTAATGTGACAGCTTCTTTGCACACTTAGGAAACTTTAAAACCATCACTTTGCTAGAATAAAATTGGCAAAACGAATATAATATTTTCAACAAATTAAAGGCATTTTCAGGACTGCCCTGTTTCATTCAGTTGATGAATTCCATTACAATCAACATGGCCCTACATTAAATATACGTTATAAACTTTTTAATTTAATTTTTTTGTAGAAGACTAAGACAATACGAGCAAATGACTGATTTAAGGCTCACAACTTCCACCCGATCTATCCTATCCTCTACACCAAGCTTTGCTACGGCAGGTGAACTCCTCATGAATTGCACACTAGACATGACCAAGCCCCAAGATGGAATTAGAACCCTTAATATACAATGCTGTCTCCTGCCTACCTACTAATACCTTAGACTACTTAACTATTGATCAGTCTACATAGTTTCTTAATATTCTTATCAGTCTTATTAGATAACTACTGCAATTCTTATTTAATATTTGTCTATACCTACCCTGTGTGAAACAGTTGCTCTGTTGTTATAAAGTTTAGCATTTGTGGAAATGTTGTTCGGGTCAATAGCCAGAGCTTCTGTGTACAAGTTGTAGGCTTCGGTCATTTTTCCAGTGTTGAAAGCTTCATTTCCTTTCTCTTTCAGTTCCTTCAGCTTTCTTGCTTTCTGTGAAAGAAACCCCAGATTTATAATACCAAGCTTCTAGTGGTAAATGGTGGTAATTATTTTTTACATTGGAAGAAAGGGCAAAAATGTTAGAGGGTACAAAACAACAGAAGACCCTTCCTGAGATGCTGAACAAATAGCATGAATAAGGTTGAGTATATTAAGAGGGTTTATTTGTAATAAACTAGCGTCTAAAATGTAAAGAGTTAGTCTAAAATGTAATGTGTTAGTTGCGTGTATAACCATATACAGAACTAATCAAATACAAAAAGATCTTCATAGTACCTAAAAGTAAAACCAAAGTTGGTGATTGGAGTATATCGATTTACTGATAAAAAGAAAAGGTAAACTTATTTTGAAGAGTACGATCTAGCTCATATGGTAAGGGTTCATCCCGTAGTTCCAATTTATCTTGATTAAAAGTCATCAGAACTCGTATTATTAAATACATCACGCAAACACAATGCCAAGGTATTTAAAAAAGTCAAAAACTAATAAAAATCTTCCATTTATTTAACAGTAAAAGACGTTATGGATGCAAGTCATACCTTGTATATGTCAACGGCCTTCTTGTGGTCAGGTGCAAGGCGCAACACATGTTGGAAGTGGGAGAAAGCTCGGTCCACGTTGTCCTGATAGTACAGGCACAGTCCCCGCACATAGATGGCGTCAGCGTTGGTCTGATCGGCTGACACCAGCTCATTGGCCAGTTCTTGCGCCTCTTGGTAGCGACCCAGGAACGCGAGACACTCCGCCTTCACCACCTTCAGCCGAGTGCAGGCAGTCGCCACCTCGATAGAGCGATCCAAGAAGAACAGCACCTACGAGCAGAGACAAATGTAAACTACTACGAATTGGTCATATTCAATCTTAATCAACAAAGCAAAGCAGGAATAAATTATAATGAGAGATATTAGTAATATAATTGTATTTTTTGTTAATATTTTGTTGTTATTATTAGTTTTTTTAGAGGTTAACTGTAAGAAAGGACCATGAGGTCTTAAGTTCGCCTCAATAAAGAAGGACTTTCATTTCATTTCAGAATTTAAATAAGAATTTGAAAGTCATTAGTTTTCCAACTGTTGATATGTAGGCTATGTATTTTAAAATTTGTAATCTGTATAAAAGGTTTACAATATACTTATAATACAAAAAAAATACAAAATATATATATGTTATTGTTGTATTAAGTCTGTTCTTTAATCATGTGTTTAAATATGTTTGTTGTCAGATGTTTTTGTAAACATTAGTTTAGTTTGAAAATAGAGTTTGTTCAAGCAAGATGTGTGAATAATATTCTTGTATAAGAAATAGAACATGGTGGCAGCTTAGTGGATTTTTTATCGAACAAAGTCTAAAACCACGCATGATGTCAAGTAAGGGCAGAAAAAAACGAAATACTCGTAGGCAAAGGTATGAGGACAATGAGGAGGATGCCCAAAGTGAATTCAACTACATGTCAGAAAGGGATTCTAGAAAGACTGAAGGTGAGTCACTAGGTTTTGCATTGGGACAGACAAACCGAGAAAATAATGCAGTAATGTGTACTCCTACTCCTATGATAAATCTGACGTTACCAACTCCAGATACCTTCTCTTTTACTCCGAATGAGTGGCATTCCTGGAGGAATCGCTTTCAAAGGTACAGACGGGGGTGCGGTCTAGATAGCACTTCCGACGCTCGGCAAATCGATGTACTTTTGTTTACAATGGGTAGTAGGAGTGAAGATATTTTCGATTCGTTTTCACCAAAACCGAATACTTATGACGAGGCTCTTCGGGCCTTTGATGCATACTTTGTGCCAAGACGAAATATCATTTATGAGAGAACAAAATTTCTGAGACACAAGCAAGGGAGTGATCCATCTGAAAAATTCATAACAGATTTGCATGGTCTTGCAAAAACGTGTGCATGGGGTGAACTGAACGATGAGATGGTGCTTCTGGTCCTCATTATTGGTATGAAAGATGAGGCTCTAAGTGATAGACTCCAGCTGGACTCTCAATTGACTCAGGAGAAGGCGATTAATACCTTGCGCCAACACGAGGAGCTAGAACGCCAAAAACGTGAGCTCGCCAATACTAATGTTTTTATGGTGAATCAAACGTCAATACAAGTCGGTAAAACAAATCTGTCTGAAAGAGCTGGTGAACAGAAATTCACCGAGGATGCTATGAGAAAAAAGTGCAGGAAATGTGGTTATAACTGGCACGGATCACTGGCCGAATGCCCTGCTAGGAAAGCCAAATGTGACAAATGTTCCGAGATTGGACATTTTTTTCGATGTTGTCCCTCCCGCGAAAAGTGGATGAGAAAAAACAAAAACGTTGTTAAGGAAATCGAACAGCAAGATTCAGACAGTGGTTATCAACAGGTTCCTGAGATTTTCATAGGGAATATAGACAGCAGTGACAAAGCCTGGGTCCAGGAGGTAAAAGCAAGCTGTGGAAACCAAGATTTAGGTCTTATAAAATTTAAACTTGACACAGCAGCTGATGTAACCATGATTCCAGTAGGAGTTCTTGGTGATTTTATTAAGACTCTGCCTCTAGGAAAGTGCAAAATCCCCTGTGTTTAGCGCAAAGAAGAAAGAACGAATCAATATTTTGGGAACTTTAAGGCTAAAGCTTGAACATAAGGGTGTATCAGTTTATGATCTTGCGTATATTTCTGAGAAGATCACTGTTCCACTTCTTAGCAGACGTTCCTGTGAAGAGCTGAACCTGGTGAGGAGAATTTTTTCTGTAGATTCACATGATATTGACTGGGCTACTAAGTATCCTAATTTATTTCAAGGGCTGGGAAATATGAAAGGAGAGTACAAGATTGAAATGAAGGAGAATGCAGTTCCTTACGCTATATCCACCCCCAGGGTTGTACCAATACCTTTAAAAACCAAGGTGAAAGAGCAGTTAGACGATATGCTTGAGAAAGGAGTGATTGTTCCAGTTGAACACGCGACTGATTGGTGCGCACCAATGGTAGTTTGCGCAAAAAAGGGAGGTGGGGTTAGGATCTGCGTAGACCTATCCAAACTCAACAACAGTGTGAAACGTCGGTTTTATCCTATCCCAAAGATCGAACTTTCACTGGCCGAGATCGCGGGAGCCAAGTACTTCAGCAAGATCGATGCGAATTCAGGGTTCTGGCAACTGAACCTTGCAGAGGAGTCACAAGATTACACAACATTTATCACCCCTTTTGGGAGGTATAAATTCCGTAAGTTACCTTTTGGAATTACGTCCGCTCCTGAAGAGTTTCAGCGCCGCATGTCAAAAGCTTTAGAAGGGGCAAAGAACTGTTTAGTGCACATTGACGACTGTCTGATATGGGGAAGAACGAAAGAAGAACACGACGAGTGTCTTAGGGCCGTTCTAGAGAGAGTGCAAGCTAATGGAATCACCTTGAATAAGCAGAAGTCGGAGTTCTGCAAGAAGACTGTGACATTTCTGGGGTTTGTGCTGTCTAAGGACGGAATCAAGCCTGATCCAAGCAAGGTACAAGCGATTGTGGACTTACCAGCTCCAAGAAACGCTAATGAAGTACAAAGATTCATGGGCATGATCACTTTTCTGGCAAAATTTATTCCGAACCGCAGTGAGATTTTGGAGCCAATTACGAGCTTGTTAAAGACTAAAAATGATTTCCTTTGGGGACCAGCTCAAGAAAACGCTTTTGTCACAGTAAAACAGATTTTATCATCAGAGCCATGTTTGACTGTTTACGATCCGCAAAAACCCTCGATTCTTTCTTGCGATGCTTCAAAAAAAGGTCTTGGAGCGGTTTTACTTCAAGTTGAAGGAGAAAACAAGAAACCTGTGGCATATATATCTCGGACTCTAACGCCTGCTGAAGAAAACTATAGTAACATTGAGAGAGAAGCGCTTGCGTGCACATGGGCAAGTGACCGTTTGAAATGTTTCCTGATGGGTAAAATGTACACAATTGAGACCGACCACAAACCGCTTGTCTCAATTTTCAAAACACAAAATTTGGACGAGCTCTCACCGAGGCTACAGCGGTTCCGAATGCGTATGATGAGATACGATTATCGCATGACCTGGACCCCAGGAAAAGACCTTGCCATAGCAGATCTACTATCAAGAAGTCCTATTCCGGCTGACGAAGATGGCGAATTGACCGAAGAAGTGGAAGCCTTCGTCCACGAAATCAGTCTGATTAGTATAAACACTACAGATGAAAATGTGACAAAGGTACTTCACTCACAAATGAGAGATCCAATCTGTGCACAACTTAAGTTACAAATTTTAGACGAATGGCCTGTAAAATCAAGTTTACCTAATGAGATTCAAGAGTACTTTAATGTGAAAGACGAGTTAAGTTGTATTGATGGGCTATTGCTTCGAGGAACTCGGATGATAATACCTCAAGAACTACGAGCGGAAATGCTCGAGAGGCTTCACAGTGGACACTTGGGAATCACAAAAACAAGGAAACGTGCTTTGGGAACCATGTGGTGGCCTGGAATTTCTCAAGAAATAGAAAGGAAAATCAAATCGTGTCCAGTGTGTATTCAGAACTCAACTAATCACAGTGAACCATTGATTCCGAGAACTGTCCCGGATTACCCGTGGCAAAATGTGTCTGTTGACTTGTTCAAACACGAAGACAAGTGGTATATGGTTATCGTGGATCACTACTCAAGATACTTTGAAGTCGAGGAAATGCATCGAATGAGGGCTTCAGATGTGATTCGGGTTTGCAAAACCACATTTTCACGTTTTGGAATTCCTCAACGTGTTTATTCAGATAGTGGGACACAATTTCACCATATTGACTCAAGTGAATTTAAATTGTTTGCAAAGGAGTGGGGGTTCTCCACATTCAGAAGTAGTCCCCACCACCATCAGGGAAATGGGGCAGCTGAAGCAGCTGTGAAAGTAGCAAAAGGGCTAATGAAGAAAAACAAGGATAAATTTGAACTTGCCCTACTTTCTTACCCGACCTCACCTCTTGAAACCGGCTTTTCCCCATCTGAACTTATGTTTGGAAGGAAATTAAGAGACAATCTTCCATCTACTTTGGTTGGAAATCCTGTGGAAAATAAGAATTTTCTTGAGAGGGAGAATAAGTACCAGAATAAGTACAAGATACAATTTGATAAACGACATGGAGCGAGTGGTTTAAGTGAATTAGAAGTTGGAAGCATGGTATGGATCACAGATCTACGTCGACACGGTAAGGTAGTCAGGAAATTGAACGAACCACGTTCCTACCTTGTGGAAACTGACAAGAGAACTATTCGCCGAAACAGGAAGTTCTTAGTTCCTGCACCGTACTACGGAGGAGATGGAATTCTTTCAAACTGTTCATCCATGGTCCTTAATCGTCCATGCAACTCACGTGATCGTCCAGGAGCTGGCACAGTAACCCGTTACGGAAGGTCCATTAAGAAACCGAGGCGGTACTGAGGTTCATAAAGATGTGGACATCTTGAAGCGGGATGTTGTATTAAGTCTGTTCTTTAATCATGTGTTTAAATATGTTTGTTGTCAGATGTTTTTGTAAACATTAGTTTAGTTTGAAAATAGAGTTTGTTCAAGCAAGATGTGTGAATAATATTCTTGTATAAGAAATAGAACAGTTATGGTAAAAATCCAACAAAAATATTCAGAGTTTGAAATATTTATTGCACTGCCTCTGAGTGCAAAATTAAAAAAAAAACATTAGAATTGGCCAGGGTCTGGAGCCTAAACTAACTGCTACAGCAACATTAGGATAAACATAAGCATTTATTTACACCTTTGTAATATACACAAATAACCGGCCAAGGTTTAATTTAAGAAAGTCATGATGAGAATGATGATTACTAACCCTCCTGTAGTCTTTCTGTTCGTAGCTCTTGTTGATCCCTTCCTCATACTTTTTCAATGTGTCTATGTTGCGTTTCTCCTCGACTATTGTTGCGTTGTTAGGCTCCAGCTCCGCAAGACGAGCTAGAGCGTTCTCTGCTGTGGAAGCGTCTCCAAGAGACACGCAACATTTTATCACTCTCACCCAGCCCTACAAACATTGCTTGGTTCAACTTGAGCCATCAGAAAGTATTAAAAGTGAAATAAAATCAATTCCATCCAATGATTATGTGTAACAAAAATTTTGGTGTCAGGATGATGGCTGATTCTATCAAAACTAAATTACTTCAAGATGTATATGTGGAAAATGAATCTTCCAAATGCATTGCAACATATGGTTATAGTATAAACAAAAATTCATGATCAAGATTTCAGAAGAGCAACAAACACAAAACTTAAAGTGACAAGAAACGTCAAGATAGCAAAAGTCCTCCATGTTTCCAACGGAATGGTTCTTCATCTTGTACCGTAAAGTAAAAGTAAACAAAACAGATATTGCTAAATGGTCTTGACATTCCTTTAAAGGCCTATTCTTGATTCAGAAGGATATTTATTAATTATATTTCATTTCAAGATAAAAAACAAATAGTGCACCTTGAAAAATGTACAAAATCATATAAAATTGTGGGATTTCATTAATAGTTTATGCCTTCTTATGTTGTATTCTACCGGTTTGATGGACAACCTCATGGACTGTTTATTTAGGTATTTACAGATAAAGGCCTACCTTGGTGAATTTAGGATCCAGAATGACAGATTTCCGAGCGTCTTCCAAAGCCTCACGATACTTGGACAACATCATGTAACACGCTGCTCTGTTGCCGTAGTAAGACGCTGTTTCCGGGCAAAGTTCTGCAAGACAAGTCACAAAAACATATGCTATATCAAGCATTGATCATGAATCAATACAAGTTATTATGATAAAGAGATGATCTTAAAGACATGTAAGAGGAAAAATAGTTTAAAACTGCCACAGAGCCTGAACTTAAACTACGGTACGTTTCAAAACCAATAATCTAACAACTATAGCCTACAAAAAAACGCTAATAATATAAATTTATCCACAATAGCAGTTTCTGAAGAATTTCTTAGGAATTCTTAGGAAAAAACCAGTTTATACTTTTTACTGAAACTTAGTTAAGAGGGAATGGGATATATTGATCTAAAACACCAGAACTCGGCTGACGTTTTGTTTTGCCTGCACAATTCTAAAGGTGGGCAACCTGTATTGGTTGTTTGTAAAAAAAATTGAATATTGTTTAAGTATGTTATTATTATTTTATTATTGTTTATTGTTATGCTATTATGTTTATCATTTGGACCCAAGTCCAAATTTTAAATAAAGAACTAAACTTAAGTAGACTAAGTAAAATAGTGACTAGGCCAGTCACTATTTTGTGATTCCATCCCTATCAATTGGATACCTATCCAATACAATAAGAGACAATAAGACACAATACTAAATGTTGGAAAATGGGTTAGTAAAATAAGAAATAGGCATAACCTCGGGGATTAAAATGGATTCATCAAATCCTTCTCTAACATACAGGCAACATAATCTGTACTATATTTTGATAGATATTATGTGGCCAAATTGAGATTAGGGGTATAATCAAAAAGCAAACTCATAGATTTCCAATGACATCACATCACGCCACCACTGAACCAAACACTGCTTCTCTCGGGCAGTGGGGTAGCCAGGATTACAAAATAGGGGGGGGCGTCGTCTGACCGGGGGATCTGGGAATTTTTTTAAAAATATAGGCCCTAAAACGGTCTTTTTTAGCTCTCTTGGCATTGGAAATAATCAACCCCAACGTCAATACAGTATGATTATATAATTTTACATTTAATTTAACAAAAAAAAATCATTATATTTAAGAACGGAAGGATTTAAGACCCCCAGGACCCCCCCCCCCCCCCCCAGCTACGTCACTGTCTCGGGCATGGGTGGATCCAGCTAGTTGAAAAGGGGGGCTGTTTTGTAGCCTAATTATGTGGTGGTACAGCCAACTGAGGAAGTTTCAAACATAGTACTTCCTTTAATACTTTCTTATGAAATGGCGACCATACAAATGTAGGTATTTTAAGCCAAGTATGAATGGTGATGAGTGTAGGATGAGTGGCGCGATCTTGTAGTCTTGTTAGTGACTAAGGCTGACATGTTCCTTAGACACAGCTGTTAATTAATAGCCCATACAGCCAATAGCAACTAAGGGACCAACAGATTAATGGTATCCATACCACATTTTTGCCTTCTAATAAACGAATTGGTCTAATTATCAGGACAGTACTGCAGATCATCATTGTACTCACTTGTGCGGACGTTAATCCACACCAGAGAGTATCGCATTCACAGTGCATACCTATAAATATCCACAATTCGTGACCTCCTAGTAGCTATATTACAGGACGACGCCACCAGCCCTGTCTTCATTATAAAATAGAGTTAAAATGAAATAAAACTATCAGCATATTTTGTGAATAAGATAATGGTAGCTTGATAGCTTTTAATGCCATTTGATGTGAAGTTCATCAATTTGCTGATGATGTTGCAAAACATGTACCGTACATTGGAACTGATTGACGGTTAGTAAGTACGATACTTTACATTACTCACAGCTCAGAGGACTAAACCATAGGCCTACAGTTTAATTAAGGATGCTAATAGGCCTATGGAAGAAAACATTAAAACATTGAATAAATAAAATAAATAAATAAATTACCAATTGCCTCCGTGTAGAATGGAAGAGCTTTGTGGTATTGCTTCAACTTGTACTGAGCATTTCCTTGGTCTTTCTTGGCTTCTGCAAGTCTGAAATAGATATTATTTGTATAAGTAAATTGTTTTAGATAAGAACTTGCAGAAATACAATTAAAACTGTTCTTTTTTTTACGACATGGTAACACCTAAGGAATGATTTGTCTCAAAAGGTTTGCTGGTGTTAAAAAATATTTTAAAAAGATGGTAGGTATTCCAGACATGCAGCAACTGAAGACAGTTGTTGGCATGGATCTTAGTATAGGTTATTATCCTTTGTAAAAACATGTTTATTAATACAAGCAATTAAAGTGGTTGACACATAAACTAATAATGTCACAAACATATAAAATAGCTTGAAGCCTACTGTAGTGTGAAAGTACTGAAAAGTCATCTATCTTTAAAGATACAGTAGTGACTCGGTAGACACAGCTTTGCAAGGTGGTCGACTACTACACAAAAATGCTATCAGCTAACAGTTGTTTAGTAAACTTATCTAGTGTATTAAAGCTGTCAATATCTGGATCATTGAATATATATACTCACATTATGATACTAAACATTTACTAGTTTTAAATGGCCAAAGTAATAACAGGGTAGGAAAAACTGTTCTTTCCCATTAATTCACTACCACTACTTTTTTATTGCAATACCGATATTTTTCAGTCAGCCTAGTCTACCTATGAATATATCAATTAATAAAATTAAACTATTCTAAGCTAACCTAGAACCAACCAAACTTGCTGATTATTAAAAAATGCTGGTAGTAAATAATTGGAAAATTGCAATAAAACAGTAGTGGCATTGAATTAAAGGATACAAACTTTATTACAATAAAACCCTGATAACCAAAAAGGGGGCAGGGCGGTTTCAAATAAACGTTTTTTATATAGATAAATATCCTAATAGCCCTAGTTAAAATTAAGGCCACAGTTTATCAGGGTTTTACTTTGACAAAGCTTAAGTGAACACAAATTAGTAAATATAGTTATAGTTCGGCCGCTTAGAAAGCGACCTCCTCCAGCATTGGTTTAGCATTAGCGCGCAGGTCGTTTTCTAAGCGGCCGAACTATAGTATTTGATAACTATTCATTCTAGTTAGTTGTGAACTACAACTGGATTCTTGTCTAGTTAGCATTTGCCTGACGATGGCGGAGATTAGTAAATAACCGCCGAAACATATGTAGCAATTTCGACCCTACATGTCAAGGATTGTCTGACGAGGTATGTTTTAACCATTATTACCATTATGTCATATTACACAATCCTGGGGCTATGAAAATGAATTTTAATAGTAAATATTTAGTACAGTAAAACCATTAATAACCGACCTTAGAATAACAGACTCCTTAGGATATCCGACCTAGTGTCCGACCGACTACTTGTTTGATGTCTTCGGCAACGCTGAGCGAGACATCGCGGATGTTGCTGTAATTGCGGCAAACGATACCACTGTCGCCGATAACAGGTGTTGCCGCCGTAGCGGAAACTGCAAGTTACGCTCATGGGTGTTGTCGCAGTTACAGGAGAGGATTACCGATGTCGCAATAAAACACATATGCATCAACCCACACACACATCACATCATAAAACATGTACTTATTGGTACCTATTGGTTGTTTTAAGGAGGGTTATGCTCCTCCCTATATTTGACCTTTTGGCCGTTCCGACCATGGCCCGGTCCCGTCATGGTTGGATAAGAGGAGTTCTACTGTAATGAGAATTTTTAACTCACAGATCCTGTAGTTCTGGATATTTACAGCTTAAATACACAACTGTGTAGAGGTCCGAAGTTTGGCCAAACAAAATTTCAGTACCGGTAGGCTTACCAAAAAAGAAGAAACAAAAAAAAATGTTAATTTTATCTTGCTTCAAAAGAGAAATGATTATTGTCACCCGCTCTCCAGCAAAATTAATCATCTCCCACGGTCACCGAAATATCGTTTTCTACATCAGCAGAAAGATTTTGACTATGTCCTGAGATTGTTAATATCCCGTTCGCGATCACGTCGACATGATCATTCTCTCCTGGGTTTTCAGAGCAATCATGAACCTCTCCTGGTAGGAACAGCAATATCACAATACAGCAAAATCATGATAATTTCTGCCACCACGGAGATATATTGTCATTGTTTCTCATATTAGCAGCAGAATTGTCAATTTGTCCCATGATCGTGGTACCATCATAAATAGGCCTATCTCTTTCAATCACATCAAAAACATGAATATCTTCCACAAGGTTGGAGACATAGGTTATCATTGTTTCCTGGGTTTGTGGCACAACTGTGAACATCTCCGGGCAGTTGTGAAGACAAAATTGTCGTCACTCGTCGCATGGTAAAATCAATCCAAGAAAAGAATGTTTTCTCAACATTTTCCAAAAATATTGGGACCTTTCTCTAATCAAAACACTAAGGTAAACATACCAAATACCGAACACCTGCCAAATACCGAACGCGCTGGGTTTTGTCTCAAATAATAAGCATATGCTTCATCTGATCAACACCTACTTAAGATTAAAGCATTCGTTGGCTTTTAATCTGTCTGCAGACAAATGGGTTTGTAGATCGTCATTGGCCACTAGATCCAGTAAGCCGTGATTGGTAATGCTGTACCAGGACTAACCAACCATGTTGGTTAGTCCTGATGCTGTACACAGTTTTTGCAAATTTCTAAAATCTCTTGTCTGTTTCCTTAGGAAAGTGGTTGAGATTCTTAGGCTTTAAATAACTATACCGGCCAATTTGTAATAAAGTACAGTTGTTAATATGCAAATTTAAATATTTTTCTGTCATTTTAAGGCATAATAAAGACCCAGAAACTATTTTAAAATTAATTTTCTAGCCGTTCGGAATTAGGATGGCGAAATGTACACTAAGCCTAAGTTCCGAACGCATGTTCGGAATTAGGCAGCGGTACTTCCTAATTTCGGATCGTTATGTTTTTCATGATATATTTACTGATTTTGAATTATTATTAATTGCAAATACCTATATAAACCATATTAGTTATAAATAAAATCATATATTTGCCAAATTTTATAAAAGTAGAGTACTTTAAAAGAATATTTTTAGCAGAAAATGGTCTTTTTAGGCCCACTGAAGTAGGCTAGTTTTAAACTACCGAGCGTTGTTACATTTTTCGTAGGATAATTTTAGTTATAAATTAATTGTAAGTTAAATGGCTATAAAATACATAATTATAACAAGTTAAAATTATAAATTTTCCAAAAATTACGAAAATGTATACTTTGAAACAATTTTATTAGGAGATAAATGGTTTTCATAGGCCTACTGAAGCAGTTCCGAACCGCCGAACCTTACGTTTTTAGTGTTATATATACACATTATGAACTGTAAACAGCTAACAATCGGTAATTATTACCCTTTATAATTATATCTATTTTCAAAATTGTCAAATATTTAATACTTTGGAATGTTATTCTTATCAGAAAGTAGTGTATTAGGCCTACTGAAGCAGTTCCAAACTTCCGAGAATGTTACGTTTTTTTCTGTTATATTTACAAATTATTAACTTAGGGTAACTGTAAACAGCTAAGTAAAATCGGAAATTATTACAATCATAATAGTTAGCCTATATATTTTCAAAATTCACAAAAACGTAGTAGCTTTCTTACTTATTAAATGTTATTTAGCAAAATAACAAACCAGAGCCAACACACCCTCATCACCCCTTATGACTCAGATTCTTGGGAATGCCAATCCCAAAATACCATCTGAACTGCCATATGATTAGCCCCTCTACATTCCTACATTATATAACCATGACATCATTCTGTCCTTGTTTATATTGAAATATGCAAAAAACATACCAGAGGTCAACTCACCCCATCTCCACTTACATGACTCACATTCCAGAGAATGTCTAACCAATACCTGCTGAAGTAATGAGATCATCCCCTTCACAACCATGTTTTAACTCAACTCTTGTTATTTTTATTTGTTAAATCTTGTATGAGATATAATTTAAGAATTAAATGAGAATAAAAATTGCTTTCAATACGTTTTTGGGCTTCCTGGGCGCCGGCGGAATTGCCGTTCGGTATTAGGCGGCACAAATTCGGTATTAAGTTAGGAAATTCGAATTCGGTATTAGGCAGTTTCAAAATTTTTGGTATTGGTTGAAAAAAACACAATTTCTGGTAATAAATATTATTATTATTGACTTCAAACGCTGAAAATTAAATCTGGAAATATAAGCAATCATTTTAATAACAACAAATAAAGCTTACTTTATACCTATAAATATATTTTACAGATTAATTCATAACCTAACCTTAACCGTTCGGTATTTGGTATGTTTACCTTAATAGGCCTAGGTTACTAATCAAACACTTGAAAATCAAAACTTTTGACAATTCAAAATAAAAGCTTGGTCTATAGAGAATCTCTTAATATTTTGAAGATTGACTGTGCCTTTTGATACTTTTGGTAGTACGAAGTCCACGCAGAGGGTAGGTCGTCGAGGAAACTATTCATCTTGTTAGCACAGTAGTTTTCATCAAATTATGTCATTTATAACGCAACAATCATCATTAAAATGGTACATAAAAAAATTAGGGACAAAAACCTTGGTTTTTTTATGTGTGGGATAACCTCTCTTTAGTTTGGGAACAAGTTGCCAGCAACTGTCAAAATCATTCGGGATAGCAGATTAAGGATGTTGACTTTGACCACAAGTGAAAAAATATGATATTATTTGTATTTTGATCGAGGCGGTTAGGTAAATTAGGCAATATTGAATCGGATACATAGGCCCTATTGATATAGGTATATTGTTATTCATCCGACAATATATCTCAGATGTCCGCTTTGGCAAGCCTGATTGATGCAAAGGCAAACATAAGGCCTGGGCCTAGTCACTGATAAGTTTAGGATAGGATGTACACTCTCTCTCCTAAAGCAGCCAAATATTAGCAGTATTCCTAAATATTCTAAGGCATAATATATCAGTCTAATCGTCAAGCATAAACATGGAGTTCTATCTAATGCATTAAATGCAAACTTGTTGAATTGAGACTTGTTTGTGACTTACTTTTCTTTGTTCTGAGGAATAACTTCATCAGCCACTTCGTCGGAATCCATTTCAAGATCAATTGTTTCTATCTGAACTGCCATAGCTGATGTTTAATTTTTAACTTTAGGGCCGAAATAAGACACTTCAGATAGCCTATTATTACAAAATTTCAATAGAATTGAATTGACAACTCCGTCTTTGCAAAACAGCAGTGGGCCAAAAGGGCCAGTGAAAGAGAATGAATAAGAAAAAAGGTTTTTAATTTCCATACTTTTTACGTTGTTAACTAAGTACAAGTCTCAGCTGTTCAGTACAGTAGGAGAATAAAGTAAATTGACAAACGTTCATTCAAAGCACTGATTATAGATCACAAATTACGATGACATTGGTTACTACTGTGTACTCTGTCATTTATTACCCATTATTAAGCGTAACAATTTATTTTGTTTGTAGGCCTACCGATTATTCTTATTTTTTTATTAACGTATATTATGTTGGTATAGTAATTTCTCAGGCCTACTAATAAGTAATAACTAGTATTGATTGTCAAGGTTCCACTACGACGACCCACCCACGGCCATCTTTAACACCCCCACCACGACCACATCGGTGTTTCGGCCAGGCCACCTTTAACTCCAGGCCGCAGCCTTCGAAGTGGCAACGTCGCAAGTGGTGCTGTAACAGCTGTTTTGTTGGGAAGCATCTTAGTATTTAGACCAGACCGTCTGGTCTGGCGTCTGGCACTTGTCTTATCGTGTGTGGGGCTGTCTGCAGACCAATTTTCTCGGACCAGACTGTCTGCGTGTCTGATGGTTGAATCCTCAGACCAAAGACGGTCTGAGGTTCCCCCACCACTATTTTTGTCTGGTCTGTGAGTGTGTAGCGCTGTCTGTCAGACGGCAGACCGTCGCGACAGTCGACAGTCTTTATCCATTAGTTGGAGTTCTCACCAAGGTGTTTCGATTTCGAATGTTGGAATGTCTGGTCTGGGAGTGTGTAGAGCCGTCCAAGACGGTCTGGTTGCAGCCAGACGGTCTGGTCTAGGGGTCTGGTCTGGTTGTTAAGCCCCCCACACACTACCAGACCAGACCTCCAGACCAGACCGTCTGGCTGCAACCAGACCGTCTTGGACGGCTCTACACACTCCCAGACCAGACGGTCTAACATTCGTAATTGAGAGACCGTGGTGAGAACTCCAACAAATGGATGAAGACTGTCACGATGGTCGGCCGTCTGACAGACAGCGCTACACACTCACAGACCAGACGAAAATAGTGGTGGGGGAACCTCAGACCGTCTGTGGTCTGAGGGTTCAACCATCAGACACGCAGACAGTCTGGTCCGAGAAAATTGGTCTGCAAACAGCCCCACACACGATAAGACAAGTGCCAGACGCCAGACCAGACGGTCTGGTCTGGAGGTCTGGTCTGGTAGTGTGTGGGGGGCTTTAAGATTGGTTACTGGACTATGACAATATTGACCCCAATTAAAATGTACAGATACAGATTTTTAATTCATATTGTTTCGGTTTTCAATTCTGTATGTTTTATTTTCAATAGCCTATTTTAATAAATTTAAATCGATAAAAATCGAATAAATGAGTGATGTTACCTGTCTGCCATAAAATAAGAATAAGAATAAGAATAAGAAAGTTTATTGCCATTGACCAAGTTGTACATAGGAATAGGCATTGTCAAATTACATTAAATAAAATATTACTAAACATGTTCATATCTATAAAGCCCCCACACACTACCAGACCAGACCTCCAGACCAGACCGTCTGGTCTGGCGTCTGGCACTTGTCTTATCGTGTGTGGGGCTGTCTGCAGACCAATTTTCTCAGACCAGACTGTCTGCGTGTCTGATGGTTGAACCCTCAGACCAAAGACGGTCTGAGGTTCCCCCGCCACTATTTTTGTCTGGTCTGTGAGTGTGTAGCGCTGTCTGTCAGACTGCAGACCGTCGCGACAGTCTTTACCTATCCATTAGTTGGAGTTCTCACCACGGTGTTTCAATTTCGAATGTTGTATGTCTGGTCTGGGAGTGTGTAGAGCCGTCAAAGACGGTCTGGTTGCAGCCAGCCGGTCTGGTCCAGGGGTCTGGTCTGGTAGTATGTGGGGGGCTATAGGTAACAAAGATTGAGAATAATGATTGAGAGTTCTTGATTTACAGGATGAATGATTCGGCATTATTTTATAATTTATGAAGTCCTTAACTGAGTAAAATGGGTTAGCTACAAGCCAGTTATGAATTTTTGTCTTAAAAAGAGGAAGGGAAAGGCTGTCTGCCTGAAGAGGCTCAGGCAGCTTATTATAAAATTTCACACAATTGAGTTTGAAAGAATTACCTGTGATGGCCAGCCTGTGATGTGGTAAATGATTTATTCTCGTTAAAACTATGTACAAAGTTCATGACAATCGTCAAAAGAAAAACAAAACAATCAAGGCAACTAAAATAACTAAAACCTTAAACCAAAGTACTCTTCATATTTGTACAGGCAAGCCTGGGTTAGAGTAGTTTTTAAAACTTGTTTGAATTTTAAAACACACATTTTATTTGGAGGCAGTTAATGCGTATTTTGTGTATATTTTTAAGGATATGAATTATGAAAGCTTGGTTACTGGGCTATGAAACTATTGACTCCATTTTAAATGCATAGAAATAGATATTCAATTTATATTGTTTTGGTTTAATCTTTTAATAATTTTTTCCTTGATTTAAATTTAAATGAATAATACGCAATTAAACGACCTAGTGTCACATGTCTGCCATGTTAGCTTAGGGGACGTCTGATTAGAAACAGTACTTGTTTAGTATGTTTTTAAAGGTGGCCGTGCCTAACGCCTTTACGCGCTCCCGTCCCGTTTACGGATGTATGGCGAGCGACTGAGTGCGTCAACCGTCAATGTCAATCCAATTCAATCGTCTGTCGATTCCGATTGTCGTACGTCTCTGACTCTGACATCTACGTCACGTCGTCCGTCACTCGTCTCCCCCCACGATCCCCCCCCCCCAACCCAATCGTCATCGTCATATCACTATGTCAGTATTCATTGTCAGTAAGTCAACATCTTTTGCAAATTTGTGTGTTGTTTGTGGTGATAGTTATTTTTATGAATAATTAATTCTGTTTTAAGTGTGAGTGAAGTGGAAAAGAATCCAGTGTGAACGTCAATACTTTGTCAAAATTGCAATAGACAACGGTTTACGGTTCCCGGTTCCGCATTCGACAGTGGGCTTATTTAATTATTGTTCCAGTGAACTAACTTTTTACATTGTCCATTGATTGCTACTTAACTTAAGTTTTACCTAAGTTACCTTGCAAACTTTTGAAAATTAGTGTAGGTTAGTGTATGATCGATTTATATAATAACTTTTCTGTTACTTACACCTAACTTAAATAATTTATTGGTGGTTCTCTAAAGGTTTTTGAACGCGGTGTTCCTTACTTAACCTCAAAACAAAGGATTTTTATTATTCTAGGCCTAGGCCTACTCTACTTATTTCCTCAGTAATTGCTAGGAAATTTAGCTATTGGCCTAATCACTCTCTGTAGAGCCTAGCCTATGTCATTCAAATTGTTTGATATCAAGTTATTTATTTTTGTTAACTTAACATGTCAGACAATGGCGATTCAGATGTGGAAATTGATGATGGAATAGAAGAAGGCGAAATAAAAAAAATGCCTTCCCCAGCACCCAAGAAAAATGCATCTGAATCATCCATCAGGTTAGTTTTTTTTTCATTTATAAGTTAGGCCTAGTTTAGTTTATGGTTTAGTAACCAACGTAATTTCATCTGCCCAAAGATAAGTTAGCCTAATTTGATCCAGAAGAAAGATAACTCGGGCAGGAAATTATGTCGGAGATGGTGACCACCAGAACCATAGTAAGTTACAGTATGTTTAAAAGTGTCAACAGACAATATTTAAAAAATATGTAATATTGAAATGAAACTGTTCTAAACTAAATGATTCAAATGATTTTATTGGCCATTCAGTTACATACAAACAATAGGCTACGTCAAACAATAACAATAAATAATAAATAAACATGCCAAACTTCTTCTTGCACTCTTGACTAACAAGATTAAAAGCTGAAATGAACACATGCAGGATCTCACTCAATACAAAACATGCAAAGCAATGCATGCATACTAAAATGAAAAAAAATAAAAACTACATGCTGCAAGCCATGCAAGGCAGAGAAAAATAAATTTACAATTTTGTAATACCTCTACTAGACTACTGTGGGTTCAACCCAATAGTAACAAGCTGTGCATTCCAAAGCTCTTTTATGGAATAAAATGGATTGGCAAGCATCCAAGCTTTTAGTGTGGTCGCAAACTTGTTCGGTAAGATTTGTCTGACAGTTATGGAAGGCATTGTAGAACCTTATTCCTGCAACAGGAAAACAGTTGAGAGTTAAATCTAGTCTAACTCTATCTCTAAAAATATTTTCATTGTTCCTAGTGCTATAATGATGAACATTATTAACCAATGGAAAAGGTGGAAACTAACTTAACCTAACCAACCAAAACTTGCTGTAGCCTACCGGTTACATTTCAAAATTCTGTTTGGTAGCCTATTCCCCATACCTTTTCTGTTATCAAACGGGATTTTGAAACGGTAGGTCTAGGTATCTTATCCTAACTTACTGCAAGTTTGGTTAGTTATGATAGGTTACTTTAGACTAGGCCTAGTTTCATGTCCTAAACAATGTTTTAAAAACACCCACCTCCATATTTAAGCCTATTTTTAGTACCCGGCGCCTCCACCATGCGAGTCCCATGCCTCTCTTAAATTGAGTGAGGGTAATATTTACTTTAAAATGGCATATAGGTAAGTTAATCTATCAAAAAATTTGACTAAGTTCCATTAGGTTAACTTTGATTTTACTGTGTAAATTTTGTTGTGCAAACCAACGTTACTTACTTGATACTTGATACTTAAAGTCTTCATCTTTGACCAGCGTTGCTGGATTGATTGCGTCTATGGTTTGTTTGGCTAGACAAGGTCGCTAAAGTTGTCCTCGAAGAACTCTTTCAATGAATAATATGCTCTACCAATTAGCCAGGACAAAATTTTGGTCTTGAAACTATTGTCATCCAGGCATTTAACTCCAGCTTGCAGCCTATTGAACATCTTTAGGGCCAGGTGGGGGAAACAGTCCTTTTTTGTGAGTCTGCAGTACGGGAGGTTTAATCTGATGCCATGTCGAAGATTCAGGCCATGCATCTCCGCTCCTGTACAAGTTCCTAATACAACATTAAAATGATCGTAGTTTATTCAGTTTTTGTGACAGCAGAAACATTTTTGCACAATTGTTTTCAGGTAAAAATCTAGTTTCTAATCATATATAGATTATACAGTAGAACCTCATTAGTTCGACACTTTGTGAACTTAAGGTAGGTAGACCTATGTCGAACTATCAAAATGTCGAACTATAAGAAGTAAATGAAATGCTTTATTTTCCATTAGGCATGAAATGCAATAGGCATCGTCAGAACAAATAACAATATACAATTTTCATCAAAATTAAAACTAAAATGCAAAAATCACACAGCAAACAAAACCAAAAACAAACCATGCACAAAACTACTGTCAAAACAAAACAATCTGTTACTTATGTACATAGGAAAAACTCTCTCACAGTCTCCTTGGGAATGTCGAAGAAATCGCTGGTCTTATAAAGTGGGAAAGCCAATAAAAGTGCCCGGAGATTGTAGGCCTAATGTTGAAGTTGTAAGAGTCCAATTACTTAATATGATAGGCTATTAGCCTAATAACCAAATTTCTGGTCCACATGCATGATTTTGAATGGGGTTTGTCTTTGATTTGGGCTAGTAAGCTAGCCCATTGGAATTTTTTATCAGTAAATATCAAACCTCCATTTCACTCTACATTTATGACAGTTTAACTGAAATGTACAACTGAGTCCTGTGTTGATACCGTGATTACTGTCAATAAAAAAGTGGACTTTAAGTTAATGTTGATTAGGCTACAAGATGTCTGATCTCAGATCCAGGTGTGTTTTCCCTATATTATGCTCTGAATGCCTCATGTCAAAAAATTAACAAGATTTACGGTAATGTTTCAGTTTATCTGAAGATGACACTGCTGACTCACTGGAAATAAAGCCACCTCAGGCTTTCATCCACAAATCTCATTCCAGCCGTAGGGACAAACAGTCAGTGACATCATCAAGGAGAAGTCATGTAAGTAAATCAATCTAGTGTTTACCCTAAAATAACTGAGACTTTATTATAATTGTATATGATGGGACTTCTGTCCTGAGCTACAAATTGAAATCTCACAACAGGTATACAAATGCAAATCATCTACAGTATTAGGCCCAATCTTAATACTAGCGTCTCATGGGTTCCTGGTCAAAAACCGATGAGAACTCTTTTGCAAAGGAGTGGGGGGCGTGACGTCATTATCTTCTCTTGAGAGAACACCATTACCGCAAAGATACAAAATGCAGCCATCGGTGTTAATGGTGTACCGGTAGTGGATAGAATACTCGGCTGATGTCCAATAGGTAGGCTAACCAGATCGAATTCCACCGGTGACACTAACTTTTTGCCAAAGATTTTGCTTAAAATGTGATTACAACTTAACATCTTTTGTTAGAATTTGAGACATTTATAATTTTATTTTATGAACAGAAATTTTTTTATTAGTAAACCTTAATTAGATTTTTATCTTATACCTATCTTTTTTATATTATCAGCAAGTTTGATAAGTTAGGTTAGGTTATGACAGTTTAATTTTATAATTAAAAAATTAATTTTATAATTTTTCTTAAATTGACGTGAGGGGCTCTCCCACAATCCCCCACTCTTTTGCAGAAGATGTTCTCATTGGTTTTTAAACAGCCCCATGAGACGCTAGTTACTCTGAATTACAAGACTCCAATTAGGGTCAAGTGGGGTAATTGGGAGTAATGGGCTATTGGAATCACGGGTTGCAGTGATCTTATTTTTGCTTAAAAAATTACACATGTTGAATTTTATAACACCTCATATGTTTTTTTTTCAGTTAGCCTACCACTATTTTTTTTTATAAAAATTTCACTTTTTTTTTTGCGATGTTTTACTTTACCTAAAAATTGGAAATTAATTCAGCAATCACTTAAGATACCATTTTATTTGTGTGCAAAGTTTCATAGCTCTATACTGACTAATAAAAAACCGTGTTACTTTAAAGGTGAATTATATGATTTTCTGATCCCAATCACCACCCCACTGACGTTATCTGAATTGTTTAGAAATTAAGATATGCTAAACAACAGAGAGTTTTAAAGGAGGCAGAAATTGTTATCCTGATTATACCCCATGGTCATGGAACACGATCATTGTTTCCTTAAAACATGCTAAAATTGTGAAAATCTTTAATTTTTAATTCCCAGTCTAAGATTGAATAAAAAATAGCTGAAATATCAAGATTTTTAGTTGTGAAATGGGGTAGAATAAAGCTAGGCTAATCAGGTTTGCCTCATTTTACAACTAAAAATCATTATGATATTTGAGCTGTTTTTATTCAATCTTTTTGAACATGGATATCCTTAGATAGGGAATTAAAAATGCTAATTAAGTAGTGTTCTTGAAATTTTTTCACAAAATCAGCCGTAAGCTTATTTTAGTAGCTAATTTAAGTTTAAATGTTTTTAAATGGCCGCCATTTTGTAAATTTAAAAGAAAATTACATATTTTTTTTAAATTGCTTCTTGAAACAATAAATGTACCATATGTTCCAAGTTTGGTTTCTGTAGCCTGAATAATTCTTGAGGTATAAATTGTTTGGTAAAAAATATAAAATGGCGGCTAGCGGCTAAACCAATTTTTTTCTTAGATTGATTAGTACTATCAGTCCCTGAAGTTTGTGACACCCCTTTATGAACACCCTGTATAGATTTTCAGAAATAATTGTTGGACAAACCGGTAGTCTGCGGTTTATATTGAAAATAACCTATTTAGTAAAAAAGTTTGTAGGGTAATTATGTTGTAAACATTCTTTATTTGTGTTCCAGAAATCATCTTCGAGTGGCCACAGAAAAGGACATCATCGGTCTAGGAGTCATAGGGAAGAAAGAAGAAGGCATCACCGGTAATGATGAGAGTTAACTTACTGGTAGTACAGGATTCTAAGTAAGGATAGCAGGCTTAAGAGAGACTAGAAGAAACCTCTCTCTTATTCAGTTCAAATTGCTGTCTATGACATTGAAATTTTCGACTGTTTTGTGTACCTATATAGTGTAAAGCGTTGTGTTTCTCATGTCAGTTAGGACTCTCTCCCATTCAATTAAGCCTGCTCTCGTTACTAAAAACCATTTCATCCGTGTCCTAAATTCAATTTTAACACTTGAGATAGGGTCTATTACTTTTAAGTCTCACTAAATTGTAAGACCTGGTCAACAGTTAGCGTGAGACGTGACTAAATTCTAAAATAAAATATAAATAACGTAATACTGTAATGTTTGTCGTCAGTAGTAGTGGTCAAGGTTAAGCCAATAGATAGCAATAGTTGCTCGCACTGAACTAAAGCTAAAACCGAGGGTAGCACAGAATGAGATAATTGAGAGACATTGGCCGCCATATGTACTAGGGGAATAGTAGCCTACATTGAAACTAGGGGCTGAATAGGAGATTGGGATTTTAATAAAGCCAAGAGCCAAACAGCTGGTTGATTCTTATAGTTGGTACCAACATAACAATATTTTACAGCGTCTTGATTTTCTATCAGAGTTGCCGTGCCAGTGCTACCTGAAGTTGTAATTTCTAGATCAATGGATGCTCGTTATAGTAACAGCGCTAAAATGTTTTCAGTCTATGACTTATATTTTGTAAAAAAGAGTGGTTCCCTGATTGCGTTTACTTATCAGACTAGGATACAATAAATAACTGAGAGTGCACAATAAATTTGGGCCGGCATGAACTACGCCTGTTGTCTGGTTCAGAATTTAAACACTTGGTACGAAGAACAAAACATTGACCTTGGCAACTTCCGGCTTTAATATGAGATTTAAAAATTGTTATTCTTAACTTTTATCTGCAGATTTTGTCTAAACTGAAACTATCAAATAATGTATCCTAACCGTATTGCCCATCCAGATATGAATTTTTGTAAAATATGTGACTTTTGGTGACTTACGTGACCCTCCACTAAAATCTGGGAGTATTCGGAGACTCCCCTAATAGGTAGACACCCTATATATTGATAGAGGGTGTGACAAAAAACTTATCTATTTTCTGCAGCACACTGTTCAGCGACAGGTTGTCTTGCATAGACATTTGTAAAAATTTCCACTGCATAAGACTGGGTTAATGATAACTGAGAGATTACTGGAATTATGATTTTTTTTGTACCCTATTATCGTACTTTTTGCCTTGTAATTAAATGTTTCTGTTATTAATTTTTCTAATCCTATAAGGACTAAATTGAACCTTGGTGTTTGATGAGTAATGATCCCTCTGTGTCCACACTTTATACACTAAGTCTATGGTACGTAATGTCAAATAATAACGTATTTTTTCAGAGAAAGGCCAGCTAAAGAAGATTCAGTGCGAAAAGATGAATCCAGAAGACATGGAAAGAACAAAGACCAAGACAGGAGCAAAGAAGATAAAGTAAAAGACGAAAGGTACAAAGATGAAAGAAGCCGTGATGATCAACGTGTTAGAGACGAACGAGTGAGAGAAGAGCGAACGAGAGAAGAAAAGATCAGGGAGGAAAGAGTGAAGTACGATGAAGATATGGCTGCTAAACGGAAGGAAGCAGAAGTAAAAGAGAGAAGTAAATCTGGGCCAGAAAGAGCCAAAGAAAAACAAGAACGAGACTTGCGCCGAGAAAGATTGTTAGAACAAGAGAGAGTGCGGGAACAGTCAAAGAAACACATAGAAGAAAGACGAATGAGACGAGCAAACAGAAGCAGGAGCCGAGATAATGGTAAAAGAATCATTTCACTATTTCCATAATAAATTAGGTAGATCGATTGTTTTTTTATATTTCGCTTTCCTTGACCATTCTTTTAAGGTCCACGTTTAAAAAATGTTTGGTAGCTAAGGAAGTTGTTGAATCATTGTTGTACTCCATGATTATCTTATACATTCAAGCCCAAACCAATATTCTAATTCAGTTTCTGGTCCAATAGTGATCTTAAACTATTATACTTGGTTTCTTGTTACTTAGGCCCGAGAATCACTACTTGACGATAACCCTCTTGAGAGTCTTGCCGTAAAGTTTGTGTTCAAATTTCAATCAGTTAATTTAAATTTACATTTTGGTGGTAGGGAAAGTAACAAATAGCTTAGGGCTGGGAATTTTTATTTTCTAAATACAGTTTAAAGTTGTATCCTTTCAATGGTACAGTATTTGAAATACGTTTTGATCGATTGTCCTCAAGTTAGTGCACGAACATTCTATAACAGTTTTAACTGATAGATGAAGTAACGTTGGCATGGTATAGCTTTTCCTCTCCTACTTCCCTTCATTTTAGAGCTTCCAATTTACTCTTTGATCCTTCTTCCACTCATTCTCGTATTAGATTTACCACGGATGGGATTCCAAAGCTTTTGTTTCTAAAACAATTCTGAATTGTTTGTAAATATAAATCACGATTCTAAACCAACACTCCTTCAATCGTATCTATTTTGTCGTTGAAATTTAACTGAATTAATTTTCAGACTCTCAAGAGAAGGAAAACACTGGAAGTAAGAACAAAGAGCATGAACTAGAATCAGGTGAATTTGATTTTTGTTTTATAGCTGAGGGATAAATTACTTTAACGGTTTTGGATGGGGACAGGGTGACATTGTAAAAATAGCCAATAATTAATTGTTAGCATATTAACCAAAAAATGTACTAACCCTTTATTGTTTTTTTTTCAACTTATTATCCTTGCTTTATGCTATGTCTTAAGGTTTCACACTAGCTACGTTCCTGAAAGGCTTTCAAGTGGCCCAAGACTTGAGAACAGTTCAATTTTAACCACCAATGAAATATAATTTCCTTGCACCCTCACAAAACAATATTTAAAATGCATAATTTCCCTTTTTATTCACATGAAAATTCAGTAAGTTCACTAAGTTTAAAAACTAACCTTATTTTCCCTTATGTTCTTGCCACCATCACGTTTAGCAATCCTATTAAACGTAAAATGTAGGCTAGGCAGCTAACAGTAAGTAATTTGTTGTCTACCCTTCAACAAAAAATACACTTTGGCTTAGAGAAATAGTTTTTTAACCTACAATGTTGTGTAATCCAAATGTCAAACTGTCATGAAATCTTATTGCAATAGACCCTCATTAAACCAGACTAATTGGAAACCTAATTTGTCTGCTTTTATGGGACTGGTTAGGTTCCTTGTGTGTTTAATGAACTCCCTTTTAGCGAATTTCCCTATAGGGAAGTAGCTATTACCGTAGAACCAATACTTGTTTACTTATCAACTCACTTGTAATGTCCATTTACATGATATATATCGTTTGCAGAGGACTTTTACTTGGTGGACGCTCGAGCCGCGACTGAAAAGGAGGAAGAGGAAGCGATGATGCTATCAGACGTGTCAGTGTCGCCAACACCCATGGAGGAAGATCAGCCTCGCGACGGAGACACGGAAGCAGCAGCAGAGGGTTCTGACGGCAGCAAACATTCGGACGCTAGTGGAGACGAAGAGTCCTCCGATAATAGCGACACGTCAAGCGGCTCTGAACAAGGTACATGTGTCAAGGGCTTTTTGATCAAACAACTGTTAACTTGAGGTCTCTAAAGAGTTAAAAGATGTACTTAATGTATACATTAATCACACCAATACTATAATTACAAGCACTAAGTAAGATCACTTCAAGGTGATTTAGTGGCAGCGCGTTTAGTTTCTTTTCTATTTCACACTGATATAAATATTAAAATTTAGTACAGTAATACAGTTTTTTTTTAAGAAGTCCAACTTATTTCAAAAACTTACAATTCAATTTTTTTATTTGCCGTGCAGTGAAAATTATTTAAATAGAATAAGATGTTAAAAACGGTCAATGTAATTTATTTGCCAGCACAATCGGCTTACTTGTGTTAGGTTACTAGATTTGGAATTTATCATTTTTGTGTTGGGATCAGGATGACACAAGAATGTGTGGTTATTTTTGTATTATCAAATCAATGTGTTTTGTTAAATCTTATTTTCCTTGTGTAGAATGTGAGCGACTATCATCTGTTTTGTAAAGTAGCCTACTATAGTTCGGCCGCTTAGAAAAGGAGGAGGTCGCTTTCTAAGCGGCCGAACTATAGTAGTAAAATCAGCCTTATCTTGCTAACTACCATTCCTTTCTCTCAACAATCCAGATTGATGATTTGTTTGTTACAGAGACCGACGACTCGCGACCCCGTTCTCGCTCCAGATCTACCACTCCGGTGGTCACCAGCAGTCACAACGTAGACAATGATATAGAGCTGACCAAGGATACATTGCCTCCCTACCTGCCAGCCATTCAGGGCTGCAGAAGTGTCGAGGAGTTCCAATGCTTAAACAGGTAGGCAAGGTTCATAACAGGAAAATACTAATTTACAAAATAATAGTAAATTTTCATAATTTTACAAGTCTTTGTTTCATAATCTTATATTATTACTTAAGGGCAAACTATTATTAAAAATAAATAATATTATAAAGGTTTTATTATGTATCTATGTTATTATATAAATACTATATTCTATTATGCCTCTAGGATTTATAAAACTGACTATGATAATAGCATTTTTTTCTTCAATCCACAATCAATTATATGACTAGTTTCAGAGCATTGCAGCTCCATTTTTAAAAGATACTTTGAAAATCCATACTGTCTTGAGAACCATCTCAACAATACACTGTCTATGTATAATTTTCTTTTAATGTTTTGCGTCTACCGGCAATTGTAAAAATGCTTAAGTTCTAATTTTAGTCATAGGTTTATGCTAGGAATAATTAAATCAATGTTGCAACTTGATTCCTGCGCACAAGTATGGCTTTCAGTTGTAACATCACAGTTTATTGGTTTTTAATGCAATGTGTATGTAATGTTGCCACTTCTAAATTATTGTATGTGATGTGTAGTTGGAAGTAACAAACTAGCCTACGTTATAATGTTCATAAGTGAGTTAGAAAAATATTGAGCATCAGAATCAATGCTATGTTTCAGGATAGAAGAAGGTACATACGGAGTCGTGTACAGGGCAAGAGATAAGCGGACTGACGAGATTGTCGCGTTGAAACGACTGAAAATGGAAAAAGAGAAGGAAGGTTTCCCCATCACCTCGCTGAGAGAAATAAACACGTTACTGAAGGTAACGTTACCTACATTACACAGCATTACAATTGAGAATTTCAACAATATTGATTATTTAATTGATTATTATTGATTATTTAATTGATATTTTTCTTCAAACAAAGAATTGAGAATTAATTATACATTACACTTAAAATTGTTGATTTAACTTATTTAAATTGTATTATAATTGTATGTTATGTAATGCAGTTTGTCAGCAAAGTAAACGTTGATAAAGCGCCGAGGGTCAAGTCATAATGAGTGTAAGCCTTTTCTTCCCCTTGAATTCATGGCACGAACTACTTTTTGTATGAAATTCATGTAAATACCAGTGTATATATATGTGAATAAGGTTAAGGTAAATTTGAATGTAAATGACAATGCTCGGCAAGTTATAAACCCGATTTCAATGTTGTATAACAAGATTGCCCTTGTTTGAGTTGAACATTAATGTTTATAATTTCTAAATGTTTATAATTTCTAATATTTTTACCCTGAGGAGCGCAAGTCGCCGTACCAGATTAGGGCATGAGTGCTTTGAACACGCCACACAAGGGGGTGTTCACTGTTCATCCCTGCGCCATGGATTGTTTTGTTCACATTTTGCCCCGTATTATTGGCTGTCAGTAAGCAGCCTATAGAGTCAATGAGTGTCATGTGAATGGTGACACTCTGCTCTAGATACATGATCATTGATCTTGATCATACCTTCGATATGTTGTGTTTTAATTTGTTCCATAGACTGAACAAGCCTTTCCTCTAAGCATCTTAATCTATTTTTTTTACAGTTGTCTTAATGAACTGTTTATAACTGCTAAGTTGCTGATTCCTACACGCTTTCATTTTGCCTTACTGGTGTTTACTTTTCCATATTTGTTTTACTTTGCCACACACAAGGTTAAAAAATGAACAACATAAAGAAAAAGCAGTACTAACCTGAGAGCAGACAATCTGGTCATTCATTAGACAAGAAGAAACATTGCAATTATGATGAAACTTGACTCTTAGTTTCTATAGTCAATAGTCACATATTAGGATGATGTTTCAGGCGCAACACCCGAACATTGTCACTGTCCGCGAGATTGTGGTTGGTAGCAACATGGACAAGATATTCATCGTCATGGACTACGTGGAACATGATCTCAAGTCACTAATGGAAACTATGAAGCACAAAAAACAAGTTTTCTTGCCTGGTAAGTATTTCAATTTTGTTGTGAAATTGAGATCAGGTAATAATAACCAGATAATATACAGTAGAGCTGCTAATCAGGCTTGTTCTAGCGTTGGAAGTTCCATAAAACTGTAAATTATAATCTATTGTGAAAGCACAGTAATCGCTACGGTATTTCCTCACTTTTTTCCTCACAGGGAAAAAATCATGTCCTGTCCCAAAAATCGGGAAGGAAATAAAAATCCTGTGCCGTCCCGTCCCAAACTCAAATTACAATCCCGTATTTAAAACACCATCCCTGATTTAAAACACAATAATTAACACTTATGACGAAGGAGTTTAGATAAGAAATGTGTAAAACAAAATATTTTTCACAAAAGTTTTAACTATTTCCCGGGGGAGGACCCAAACCCCCCTCTTCACTGTGAGTTCTTCCCCCCCCCCACCCTTTTGGAAAAGCTAGTTGGACAATCATCAAAAGCATTGACAACGGAGAGAAAGCAACATTTTGAGTAGGTTTCTCTGTGAGTGACCATCACTAATGTTGTATGTGTTCAACAGCTGAGGTGAAGTGCCTGATGCAGCAGCTACTGAGGGCTGTAGCTCATCTCCATGACAACTGGATACTCCACAGAGATCTGAAGGCGTCCAACCTACTGTTGAGTCACAAGGGTATCCTCAAGGTGGGCGACTTTGGTCTCGCCCGAGAGTACGGCTCCCCACTCAAAGCCTACACTCCCATCGTGGTGACACTGTGGTACCGGTCGCCGGAACTCCTGCTGTCGGCAAAGGTAAGGAGTTTGTCTATCCATGTTAGTTGCCTCCCGAATTGGAAATCATTTTTAAAAATAGGTTGCGTTATCTTTTAATTTCATCAATCCTTATTGTGTTTTCAATGAATAGTTTAAAGACCTAAGATGCATTGTCAATTCTCATGAGTAATGTTTGTCAACTTTAATCAAATAAGCACAAACATTTATGTACTCAGAATATAAAAAATTGACCAAATAAAATTCAAGACAGTTCCTTCAATCTGATGCTGCATAAGGCCAAGGGTTATGTGATTGGACTCACTACAAGAAATTTTTTTAAAGGTTTTTTATGTTTACTCTTGTATATCTCTGAGTAAAGAACATTTGATTTGAATTGATGACGGTAAAAGGTAAAATAACTTTATTTTGGTACAACTTTGAAATCCTTTTGCCATGTACCATAGTGATTGATTCCAACATTCATTCTGAAAACCTCTTTAATTCTATTAGATTTTTACCTCTTTACCCTATTAACGAGGTTAATATAAACATAATTTGGAAAGTTTGAATTTTATGAAGCATAAATTGCAATTATGAGTGCTTTCCCTGGAGCTATGCAGTAAATGGTCTGCAATCCCAGACTGCCCACATTTCCTGTGTGCAGCGTCTCCTATGTAGGTGTTTCTTCACATAGTCTTGTGATCATTGTAATCTTTCTCTTCCCCCATATCTTTACTGATGTTGTGTACAACTTTGTGTAGGAGTACTCGACCCCAGTAGACATGTGGTCGGTGGGCTGCATATTCGCAGAGTTTCTCGCCATGGAGCCTCTCTTCCCTGGCAAGTCCGAGGTGGATCAGCTGAACAAGATCTTCAAAACGCTCGGCACGCCCAACGAGCGGGTGTGGCCTGGGTATAGCAAGCTGCCGGCCGTACAGAAGATGACGTTTGCTGAGTTCCCAAGCTCTCAGCTGCGCACTAGGTTTCCCATGCTGTCAGATGCCGGCCTCAGTTTGTTAAACAAGTGAGAAGTCAATTTGCTCTTTAAGCAGTGTTGGGTTGGTCTCTGCCATCTATTTATTTTTTATATTTCACTAGGTTTAAAGGTGGATTATCAGAACTTTATTTGGTATGCAGTCAACTATAAGTGAACAATCCTTGAGCCAAAACAAAGGTAAACAGTTTGATCTTTAGACCACATTTTTTTAAATATTAGATCTACTGGTTCACAAAAAACATTTAGTGGAAGTAGTATTGCTGTCACAAGTAATTGTTTATCCACTGGAAGGCCTAAAGTTTAGTTGGTTAAGTTGTCATTCAGATTGAGCAAAGTATTGGGCAATGTGTTGAAAAATCAGCTTTTTTCAAACTAATTACAGTTAACCAAACGCCATTTTGAATGACAACTGTAGGCAAACAAGCGTTTAACTCTATGTTTTAATGCCATTTCAACTATGATTTTTGTATTATAACAATGTACTATAACTTCAACTTGTGGTATGTGTTTTTCACAGCAGTGTACTAATCAAACGTCTTTATTTTCAATTTGTGATCTCTTCTATGTTTAATTCTTTGCAGGTTTCTCACATACAACCCGGTGGAGAGGATCACCGCAGATGAGGCACTGAAGCACGACTACTTTGCCGAGCCTCCTCTGCCCATAGACCCGGCCATGTTCCCTACGTGGCCAGCCAAGTCTGAGGTCGGACGTAAGGCCATCATAGCCTCGCCCAAGCCCCCCTCGGGGGGCCGAGACTACAAACAGTTGGTGGGTTTCAAAGCAACAAATTCTTTCGTTTCTTTTCTGCCAATTCACTTCCAAAGTTTTTTTTCACTTTCAAACTAACAGAATATGCCTCAAATATTTCATTCCACAAAACCCCTATTTTTAACAAATCTTTGTTTCAAAAAACGATGGTATGGGAAAAGTATGCCATACACCTCAATTCAGTGCAGGGGAGGGTGGACCTCTTCTTCACAATAATCCTTCCTAAATTCTGTTATGTTATGTGCAAATGATATATTATTTTAAAATCACTAAATATATTAAAATCAATGAGCTACAATGAAATGTTTTTTTTTTCCAGGGAGATACAGATGAGGGATTCCATATGGGCAGTGTGGCGGCAGAAAGGACCAGGGCTGCATTTGGGACAGGGTTTAGTCTCAGATTCTGATAGTTGGTGTGAAAATATGAATGAGGACTGACTCTTGAGCAAGGCCTGGATTTAAATCATAAAAAATTCAAATATCTCCATTGATGCTGAATATTATATATAATTGTATATTTTATAATAAAGTAGTTTAGAATTACTGTTGTATCACTCTTTAAAAACCATTTTTATCTATTATCATCAGGGTAATTGGTCAAACAGAAAATAGTTAATAAACTGGAATAAAGATAATTTATAGGTGTAGGGAATTCAGAATAACTGCCAATAGCCCCAATTACTTAGGCTACTATGTTCCGTGTAGTCTCTTTCGTTAGTTGTTTATTAATGTCCTTAAATGTTGTAATAAAATAGCAATCACAGAAGACCATATAAGGCGATGCTGTGATCAAGAAAAATGATCACGATTTTACTGCGATGCTGGTGTAAATAAATTTTAAAAATTACTATACATTTTTAACTGATTTGATCCAGGTTTTCCTGTTAAATCGACAACCCCGAAGTTAAAAACTCATTAAATTAGGAACGTCTAATGTCTAACTCTAATGCAGACTAGACACACATGATAATAATCACTGGTCCCAAATGTTTCCCACAAAAGGAGTCGTTTCAGTACCGCCCACTTACTCTGGTTAAACCAATGTGGTGAAAAAATTGTCCAGTTTAAGAGATGTCACTTCTTCCGAATATAGAGTGTCCGGATAAGAGGTAGTCTACTGTAGGCTACTATGATAGAAAATGTGACTTTGCAATACACAATTCTTTGAACACGTTTAAAAGAATTTCTGTTTCCTCCATGAATTATATCATTTTACTAAGGGTATTTTACTCTTTAGAAAACAATCTGGAGAATATAAAAATAAAAAATAAACAGTCTCTTCCTACATTTGCTCATATTTTATTGATATTGTTAGCGTATTAGAATACAAGACAAATGTATAAGCAAATTCGTGTAAATTGATGATTGTAAATTTGTAAATGTTAATTTAACTTCTTTAAAATGGCTTCAACAATAAGACTAGATAATAACTCAAAACTGATTTATTGAGCAATACATTGTAAGATTTCTGTTCAGCACTTTCTTCTTTACACATTCTTAGTTCCACCAAACTATTTCTTGTTGCCTTTTTGTTTACTTGTTTTGTTGTTATTTGATTCTTCGTTGTCATCATCACTTTCATCATCTAGTAGTTGAGATTGTCTCTTTTTTAACTCATGATACTCTGAATAATGTTCTTTTCTTTTCTCCTTAAACGACTTTTGCTGTTGTTCTTCCTGAGACTCCCTGTTTCTGGAAGTTTCTGCTTCTAGTTTAGCCGCTAATTCCCGTGGATCAACTCCTTTTCCATCCTCTGGTCGTATCTTCTCGTAAGGTGTTTTGGACTCGTCTATCTTCATGTGGCCGTAGGTCTTATCCGCAGGGTGTAAGGTTGCCTCCACATTCTCTTCATCCCAATTAACGCTTTTTTTAGAACCAGACGGTTCGTCTTTCTTGTCTTTTTCTCTCTTTTCTTGTAGGTTCTTTTTGTTCTTTTCTTTACCATCCTTGTTCGTTGGATTTTTTTTATCACTCATAGTAGGCTATACTATAATGCATCAATCCTGCATCAGAAAAGAACAAGTTTAAGGGATTCCAATATTGCAGATGATAGGGAAGAAATTAGATGTTTAATGGGCTTAAATTCATTTCAAGTTCCAACCTACTATCCTCAGTTAGTAACTCTTTTAAGATGTATGACACACTAAAATTTGTTTATTTTTCTAAAAAGTAAAAAGGTATACCAAATGAAGGTTGCAGAATTTGTCATCAATTATTGTCAGTTCTATAAAATAGGACACTCTTGCTGGGTGCATTAAGGTAGTGAAATGGGGCTTGATAAAGGGCTGATAATGGGGCTTGTTAGGTTGCATGACACTCCTAAACTTGAAAGAACAAAGTAGGTAGGTAGGTAAAGAATCTGTTGATTGTTTAATGAATAATAATTTTAAATGAGATTTTTATGCATACAAGCACATATTTATGATTTACATGACCCACACAGCAAGATTAAACGCCCGACCACCATATAAATTATTTTAGGAGAACAATCCCATTTTAGAGTGCATATCGGGTAATGTGATTCAGGAATTCATACATACACATTCTGGCATAGTTCTAAAAATGATCTGATGCAGATCTACTAAAGTAGCTAAATTATAAATGGCTTACTCGTTTTAATATTTACTAGAGTTTTAAAAGTAAATAGCTTGGCATAGTAAAACACTAAAACTCTTTTGTTACTCACATAATTACCCTATGAAGTTATCTTGTAAATTTATTCAAGTGATTTAGGGGAGTTCTGTATACATTTTCTATTTTCTGAGGAATGGAGAATAAGTGTAGTATAATTTAAGGTATTATTTTAATGACTTCCTTACCATTTACCAGCTCTAAAGTAGTTGTTCAATTTTCATACATCCCAAAATGCCTATCTTGGTTATAAAAAAACCAAACATCACACTTTGTTTTCACAACTTGTTTATGTTTTCATTATTTCAATTCACTTACTTGCTGTTGGCATAGGATAATAAAGACAACAGGAAGAGAATAAAAGAGGGTGGCAGTTTTTCTCTTCTATCCTAGATAAAAGAGCTGGCATTGACTATACACTATATGTATAGTCAATGCAGTTGGTCAGTCTATGGTTCTGGAGTATGTTTTATCATAGATAAAACCAATAAAACATACATCTATGGTTCTAATCACTTTAAATCCTAGAAATGTTTCCGCCCTACATATCATAGAGATTGGTTGAGCCAAAGATTAAATAATTGCCCTTAAGGTCTATCATAATTGGACTGCTGAAGAAGAAATGTTGAGGTTTCTTGGATTTTGTAGAGGTTGTTTTTGTTTAAGATTTGTTTCTGGTAGTTAAACCAGTTTTTAAAATATATCAAGCAAATAAAACTGTTCTATTACTATAAATTGCTTGTCCTCTGATACCCAGTTCTCTAAATAGGAGAAATCCGCTAAAAAATTTAGTTGACAACCGTCAGCAGTCAGCACCAACATTATACTCAAACCAAAATACTGTAAATTGTATAATGTGGAGAAAAGTCTAATAATTGCTCGAACGGTAGGTATTAAAAGGCAATGTAATAAATTAAACCAAACAGTACCGTATGATAAATATGATTCTTCTGCCATCCAAAAATTAAACATGGCTAGTTATGAAATTAGAAAGCAGCTCCCTTTGCCTTTAAAGATGGAGATTTTGGAATAGATAACTTGGCATTTTATGTGTCAGATAAGATGTTGGCTTGACGCTAATAGACATGAAGGATATAAGTTAGGTATTGTATTGCACGGCAGTAATCTCATAGGCCAACCGCGTTTTGTGGTCGATCCTGGTTAATGTCTCTGTAGCTACCACTTGTTCCCACGTTATTATGCAGAAGTATATCCTACAACACGAAAGTTTCCTTCCTATGCTAGTCCAAAAAATCCTTTTTACAAAGCTTCATGGTCAGCTTAATGACCTAAGTTTGTATTAGTTCTTCTTTCTCTTCTTTATTTGAAAATAAGAGTAAGTAAAAGTAAAGTAAACAAACAATCCATCGTCTTCTTGTCTGTCTTGTTTTGTTTGTCCTGTTCATGTTTGTTATTCTAATGTCAGTTCGATTTTTTTAAGTAAAATTGCATACTTTTAGCCTAAAATAATATCAAAATGCTGAAAGCTAGGCCTATTTTCAGTTTTTTTTTTATTTTTACGTGAAAACCATTGATACAAATTCTAACCTGTGAATTATCATATGAAAACTAGGCCACAAACACCAGTGAACAAAATGCTTCATGATATAATTTTAGCATTAGGTGGTGTTGGAGGGAAAGTTCTAAATAGAATATTAAATGTAAGTTTGCCCAAAAACCCGGGTACACTACCATATCTGTTGGCACAAACAACCGAATGAGTAATATTGATTCTTCTATTGTTTAATTCGAAATATCGTTTGGTTAGTTAGGTTAGCCTAACTAACCAAATGATATCGAATAATGGATATATTGATCGATATTTTCATTCGGTTGTTTGTGCCAACAGATATGGAAGTGTTCCCAAAAACCCTATTAACTCTTGTTAAATAGCTTCGTTATTTAAATTTTTGGAAAAACTGACCCGACTCAATAATTTAATTGGTTGCTACGAGTCAAAATCGGACCTAATCAAATTTAATCATGGTCATTGAACGTGGAGTTAAGCACAATTAGTTTGAGTTTGATATAACTTAGGCCTATTCATATTTTTTGCCTCTAAGATAAAACATCAACTCGTCAAAGATCATAGTAACTTAGCCTATAATATACACTGACTAAGTTAGAAGTTAAAACTTTCAAGGCCTACGATGCCTTATTACCAAATAATTTAACATCCTTTCAGTAGAGCTCTACTTTTCATCGTCATTAAAAAAATATAATTAGGCACGCACATAACTTATAACTTAGTCAGTGTAGGGCCTATATTATAGGCTACTATGATCTTTGACGAGTTGATGTTTTAACTTAGGGCAAAAAATATTAATAGGGCTAGGCCTAAAGTTAAATCAAACTCAAACTAATTGTGTAAAGTACATACACAAAAACTTATACACACATACTTTTTAATACTTATGAAATGGCGACCTGGAACATTTATAACTTGTTTGGCCTGCCATAAATACTCATAGTATTAACTATTCTAAAGATCAATTGGCCTATAACCCAGGGCCTACAATATTTTTAGGACGAAGTTGGTTACTAAAACACCATGCAAACGTCATCTGATAATGTTTCCACGTGAATAAAAATCTTTTTGGCACCTGAAAATCTGTTAGCCTACTTGTAATATTTACATATTTTTCAAGGGTCTATTAAAATTATGATTTGCTATTAGCTTTTAAGAACATTGTGGGTCAACACACTCTAAGAGCTAATTGTGTCACATACATTACTTATCACTTATTTGTCAGACATATGTGACCCCCTGTTATAACTGAACCTCTACCAAAATTGTTTTCTTTTCTTTTCAGGAAGGAATACTACCTTTATCATCATTTGACTTCCATCCATGTGAAAGAAACATGCTGTCACAGATTATAAATATAGCAGATAATTATAAAACAATACAACAGTTTTTAAAGAAAGTACCACATTTTGGAGATGAAACAATTGTTTTGGGTGAGTAATTATATTTCTAAGCGGCACTAAGACACATACATAAGTAGCCTACAAGTTTTTTAAAGCAAGAAATTGTATAGGCTATAACATTCCACTGGTTCCCAATATTTAAACATCTTACCAAGTTTGGTCTAGCTAACTCCATACCGAGTGTTTCTTTTAAACTTGCAGATAATGGAGTCGAGGTTGCACCTGGAATGTACCTACGAGCATTTTGCAACGGGGTTTACGACAGCCTGGAATCTTATCGCAGGAATTTAGTGAGAGTAGAAAAGGAGGCTTTACAGGATCCTCATCAAACAGCTACAGGAATCCTAGCACAAGTAGCTCCTTACACACCCCTACTGATCACTCTAAATTCTATCATCAACCAGGTATATTAGGTTATACTCACATAGGTGTTTTAAGAGGAAAATGAATGAAGAATAAGGGTGAGATGTATTATACAATCAGGTTCTTTAGTCAAGACTATTATATAGGGTTGGTGAAAAGTCCCGGAACAGCTGAATATTTTGACAATAATAAGATGAGCTACAAAACTTGCTTCAAAGTCACTGGGAATAAGAAGCATTTTAAAACATTATTCAGTGATATGCTATCCCCTCAGGGGTATCAATGTATGTAGGTTGATATGCACATAAAACTACCTAGACCATTGTTAGTAAAATACAACCAAGTAAAAAATGACAGCCATTCAAGATTACTTTAATTTGTAATTTTGAATCTTTGCTTGTCATTTTTTACTCAGTTGTTCTTTTGAACTCAAGTTTGCGGCATTGTATTTGTCTAATAAAGACCTTTAATTTGATGTGCATATCAACCTATTCTTACATTTAAGATTTTCTTCTGACTCCTAGCGGAAGTTCCCCTGAGGAACCTATTTTTTTAAAAGGAGGTTCAAAATAGTACGAACTAGGTATTAAATGATGGGATAACATGAGGGCCAATTCAAGCATAGCCAGGCTAGCAGGTCACTGGCCTGGAACCTGTACAGTAATTAATTAATAACTCAGTTCTGGAAGAGGTACTAATTTTGTTGGTTTGAGGTACTTAGTACAAACCAAGTACTAAGTATTCACATGATTCGTTTTTGTATAGATTCTGTCATGGCCGGGCCAATGACATGGGTGGATTCTTTGTGGAACGTAGTTCTTATAGGGAATTTCACAATTTATTTTTCTTATCCTCACTTGTACATTAACATCCTGTATTTTCAATTTATATAAGATTAGAATTAAAAAAATATATACGATGAAAGTCCATAGCGTTCAAAAGATATTATTAGTCATAAAATATAACTTTTGCATATTTTCCACCGTTAAAGCAAATCTTTACAACTACTTTTTAATAGCTTATCAACTAGATATTTTTTCAGCAAAAAGTTGTATTGGTTTTGGTTGTTGTTTATCTACACCTACATGGAACTTTGATGTTATTTTGTAAGGAACTGTTCCACACACCACGGTCAGTCATTATTGGACATACCTTTTGTTGGAATCAAACCAGCGACCTTCAGACAATTGTGATAGTGATACTGTACTTAACAGTCCGTATAACGATATGTCTAGGCCTACAATATTATAGGCAATATATCTGAAGAACATTTGACAGTACCTTTGTTAAAGCATTAAAACACCAGTAGTAAATAAAAATAACTTTACAGATTGTTGCTCGTCAGCTTCATGGATGCAAGATTTTACAACTTATCTATCAACATCAGTCCTCTGGCATTGAAATGGTGGATGAAGCCATGGCAAGGTAGTATGTTGTTTTCAGCGAATTTCTCTATAGGCAAGTAGCTATCACCGTAGGTGGCACGGTAGTACATTGAGCCCAGGTTTCATGTTGATGTCCTCAGAGACTAAAATTACTATTCATTCAAATTGTTTTGTATATAGCCAATATATATTTGTGTCCGTGGACACAATAACTCAAGTAATTTTGGTCGGATTTTGATGAAATTTGGTTTGAAGTTGTCGGGTAGAATAAACTGAAATGAGTTTTCAATTGATATTAAGTTCAATTTAATTTAAGTGAGTCGGTAGCGTCGCGGACTTCGGGCCCAAGGCAGCGATGTCGTGGGTTCGGATCCTGGTCACTGCCGATAACATTTTATCAGTACAGTTCACCTTTGTACTGTACCGGCTCACTCCTTGCTTTGCTGTTAACGATCCACGCACGGGCGCTTAGTCTATGTGGACGGGCAAATGCAAGGTTAAAAGAGGCCGCCAACCTCTTTTTTATAAAAAAAAAAAAAAAAAAAAAATGTCGTGGGTTCGGATCCTGGTCACTGCCGAAAACATTTTATCAGTAC